TAAAACCTCACTACTGATGGTTTAATTCTTTTCACAGCTTTGTTTCCTCATTTTCTGTTGTTGCAGGAGCTCAGATTGACGACAACAACCCACGTCGTACTGGCCACCGCATCGTGGCACCTCCTGGTGGGCGCTCCAATATTACCAGTCTTGGCTGAGAAATGATGATGGACAGAAACACAAGGATGAAGGATCATGGGAATAATGTCCATTCCCTTCAGTATCTGTGTTATCGAGCCCACAGTTTTATTTGGTACTAACAGAAATAAAAAACGAAATGTCTTTTTTTTTCTTTTTTTTTTGTTTTTCTCTTTTTTTTTTTGTATAGAAAGAGGTGATAATAGTGTGGTGTGTTTGCTTGGAACTACTTGCCTCACAATTGTGCTTTCATGCCATAGTCACCTTAAAGCATGGTGCTTCCATTGCCCCTTTAGTGACTACAGGTTTTAGCTTTGTCTCGTAACTGAATGATGGTTCCTTTGCACCCTCTCGCTGTATTAGAGTAGTTAATGCATGTTACTGAGTTATTTATGCAAGTTGCATTCTGTGAGTGAGTCCCTTTAGAACACATTGCCAACAACTGACTAGACACAATGCCAAGATTAATGTCTGTATTTGAGAAACACCACCAAAAACACTAATGAAGGAAGAAAATGGCCATCTGGAAAGTAAGCAGTAGAGTAGTATAGGCAGCTTCTGTTTAATCTTTAATTTATTATAAACCCAAGAAGCACTTCTCTCAAGACACAGAAACTCATTGGGACACGTAATGACAAATGGTCTCCGTAGCACCTGTCTGTTCCCACTCGGTACATTCCAAGTCTGTGTCCTTCTTGTTCCATTTTAGACAGAGCCATGTTTTACATACCAATGCCATTGCCACCCCTGCAGGGATTTCTCCACCTGGGCAGTAGTGCTCTCCTTCTGCATGAGATTTTTGGTACTTACAGATAATCCAAGTTGCTGTCAGATTTTTAAAGTTTTTGTACAAATTTTTTCCTTTGTAATCACATGCATTTTTACTTACTCTACCGTATCAAGATCTACTAGTCGTGGTTCAATTTCTGAATTCAAAGCTTGTGAAATAAAGGAAATTAATTGATGGGTAAGCGTCTTGCTCTGCTTTCCAGTGCTGTGACTCAATGACTGAAAATTTGGAATGGAGGAACTCAAGAGAAATTGCCTTTCACATTGACATCATGCAATAGAAGGAACCTCCTTAGATCACAAGTGTTGGGAAGTGTATAGGTCTGCATATACATACTATAGCATGATATAGTATGTCTTATTAGACAGTGCTCACAGTAAAAATGTATTTCCTAAAAAAATTACTTTCTGTTGACTAAAATATACTTACTAATGGTTGGATTCGATCTTAAGAGTTCTTTTCCAAGAGACTTAAGGAGACTTAATGAGACTTAGCAAGTCTTTTCACAGACGTAACAAGTCTGTGATTCTGTGGCATTGTAGCTGCCTCAGTTTTGCCCAAATGAGACACAAAGTAACTTTCTCCCAAAGACCTTAGGTCTACATCTTATTTGCCTCAAAAGGGGTAATTCACTGCTGTCACCTTCATCTGTAGTACAGACCAGTACTCAGTACTGCACTTTGACCTAAGCCATATTTGACTTCCTTATGATTTTCTCTACTGACTGAGTTGTGTCCAGACATGGCAGGAAAAGAACATGCTGCAGGTAAGGTGAGGGAAGAGGACTTCAATTCTCTGAGAGTGAAAAACTATTTCTTGTCTCTCTCACAAACTATGTAAAGAAACCTTGTTTCCTGTCTTTTTGCTTGTCTGGCAGTGTTACAGATGCTGTGGGAGGTGTAGGCTGCAGTGGAGGTGGGGTGCTCTGAGATTAGCAGGTCAACACTCCTCTTGTGCTACTTTGCCTTTATCCACACTACAAAGCTGCAGCAGGAAAAGTCTTGCAGCACTGGAGAGTTTTTATCAGCTGTGCTGCTTGACCACTGAGCACCCATCCATCTCACCCACGCCACAGCAACTTGGGTTGGCACAGCTCGTGTGGGGCATGCTAAGTGCACGTGAGCCGTAACAGTTTTGGGAAGTAGCCCACCTGAAGCCTGTCGTTCTGAAACTAGTACATTGTCACCTCCAGCTTGCCTGGGAAAGGAACTGCTACCCTGGAAAAATCCATTTTGTTCAGCTTGGTCTGAAACCTGACAGCACAACTGGTCTGAAGAGCCAGCTTTTCCTTTGGCTTTGAGCTGAACCAGTGCAGAAACACTGCAATTCAGTCTGCAGTGAACTGAATTGCTTCCTCCCAAAAAAAGGAAAAGCTTTTCATGAACAATTCCTTCTGCTAAGAATTCAAATTCACATTTTCTATTGCTTGGAGAGTGCCCTCTTCCTCAGGCTTCCTTGCTCATTTGGTGGTTCAGATATTTTATATGATATGAATTAAAATAAATTACTCATTTTGTGGTTCAGGTTTTTTATAGGAAGTAAAATAACACTAGCAGAGAAGCCTGAGGACAGTGTGCCCTGGAATAACCTACAGCCTAGCAGGTAAGGCAGTCCTGAAATGTCAAGTCTCCATCTGCCTTGTCCTATTCTAACCCATTTGCTGAGTGTTGACAGCCAGCAACAGTTGTGGTGATGTAACCCTGACAGCAGAAATACAGCTGGTTTGTGAAGCTATGTGGCAAATTTGACAGTGTGAAAATTTCCAAATGGCTGGTTACAATTTCCCTGTTGCACTTCTTGCATGTTTTTGTGCAAGTAGCAACAGTTGCTCACCTTCAAATAAAGCTTCCACTAAATGTATGAGGCTTGTCACACTTGAGGTAGCAGAAATGATCATTGTGTAACTCATGTTGAGATTCCACTATTCCTACACACTTAACAGCATCTTAAACCAAAAGCCCTTTGCCTACAAGCTGGTCAAAGATTCACTGTTAACATGCATTTATTTTTTTCACCGTGAAGTGTCTCTGAATAAATACGTGTGGGTGTTTTGAGAGGCATTTCATGGTTCAGTGCTCCTCTGTGAAAAGACTGTGCCTGTCAGGTCAATGTGGCTCTCCTGTGATGTCCCCAAGAAGCAGCAGCCTAATCCCCTGCAGCCTGGCTGCTCCTGCCATGGCACTGCTGAGGGGCAGCCTGCAGGAAGGTGTCTGGCTGCTCCTGCCATGGCACTGCTGAGGAAGGTGAGGATCCTGAGCTGCACCTCACAGGTGAGGAGAAGGATGCCTCACCTGGATGGTTACTGTCATTCCACCAGAGAGATGGCATGTGCCATTCCCCATGGATGGCAAAACAAAGCAAGGGGTGCTTCTCTTACTACCTGGAGTCTATTTCATAGCAATGTCCCTGTCCGTACATCACTAACCTGTCCTTAAGAAAATAAAACACTACGGTAAAGAAAATGTGGATTAGCTGGTGCTCCTGAGTGCATGCTGCAGAATAGGAAACTGCACTTGAGTTTGCTTCGTTGCAGGAACACCAGGCTGGGAGATGTAAGCTTGGTGAGGAGCAGCTGTTATCTCAACTGTTATCTCAAGCTGGAAGCAGTGCAGAGCTTGCAGGCTTTCTGAATAGCCAAACTTCTAAACATCTGCAGCAGGCTATGTGGCCTTTCAATGCCTGGTGTAGTCTAATGATGTAAAGCTGCTCTTACCTACTGCTATTTGCAATGGTCTGCTTAAAATTAGTCCCTATGACCAGCCTGGGAACAATCTTTGTTAATTGTGGAAGGGAAGGCGGATCCATGGATTGATTTCTGAGCATATTTTGGACCAGTTTCTCTTGTGCTACAGTTTGCTACCAGAGCAATGCAGTTACATGTTTAAATGCTAGTGTTTATAGCAAAGCCTGCTAATTATGATGCTAAGACTGCACCAAAACTGACAGCTGCCCCAGCCTTTAAATGTTTCCCTTGGCAATATACTGGTCTTTGTGCTCAAGAACTAACATCTCAGACTAGACCAGGTCAGATGACCATCTGCTCTGGGTTCCAGTAGCCAACAACACAAGCTTGGAGGAGGTCAGAAGAGCAAACATATAATGCTAATCTTCTCTGAGTGTCTGCTCCATTTCCAGTGCCTTATAATTTCTTGAGAAGTAGCAACATCCTTGTACCTGTAGCTCTCAGTGAATTTCTCTGCCATGCATTTGCCAAGGTATGTTTAAACCCATGTGAAATCCTGCCACTAATGTCTTCCCGGAGCAAGGAAATGCACAGCTTAATGCACAATGGAAAAGTGTTGATCTAGTCCTCTTGGCACCAGCTATTTCTTGCCATGTAGACCTAGCATTGTTCTCAAAGACCTCACATGGCAACAGCCTTACAGACCCAAGGGAGTGGCAAGCAGAATTCACTAGTTTGCCATGATTCCATCTTCTTGACATAAACATTTGTCAAAGAAAAACTCTTTAAGGTACAAAATATCTGCAGAGATATTAATCTATCAGTGTATCTAAATATACAATATACTAGTAATACTGTTAGGTGTTACATTTAAAAACAATTTAATATTAAAAATAGATCTACATGATAGAGACTTCTGCATAATTAGAACATCAGTCTGGAACAACAGTGATTTAATTCAAGTTGTATCTAAATCCTGTGTAATTGTCAAGGAGCTCTAGGCACAAAAACAAAGTGTGTTTTCATTACAGACTCAACAGAACACTGGATTTTGCATTTTTGATATTTTGGGTCAGGAAGTGTCCATGAATTCACTGCTTGCATCTGAGTTTTCACCTCCCTTAAAAAATCAGGGATATCTGAATGCTCTGTTCCCTATTACCATGCTCTGTTCCTTATTACCTTCCCTCTGCACTTACTACTAAGCTACCAATCCTTGTTCATCTACTCTTGGTATAAAAATAAGTCTCACTCATCTAAACAAACTGACTTTAGGAGAGTTTTTCATCATGGTTGTGATGAACTTTCCACAAACTTTCCAGATAAATTTCAGTGATGGCAGTAAGGGCTGTTGGTATATGTGAGATGGAATAATGTTACCCCTGATGTTTAAAATGGGAGGAAAAAGGCATGACATTTCCCCTGAATTTCTGCAGCATTTTTGATATGTACCTGTAAAGCATGATCAAACCTCCATGTTATCCTTTCCAGAATAAACAGAGGGTGCTCTATAGATTTACACTATAAACTGAGTTTTTGGATTTACACTGTAAACTGAGCTGTGACTGGTGCCTAGGTATCCCATTTCCCCCTAGTCTGAGTCTATGATTCTCTAACATAACATGAAATTTCAAATATTAACTGCTTGAGTTTTGTCTGGCATTTTTTGCACTTGTTTCTTGGTCCAGTTAAACCCTGTCTTGTTCAATATCTGCCTCACTGACAGACAGTGATGACAGGTGTCACACTGCCCACCTGCACATGACACTGAACTTGGTGTACCACGGGGAAACTCAAAGGGACGGGAGTCCCTAACGGGGACAAGCCAGCGGGTGTTGTGACAGGGAGAAAAGAAATCCCAGGGAAGTCAGGCAGATGGAAGATTGGGAGGTGCCTGCACCCGGACCTGGGGGGACTGGTGGGGATCACACCGAGCACAGGGACCCTCCTGGGACTGGTGGGGATCGCTCGGAGCACAGGGACCCTCCTGGGACTGGTGGGGATCACACCGAGCACAGGGACCCTCCTGGGACTGGTGGGGATCACACCGAGCACAGGGACCCTCCCTGGGACTGGTGGGGACCACACCGAGCACAGGGACCCTCCCTGGGACTGGCAGGGATCACACCGAGCACAGGGACCCCCCGGCTCCATCCCGGAGCTCCCTGCCCGCCTCCTCCACCTGCGAGGGGATGAGAGCACCGCGAGCTGCCCGGGAGAGGGCACTGCTGCCCTGCTTTTGAGACATTTCCCTTTTTTCAGAGAAAAAGCCATTTCGAGCCGGTCTGGCCAAAGCACAGCACAGGGCAGACTCCTCCTGGGTAACCAGAAACACTCTGGAGTGATTCTGCTGCACCCTGAGTGTGGCAGGAGCTACTGCTGCCCTGAGGGGTTTAGAGCATCATCTTCTCCAATGGCAACAGCTCCCTGTGCCCTGTGAACAGACAGCACTGCAGTGAAATGGGGTCAATTTAATGTGAATATATTGATTCTGTTACCAAAAAAAAAACCACCCAATTTTCTCCAAACCAACACCCCAAAAAAACCCCAAAAAAACCCCAAAAAACACACAAAAAAACCCCAAACAAACAAACAAACAAAAAAAACCCCCCCCAAAAAATATCCCACCCCAAAAAAAAAGAACAAGCAGCAACTAAAATGTTAAAATGTCCAGACTGGGAATGCAGAGACACCACAGAGCTGAAGTGCTGAAATACCAGAATCAAATGCTTGAAAGGGTACAATTTAGAAATTTTTTTTACAGCTGAGATGAAAACTAACCATTTAACACACGTGTGTAACAGGCCTGGTGAACTCGTCTGTAGGCAGCACTTTTGTCTGAGGCAAACTGAGTAACTGATGTGGTATCTTCCATCTTCCACCACAGGACAGCCTTTTCTTAGCAAAATATATGTTTATTTTTGAAAAGGCAGAATACTCCCACTTCATGAAAGCTGTAGGATTGCTTAAATGGGGCAATTTATTACACAATACAGGTGCTCTGTACAGCCAGTAAGGATTAACTGCTTTGCATAACAAGAATTTCCCATAGGAAATGTAATGAGCATAACAAAGTACATTGGAAACAAAAGGGTGCACTTAAGGAAGAAGATCAGAAACTGAAGCATAAAAAGTGAAAGAGTAAACCAGTTTTCTCTCATTTTCTCTAAAAGTAACAATTTGTATTCTAAGACAAAGGCAGAGAAATAGATATATAAACATCTTTGTACAAATTTTAAAAAGCCTACATAGGACTGGAAGCACAAAAATATAACAAAAGAGAGACCAAAAGTCATCTTTTGATATACCAGTACCATCTGAAGCCTGTTTACATATTCTCTACATTTTCATCTCCTTTCCTAAGGTCAAAGTAGCATTCACAAAAAAGAATGCTACTAGGTACCACATCTCAGGCTCAAAAGTAAACAGTCCATCACTCTTGGGATGAAACCTTACTGAGATACACTGACCTGGTCCCAGTGTGCACCTGTTCTTCTACAGCTGCACTATCCTGGTTTATTCCAAATCTAAAACTGTCTCCCCAGCATATTACCCAAGCAGTCTCAAAGATTTTGTATTAAAGACTTCCTTGTTCCCCCTTACCAAAACCAAGAGGGAATGTTTTATTAACAGCTAAAGGAAGTTGGGATTGATTCTTGGTCTGCAGCTAAAAAAAGATTTATGAGTTATTATTGATTTTCTTGGTTGCTCCTCAGCAAAGCAGCTCAGTAAGTACCTACAGCTGCTGAGATTCCCCAGAAGGATGCCTTGGTACACTGTGTTCAGACAGCTCAGACAAAAGCTTTTACTACCTGCTGCCTTTCTTTTTTAACATCTTTGAGTTTTTCCTTGGTTCAGTCTCCCCTTCATGTGAACTCTGTGACATCTCTCTGAAAGAATAAGTAAGAGAAAGAAAACAAAATTGCAGACAGTTTTTAAAATGCTCTACTTCTCTCTTGAAGGAAATTAATTTTGGTAAAAGAAAGGCTCTCGCTACGTAATTCTGCACTCACTGGTTTCACTGCCTCTGTTGGGGCTGCCAAAACAAAGTTGCAAAACCATAAACTTTCCTTTGTTGGGTCCCTGTTCCCCACACACGCATCCCTCGTCGGCTGTGGGAAAGGAGTGTGTGAAAAGGGTTGATGCCATCAGGGAAAGGAGCCATCTCCTGAAGTCAGTCCCAGGCTGAGGTCACTCAGGGGATAAATACTTTTCCCCAAAGGCCTGTGGCTCCTGAGAACCAACTGTTTGCTTTGCCTGTCAGCAGGATTTTCTCTGCTCAATATATCAAGCCGCAGCAACCAGCTGGCTGGTTTGATCTGCCCGTAGTGATCAGCTGGCATCTTTCAGGTTTGTAGCCATTTCTCCTCTAGTAGCACCCCAGCACAAGCCAACTGAAACATCTATCAAGAAAATCATTGTTAGAGCTGCTGCCCTCATCAGCCAAAGACTGGCGCTCGCCTTTGTTCCTGAAATAAAGGTGCAAGTTGAAAGCCTAAATACCACAGACCATATTTTGGTTGCTACATTTCAGCCTAGTTCCATTGAATTCACTTGTCTCTGCTGATTTATGCTGTCTGTGACTAAGGTTTAAATAAAACTAAATAAAGGAAATTTGGAAACAGTATTTCTCATTTCCCTACCTTTAATCAAAGCTATTTATAAAATACACAGCAGCACAGACAAGCAAAATACAGATGAATTTCCTACATTTAAAAAAGATTGTGGGTTAAAAAAGGTTAAATACATGTGGAAAGGAAATATTAAGGAAGCCCAGCTGGTGCAGTCATTATATTTTGAGTTTGACTGACATACCTCCTTAAGTAGATTTTGCAGTTTTTATATTAAAAAATGGTATTTTTATAAACAGCTTTTCACATACCATATTTTTAGTCTCTCTCTAACATACCTGCATAAGCCAGAAGTTATTCCATGGGGCTCTTGAATATTTTCATGGGAATCATCTTTTTCTGCTGGTTTGGGTGACTGGAAGGTCTGTCTTTTGGACTTTGCTTTTTCACCTGAATTGCCAAATGCAGTGGATTAAAAAAAAAAAAAAAAAAGAATCACAAATAGTAGAACTTGTTTGGTTTTGATTAACCTGAAGCAAAAAGTTACACTCTAACATTTCATACATACCTATTATTATTCCAAGGAAATCACTTCAGTTTACATTAGCCCAGCACACTGCTTTTTTACCACTGGTTAGTTCTCACACAGCAGACTCTGAACTGCCACACTTGCTCAACACTGAAGTAACTTTCCATGTGGTGCAACACTTGAAAGCCCTATCATACATTTTCTTAGCAAGTAACTGAAAATGGCTTTTTATTACCACCAAGCAGAAGAAAAGCCAGTTCATATTTTTGAGTGATTTGAATCAGAACATGATGTTAAAAATTCACCGCTTTGAGAGCCCTCACTGTGTAGTCACGGTGCCTACCAAGGCAAACAATTCTGCACACCTGAGAAAGAACAGCTGGGGAGAAAGACTTCAAAACTGTGCAGGGAGTGACCTGCTTTTCCCTTTCAGGCACCCGTCCTGCCTTTCAGCATCTTTCAAACGTAGCACCATATGCTTCATTCTGATAATGACAGAAAGATTGCACGGCTCAAAGGATGACACTTGTACACTACATCTGAAATGTGGACTAGAAACACGACTGCTATTCTAAAAATTTGTCCCCAGGTATCTCCTGAAGAATGAATTAGTATAATTTGTCAAAACTACAGCAAATTTATAAAAATAGATCAAGTTTCCTGATTCAGTAGGGTTGTCTTTTTGAGTACATGAGTGGGAGGGAATTCTTCCATTCTGCCACGAGAATGAAAGCTGGGTGATTCAACTCTGCTGTTCTCCCATGGATTCAGCAATTGAGATGAACTGAGTAATTTCTAAAGGACCTGACAAAGACAGGAAAAATGTTTTGGTTTCAGCAGGGCAAAGCCTTACCTCAGTGGACACAATGCAATCTATAGGTTAAAGGCTGTTCTGGAGTGAGGAAAGGTGACACTTGTTTGTGGCTGTGCTGCTGGAGAACTGGGTGACCTTGAAAGGTTTCATTACTCTTCTACATCTCAGTGAGGGAAATGCCACTGATAAAAAAATCTCTCCTGAAACTCCAACATGTTATTCTGCAAAATATGCAGTGATTTGTGGAATTTTGTGGTTTTTTTTCAGAACAATTCAGGATAGTACCAACCTGCTGGCTTCCTCCTTTTGGAAGGCTTCTTCTTCACAGTCAGTGGAACTCGGGTCAGCACAGCCAACTCACTCACAAAGTCCTGCTCTGCTTCCTGCATGCAAGGACAGAGCAGCAATCACCCAACACAACACAGCTCAGTTCTGTGTTATTTTATTACATGTGGCACAACTAAACAGGCACATCACTGCAGAAACCCAGGAAACAATAAGGGAAACAATCAGGGAAGTGTTCCCACAAGACAGAGATGAATCTCAGCACTGATTTCAATTAGGGTAGCAAAGAGACCCCTACAATGTGTCCCATGTTTCTCTACTGAATGCTTCAGATCCATGAACCATTTTACCCTTAGCTGAGTCTCCAGCTCAGTTCCTAGGTGCTGCAATCCCAGCAGCTTCTGTTTCAGAGACTCCAGACGAATTTGTTGCCGCAGTTCAAACTGAGCCAAAATCTTGTTCTGCTGTAGCACCATCCTGGTCAAGAGAAATGGAAATGTATAGATGTTGTTCAGTGCAAGGGAGGAATACAACCCTGTCAAAGTCTGTTTAGAAGTTTTGTAGAGAGAAAGGATCATTAACAGTATTGGCCCAGACAGATTCCACTGGGACAGAAAATTTTGTGGTAGATTTTTAGATTTACTTATTGTAATAACCTGCCTTGGCTGTCCACAGGATACAAGGTCCTTTTGGAGGTAGGAATTAAAGGAGTTTGCAGTGTCCATGCCTGGATTTTGGGAACTGGAATTCAGCTCTAAAGCTGAAACCTGCTTTCAAAACCACTGCATGTTTCTAGGATAATTTTTACTGTCTGCTTGCCAAAGGGGCCAGGCAAACAATGATCAAAGATCAGGTGTGAGAATAAGGTTTTAAGAATTAGGCATTTCATCCAGGCCTCTTCAGTACTGAGCCATCATCAGAACCAGACTGAGCCATCAACGTGGTTATTCAAAACTTGGGAACTGAAAGCATTAACAACTGTGTTCTTCACTTCTTTTACTTTTCTGGTTAAAAATTATTATTATTACAGTACAACCTGAATGGCTGCAACTTTGCTGCATCTGTATTTCTTCTGTTTTTTTGCATGACCTATCTTAAAGCAATGCTGCCAATCACCCATCAAATTCCTCGGGGAAGGAGGTAATACAAATTGTTTCTGACATTTACACTTAATGAAGTTGCTATTGTAATGCTCACTGCTTACAGAGGCTACCTTTCAACATTTGCTTTTTGAACTCACACTCCTAACCTTGCATCAAGGGCAAAAAGAAATAAAACAATAAAACAATATTGAGTTTTTTTGGAGTTAGACAAATTAATGTAAACTTTGTTTTTAATTTACAAAGGACTAGACCATAAAAGAAATCATAATGGCAATAGGAAAATGGGTTTGATTACTGATTATTATGATATCAGCTTAGATGCTGCATAGCTACATTCTTCAATACCACACTTCTGCTTGTGTGAAGGCAAATTTCATTGTATTTTGTTTAAAGATAGTAGATTACAGCAGAAAAAACAAATGAGAAAACAGGTGGAAAGTGAATTTGTATGTCACAATAAATGATAAATTTGATAATGAATAACTAACAGATCTTTTATGAAACCCTTTATTACACAAATCCATTTCTTTACTAACTCAAACAGGGATAAAAAAGTGGGGAATGATATCTTTCAATTTAGGAGAAACAGAATGTCTAAAGAAAGATTTAACCTCTTTACAATGCCTAAATTGAAGCTGTTGTCTTTTTCTGGATAATAAATCAAGACTAAAGAGATCAAATGATTACAAAAATGTAAAATGTACATGACAAGCCATAGAACTTTTTATGATAACTTATGCCTTTTTAATTGCAGTGCTTTTTGTCTGGACTTAATTTTCATTTAATCAGTAATTAATTAAATATGATTTTTATTTAACTAACATTTGAGGGATTCCACTCTAAATTTAGTGCACGTAATCCTGATTTTCCAAGGCATTCACTGATGCGTTCTTTCCACTTTTGAGTATTTTTTGGGTTTCAAGGATTTTCTCTTCATTATGGTATATGTTTTCTCCACAGCAAACCAACAAAGACTTTTGATGTTCAGAGTATAAAGGATGGAATGTAATGAATTACATTCAGCATTGGTTCCTATCCCACATTTATGTTGAATTTCTTTTAAAATTTGGCAGATGTTTTGGCATTGTATTTCATTCTCTCTTTTCAAACTGCCTAAGTATAGTTCTTCAATCTGTAACTAATGAGCATCAAAAAGTTTATTTAATAAGAAAGTAATTATCTGAGATCAAAGGGCATCATTTGGCAATAGGTATTTCTTTTCCATCAAAGAGAAGTATAAAATGCAAACTCAAGACATTTATTCAGCTAGACATTCACGTAGATCTGCAATAACTCACAAAGTTTAAACAGACAGCAGTGCTGCTGCCTGGTCTAACCTTTGGTGGACCGTGGATGACACATTCAGGAGGCCTTTGGTGTGTTTCTCTTTAAATGCCAGTTCATTCTCTTTATTCTTCAGTCTGATCCTTTCATTTCCTTCTGCTGAAATAACATTTTTGAAAAATTTTCTGCTCAAAATTAAACTGAGTTGTGACAACTTTCATTACAAATTAATCCTGATTCTAGGTAGTCTTTCCAAACTTACTGCTCCTTAGGGATATCAAGTATTTCTTACACACTCTGCCACTGTGATCTGCTGCAAAGAGAATACTTAGTGCATCATTTAGCTGCGATAGAAATGTCACTGAATTCCTGTTTACCTACTTCTCCCACTAGGCTAACTGATTAACATGGAATTCAAAACAGAAATTTTCTGAAAAGACCTTGATGCCTTAAGCAAGAACTGTATTACCTAAACAAAAAATGCATTATAAAGAAAACCCTCCACTCAGATGTGACTTATTCCTGGGTATGCCCAGTTTCACAAGATGTCCTCTCCCCTGACAGAGAACTATTCTGGTTACTTTTGCATATGCTCACACTCTGTGACTGAGTGCTTATTTGCTGACCAGGCTCCTGACTCTGCTCCTGCAGTCCTGCCTGGCAGCAGGGCTTGGGCACATCTGACAGACAAGACCTCACACCACTCTTTTTTAATTAAACAGGAGGGAGATGGATGGGTTTGTAACCTTCATCTGGGGAGCAAGCAACCTTTTCTGAACACTCAGAGGGGCTGACAGGCACCCTTCCTACCACCTGCACCATCAGGGAGCTGTTACTGAATGTACTCAGGGCTGGGCTGGGCTGGCTGTGAGAGGGGAGGTACTCCCCACCTTTCCTCCTGTGGCTGTGCCTGGCACACTAAAGTCAGATTTACTAGGCCAAGGGATGCCAGAAGAAGCAAAATCCTCTAACCTTACACTAAGCACACTTACTGGGAAACAAAATTGTCTCATAGTTGTCAGTACCATACGAACCTTGTAAGGATTTCAGATGTTGAAGCTTTTTTCCTTCATACTCTTCTGTGATTTTTCCTAATTGCTGGTAGTATTTCTGCACCAGTCTACTGATATTATTGCTGGTCCCATATACACTTTCAACAGCAGATTCCACCAGTCTCTCCTGTATCACACAGTACAATTCACAATTCATTTTCCAAGCCCAAAAGTGTTTTGATCTGTTTAAAAAAACCCCACACCTAATTTGGTATGTGCACACACAGTTATGAATTTAAATGTGGCTTTAAAAATGGGGTAGACTAAGATACTGAAAATCGTGCAACATTTCAACATGAAAAATTGCAGAAAAATCTTTCTAATTTGCCTCATCTCCATCTGGGAAGAGGTCATTCCCCTATCCTTTCAATCTCTACAGCCCATTTTAACAGTCAAGCCAACTGTCAGCAAAGCAAGCTAATCTATGTGTAGCTCTGTTCTGACTTTCCATTACACAGAAAATCCAAATATTTACTTTGGAAAAAAATTATTCATCTATGATGTACACTTTAATTTTATTTAATTATTTATCTTTGAATTAACAGTAAGCTGGTAGAATGAAAATTATTAATTAGTCAAAACCCCTTAATCAATAGATAATCATCTCAATTTTTTCTTCTTTTTGTTATTCTCTGTCACCAAGAGTTGTGACAATATTTTTACTGTTCCAGTGTTTGACTTAAAACCTGTTTTGGCTGCTGTAGCAAATACAGTACTGCTACATAAATGCTAGCTTGCAAATGCTCTGCAATTATGCTCAGTTTTAACACAGGTCCTAAGGGTTTTCTACTGATACTCCCAGGCTCAGGTTAATGCATACATTAAATTGCTTTCCATCTGTGCAAGGTAGCCCTTGTTTTGTTTGGAAAACTGCTGTTGACCATTTCCATACCTTGAAGTCCTGGTCATCATCTGAACTCTTTTTTTCAGCTTCCCCTCGGGCATACTGCAGCAGGGTCTGCCCAATCACCTGCTCCATGTGCTGCTGAAGAAACTGAAGAGCTTCTTGGATTTCTGTGACTAGCTGCTGGTGAAATTCTAAATTGGTTTCTTGCATTTCTTCCTCAAGCTTCTCCTCCTCTTCACAAATGTGGGACTCCTAGTAATCAGAAAATAAAGACAGCACTGACATTTAAATATGTTAACAATTGTAGTCAGCTTCACTTTGAAAGAAAGTCCTGCACACATTCAGAATGTTACAGTTTTCATCATTATAATAATATAATTTACAGAGGAAGTTTGTACAGTCATTTAATACATTTAATACATTGTCTTTCCAACAGAACTATAGCCTCTGTCATGAGATGTACAGCAAAAACTGCATCCTGTCCTATTAGTCTCTCCTAAGTGATGTATTCCCACATAAGTGAAATATCCTGAGTCCAGCAAGGGACAATTGTGGATACCTTGATAAATTGCACAGGAGCAAGGCAAGTACAGTTATGCACCAGGAATGCTTGCACAGTCTGTGTGGTCTACCTGAGAAAAACTTGGTTTGCTGGTACTTGGGAGCACCAATACCCTTGGGAGTACCAATACCCTTGGGAGTACCAATGGCCCTTGGGACAGGTCACAAAGGTGGGTAATACACTTGAAAACCATTTGCACAACATCCTCTGCTGGTGAGTTCTAAAGCTTTTTCACATATCTCTTAATTTTGAACCTGCCATCTGGTAACATTGCTAGATGCTCTCTTCCTTCATTAGAAACGTGAAAAATGGTTCTCTATTCATGTATTTGATGTCAGTTTTAAAACCTATGATATTCCAGAAGGCACCTATTTTTTAGGCTAAAGAGTTTAAGTCCTTTGAGGTCTTTGGACCATCCTTGCCTCCATTTTTGTGCAAGAAAAGTGTACACTTTTCATCTAAGCTCTCTTTAGCGAACAGTAGTATCTGCTTACCAGCATGGTCTGCTCTGTCACCCTCAAGTGTAGCAGTCTGCCACAGATGGCCTTCTATTCTGTTGTCTTTCTTATATTTATACACTCAGTTAAGGCTAAATAGCATCAAATTATTCTGGAAGATGTGATAGTACCTATTTGATGCGTTCTTGGAAATAAGAAATACAAGTAAAAAACATTCATCTGTAGAAATATCCTTATTAATGCTGACTTGTTCTCACATGTTATATTGATAGCTACGACTTATGTTTTTGAGGTTTTTGAGAAAGTTGGAACGTCAGTAAACTGCTTCTCATTTTTTTAGAGACCCAATGTCATGTGATTATGCCCAAGCTAGGATTCACTAGTCATTTTACATTCTATATGAAATCAATAGACAGACATGACATTGTCCACCAGTATTAAACTGGCCCAAGTAAAAATTAAGTTTGGGTAAAACAACACAATATATCTAAAAATCTGGTTGAATGTCTGTAAATTAACCTCTTTTTGAACTCCTTATAGATTATTTTTAGTTTTGGAGGATGTTTGTAACATGCTTTTTCTCTCTTGACTTTTCCCAATTCCACACTTATGCCCTATGTTTTCAGCAGCAAGAATCCAGCAAGGGTATTTTTAGACACTTCCTTGTGAGATGTGTTTTAGCTGGACTTTCAAAGAGGCTGTAATGGAGAGAGGCCATAGGAACACTGATACCTGAGCACATTTAATTTTCATTAGGGAAGGCAGTGATTGTTGCATCAATTAACGTCTCCATGTGAGCTAAGTGAGAGGGAGCAGTGGAAAGCAAGAGGAATGCAGTGATATGCATTTTTATTTTATTATTTTGTATTTTAATTCTTCTGAAGGTTAATGAGTTTTTCAGATTTTCAAACTTAAAAGAAACTGCTTCAATTGATATTTTGCAAATATGAAAACAGCAGGACACAGATTTTCCTTATTCCTCTTCCATGTGGAGACTGAGGGTTTGTATGATGCAAATCAAAATTAGAGGGGTACAAGAATTTTACCTCTCAGCTAATTACACAGCAACAGCATGGAGCACAGAGCTGCAAAGTGTTTGATGGGCTCCAGCCATATGTACAGCAGCAGTGGGTTGGGCAGAGCTATCACTGACACCTGCTGGGAGGGTTGTCTGAAGTTGAAATATGAAATGTGGTGTTGCTCTACATAAATATCCAGTGCAGGTAATTAAATAACCAACAACACTTAATAGATCAACACTAAAAACCAGTCATGAACATACGTGAAAGTGACCTATGGGAACATCATGTCTAAAAATCCCTTAAACTTTCTATTGTGTTCTTGACTTACAGTAGCCAGGTAATTTAGGAGGATTGGGCATGGATGCTGATCTTCTTATGGACAGAGAAAAAAGAATGAAAAATTATGACAGTATAGAGGAACTTGACTGGTGTGGTAGGAGTAAGAACTTCTCCTAATGGTCCAGTAAGAACTTCTCAAGTGCATATTAAGATCCTCAGCAGAATTAATAGGATGTGCTCTTACCCTGAAGCAGTAGCTTTGCAGAAGTCCTTTATACATGTTGGCATCCTTGCATAGTATTTCCATATAAATAAATTGCCAAATAAGCTTGCTAGGACACTCACTATAGTGTAAGTGTAAGGGATTTTAAAATGTCTGCCCAAACTACAACAGGCACACTCAGGGATCTCCTATGCCAGCAATGCACATATTTTTGACAGAGAATATTTTTCTTTCTCATTGGAGCTTAGACTTTTTTTGTTGTTGGGGTTTTTTTGGGGGGTTTTTTTGCAGTTTAGGTCTGCAATGGCCACTTCTAATGCCAAATATCACAGCATATGAGACCTCTGGAGACAACCCACCTGGACACCATACCTACCACTGCCTTCTGTAACTGCCACTGGTCCTCATCTTGGCACAGGGAGGATCCCTTCTGCAGGGTGTGCTGCTCTCTCAGCTCCTGGAGCGAGCTCTTCTTTCTGGACAGGCGCATGCGCGCCAGGGCTGCCACTCCCGCTCTTCGCAAGGTTAACCTTCTGAGCACTGAGCACAGCAGAAGCTGCTGCTTTTGCAATATATAGCTAACAGACCTGTAAAAAGGACCATTAAAAATCCATCAGTGAAGCTGCTTGCACACCTGTGTTCAGCAGAGTCATTGCTTAAAGGTGACAAGAGTTATTCTTCACTCTGTGCAACGTCTTCTTGTACAAAGCATGCCTTGGAAAACTGCTCTGTGTAAGGAATGGGTACTGCCGTGTTACACTTCTAATTCTGTCACATTGGAGTTAAATTAAAATGAAAACAGAAATAAAGTAGCTAAATAACCATCTATATGTTGCTGGAATGAACACTTTATCTTGCAGAATATGCAACTCCACTGTGACATAGGGAGCACAGAGAGAGGCTGGTTCTAGACTAGAAGCCACTCACAAACACAGCAGATGCTCACAAAGCACACCAGTGACAAATCATATAAGACTCTTTTTCCTAATTTCCAGGAGTCATGATATGTCTATTTTTTAAATTTGCTTTTGATACCCTGACAAAAAACTAGACCAATTGCCTCTCTGAAGGTGCTAATAATCCCTCAAGACTGCTTTCCACAATGTGATGTACACAAGTTTTTATCTGGGCACGCAACAGTGAAGTTTTACCTCACTGCTCAGGGATGAAACCATGCTTACTCATCACTGAGGCATCCTAGTCTGCTCACGACACCTTGCATTATCTTCTCTTGTTTCTCAGATAGGTGCTTTTGCATCACAGCAGACAGAGCATATTCTGTTATCCAGAGCTAAAAGCAGGGAAAAGAATTACAAATATAAGATACTCTGATTTCAGCCAGTCACTGAATAAAGAAACAATGGTTTATTTTCGTAGAAAAATCAATCCTTGCTTTCAAAAACATACTCATGCTGAATTAAAATTATTCTACTTAGGAATATTTTTTTTAATTATCAAAATTTTAAACAAAACTCACTGAAAAGAAGAACTTTGCACTGGTTTGGGTCAGCCCTGAACTGTGTTTCCTACAGATTTTTTGATTTCAGCAACAGAGGAACAAGAAACAAAATAACAACATGGCACAAAATACTGCATTGACTCTTATCAGCAAGTTGCAGTAGGCTTTTTATTTGTTTTTTTCTTTTCACTAGTAGAGAATATAGATTATATTTTCACTGAACAAAATACAGGTATCATCTTCATCTTCCATCACACTTCTGTCACAGTAAACAGTGCTAATAGCTGGAAATGGAGATTAAGTGATTAGGTAAATATATGGACTGCAAGTTTACAGCTCCTTCATTTAGATTGAAGAATTTAATCTTTAAATAAATTTTGATGGATTTGCCATTAGACTGTAAACTTTTGGTGATATGAAGTTAAGATTTTGTTTAGTATTGTTGCCAGTATTAAAGGAATAATAAGTCATAAGCTGAAATATTTGCAAGGCCCCAACTCTTACTGGAAGATGAAGAGTATACTTTAGGCTACTGAGAGATGAATAAAAGCAGGCTACCTGCTGATGTATCCAGAACCCTAAATTAAATATAATACCTGGGGTGTCCGACAGTTTCACTTTGTGTTTCAGCATCACTCAGAATATGAGGGACTAAATTTTCAGTTATGGCAGACAGGTAGGTTTCACTAGATCAGTATGTCCAGCAGAGGATTAGATGTTGTCCTAGATGTGCAGAAGGGAGTGAAGCTTAGTGCAGCATGGGCACATCCAACTTGTTATTCTATACCACCCACATCATACATGTGGGAGTGGTTTTGGGGTGAAAATGAGCACACCTCAGAAGTGGGCACTGTTTTGCCTCTCTCTCCAGAAGGAAGGGGTCAGCATCAGCCCCTGCAGATCCAGCCCCCACTGCACCCCTGCTCCCCCTCCCATTTTCTTACTACAGGATTTGGTGCTGAAAGGACAGCGGCAACAGCGCTCGTACCAGCAGGGCTGAATGGACAGAGCCGGAGCAGAGGCTGCCATGGGGAAGGACTGGTGGGATTGAACCCCAGAACAGCTGAGGGGAGCCCCACTGACAACAGCTGAGCTGAGCCCGGGCCAGCTGAGCTGAGCTGAGCTGAAAGGAGGTGGCAGAATGGTTGGAAAAGTGGCAGTGACCTGCAGGACCAGCACAGTGGGGCAGGAGAAACAACAACAGACACCTGTGCAGCACTGAGCCCAGCAGAGCAGCAGCACAGGGGGTTTATTTGTCACTGGCTTCAATTATTTCAAGATGGGGAGTGTGGGAAATGTTAGCCGTGAGAGTTCCCTTGCCATCCTGCCTTTGTGCCTGCTGGCCACGTAGGTAGTGAGTGGGAATGGTCTCCATTATCACCTTTGTCTGGGGAACCAAGTGGACACAACCTACAGGGAGCATCTACCATCTGTTTGTTTTTTCCCAGTGGTGAACTCCTTTTTGCTGGGTAAAACACTTTCTCTTTTTGTACACCTTTGCTATTAATACTGCTGTTGTTATTGTGAATTTCTTACTCCATGGCTTTGTGCTTTCAGTAAATTGTAATCTCAACCCATAGTCTCTGCTCTTGCCACTGCCTTACTGGAACAGGCAGGGGAAGGGGAGTGGTTCATTTGCAGTTTAGTTTCTATCTGGTGCTAAAGCCAGCACAAATGTATAACTGCACAATTGTTAGTGTTAGAAATTAGGAGTGATACTGGGCCTCTCTACTGGATATGAGTTTTTTCATTGGGAAGCAGTGGTCTGTGCAGGAGAGAGGCTTTCTCCATGAGCACAGAATGAACTCCCCTGGGAAGTGCAGAGAACATCAAAAACTGTTTTGGCTTCAAAACAAAAATGTATTTCTTTCATGGCTAGTGCCTTCTCTGTGGAATACACAGTGACACATCTAAATGACCTCTCTCCATGCAGAAAACCTTACCAAAACACATGTTCCTGAGCAGGATGCCTGACAAGGAAGGGAGGGCAGGCAGTCACCAACAAGTGACAGATGGGAAGAGTGCAGCTGAGCATGTGAAGCACAGCCCAAAAGACTGCATGGCACTGGAGACCCACCAGGCTGCTCTTGGCAAGAGCCTCAGATGTACCTGTGTATCCAGAACTCAACTGATCTGAGGCTAGGTGAGTCTGATAATCACAGAGCACAGCTGAGCACAGTGTCTTCTCTGACTGCATGCTGCAAGCATCAAATTAAGGTCTATCAGGTCTTCAGGTATCATCATGACAGATGGCAAAGACTTGCTTGAAGTAATAATTGTTATCAGCATTTCCCTTTAGCAGCTCTGTGGATTTAGCTCCTAGTGTTTCACACCTCTCTGCACATGCCTTGTAGATCCATCACATTGTGTACTTTAATGTCTCTTTCAGCAGTTCAAAGAAAGTCTGAAAACGACCTTTTACTTTCCAGAAGTAATTTTATTTCCATTGAGAGATTGGCTGTGGTTCAGCTGTGGGTTTCCATCATTTTTGAGACCTGATTATTTACTGAGAAGTTGCTTTTAAAGGGCAAGTCAAACAGCATTAAGGTATAAATCACCAAAAGACAGAACACCTTCAGGAGATTATACCTAAATTGCAGTTGGAATGGTAAATGATATAATATTGCAGCCAAGAACCCAAAATATAGCACCTTGCTTGCTCTCAGTATATCCTATCCAAAAGTATATCCTATCACTGTCAGTGATAACAATGAAAGTTCTTCTTGCTTTGCAGCCAAGAACCCAAAATATAGCACCTTGCTTGCTCTCAGTATATCCTATCCCTGTCAGTGATAACAATGAAAGTGCTTCTCACAGTTGTTCTTTACTTCTGTTTATGAAAACAGCCTAGTTCTGTAGTAGTGAGGAGTTCCTTATAAAGAATGAGTCACCTTTTCCATTAAGAGTGCATTTGGGGTAGTCCGTATGCACAACTTATAAAATGACTCTGCACCTCCCTGAGACCAATGGGAAACTGAGAATACAGCAGAAATTCCTCCAGCACACAGTTATTGAACTGAACACTAAAAGTACCTCAGTCATGTAAGTAGTAAGAGAACAAGAGGAAAGGAGGGGGAATCATTACACATTTATGACGAGAGGATGAATAAGGGAGATTGAGAATTAGACCAAATACTAAACCAGTGTTTCATCTCAAAGAGGCCATTAGGAAGATGTTCAAGATAGAAAGGATCAGCTGGAATAAACAGGATATTGTATGTTTAATTGCAAACAACACCTAGGCAGCTCACTGGGATGGGGTAGCAGAGCTGGGTATTTTCTACCTCCAAATTACTTGAAAACCTCACACAGAGAGGCAGAAATGTGACAGCAAAGATTCTCTGGGAATGTTGAGGCTGCTGGCATGTGGTTGAAAACCAGCAAAACAGAAACAACTGCTTCTTCAGGCCAGGTGGCAAGGTCAGGCTTGGTGCTTGCAACAATACTGCACTCCTGGGTCAAGTCACCAAGGCACATCTCTAAGCCTTCCAGTTCTTGGGAACAGCCTCACTTTGCTCAGAGATATGTTGTATGGAGGGGACAAACTCATGCTCCTGCACAAATCTAGGGGCTGGAATGGAGATCAGGCTCTCTGATCCCTGCATTCAACCAGTAAAACCAGTGACAAAAGTACGGTAAGTGAGGGAGTAAAGCTCTAAGGAATGTCTGGCTTCTTGGAGTGTTATTCCAATTGCTATGAAAAAATTAATCTGAGAAAGTGATAAAATGCCCACCCTGTCAAAAAAGGTAAACAGGTACCAGTTCAACTTTCTGGGTGACAAGCAATGATGTGGGAATGGATGGAAATCTCATCCCATTTTTATTCTGTAGGCTTCCAAATGTTTTGCTTCTCAGTCACAGGTCCATTACAAGATCTCCTGAAGCACTGCTGAAGCTAAGTATTACACTCTGGCAATAAAGGTGTGGAATATGCCTCTCCTTTCTGTTTTGACATCTTTAGCACAGATTATTCAGGGCATGAAAGGAAAGTGATTTCTCTGTCTCGGCCTGTAGATGGGGTGCGATGCACACTGACTGCCAAGTGAGTCTCAGCCTGGTGCAGGAGGCTGCTCCCTGGAACTGCTCTCTACAGAAATCATGAATTAGGGACTATGTGGGAAAATGCTCAAAATTTGTTTTCATTTGTCTGTTATTCCCATTTGCCTCACTCATATCCTCAAGCCTACAAGGCAAAGTTATATATGAAACTGATTTTTTTCTTTTTAGTTGTAAAAGTGTTTCTTTTCACCCAAAGGACATCATATCCCAGAAATGTGCTAGAAAAGATCATTTAAAAAAAAAGGTGATTCAAGTAAAAGGGAAAAATGTATTTTAGAGCCACTTTGAAAAGCACACATAAATACCCTGGTGAAAAGTCTTCTGGTGTTAAGACTTCCCAAGCCTGTAAAGCAGGTGACTGTGTAACTCCCAGCATAGCACATTTATCAAGAGGCAAATGAAAGACATATCTCCTGCTGCAAAATGCCTGACAATTTAAAAGGCCTGTCAATATGACTGTTGATTTATGGATCTTTTGTCAAACCCAGAACTCTAACATCTATGGGCTCTCCCAAACGACATAATCATCTGGCACAAGTGTCCAATATCTCTTCTTCTTAAGGTGGAAACCAAGTGTTCCTTTTTGTAGGACGCAGGTGTCAGCTTATTGCTTAAATGTTCATGCTGCTGTTTTATATTACCAGCTTTGGTGGAATAGTTATCTCCCTGCATGCTCTCTTTGGAGACAAAGCAGTTCAAATCCTTTCCAAAAAGCCACAAGCATTAAGTTAAAAAAGGTGCTTAGGCTCCTGCACAAAATATTGTTTTGGGAACTCCTAAGATGAATTTCTCACTAAGAGAAACTCTTATCTCTTCTTGGAATTTATCCTGCAGAATCACTTGTCCTTAGGACAGCTCTGTCTGCCACTCAGGAAGTTTTTGTATTGAATAAAGCCCAGCTGCAGTGCTGGTGACTCAGAGACCAATGCGAGAGCTCTGTCATTGCTAAGTTAATTCCTCTATAGCTCTGTATCTCAGTAATTACTGTTAATGATGTCAGCAAACCCTTTATTTTTTTTCCAGCTAGGAAGTCATCTGCTTTACATTATGCATGCCAGGGTACACAAAGTGATGGAAAGCCAATTTTCTAATTTAAATAACCTATGCTTAGGCATGATCAGAACACTGAATTCACATACAATGAATCCATCACACAGTGCTGCCCAAAGACCTATGACAACAGCAGCTGAGCACCTGAGATGAACTAATCCTTTCCATCCTTTGAGAAAAATTCCCAGGGTTTGGTTTTTGCACTCAAAAGTGTGCCCTATGATAGCAATAGAGAAATGTACAAACAGCATTTTTGGGCCAAAACATCAGAGATGTCTCCCCTCTGTGATGAGTCTTGTTTGTTAAACACATCCTCTGCAGCCCTGAACAATGCTGAGCTTCAATGGGACAGTGGAAGGGCCACAGCAGAGGTGCCCTAATGTGCACTCTGACATGACATTATTCACAAGCTGCACACCAGAACCTCCTGCTTCTCTGTGCTTTTTAGTGACAGTGAATCCCACCACATTGCTTAGGGCTCTGTGTGCTACAAGATGTGCTTGTACTTGACCTACCAGACCAGGCTGCTCAGGCCATGCACATACAAGGACACGCAATTTGTGCACCCTTGATGAATGTGAAAATCAACAGCAAGGCTTAAATTTGACAAGTTAGGTATTCTAACCTAATCCTTGATTAAAAGGGGCAAAAGAAGTTTTTTAAAAACTGAGGTCAGACATTGTTTCAATAATCACTGAAGGTACAAGCAAGCCAAAATCAAACACTAAATGCCAGCCAACAGTCCTGGAAAATACAAATGCAACTAAGCATGTGAGCAGACCCACTGGCATCAGTGGTTGGTCCCAAGCACAGTTTAGTTTAGTTTGCTAAATAGCCCTGTGACACCAGAAGAACAAAATTGTTTTTCAAAGTAGGTCAGTTACAATAATGGAAGTATAAAAAGATCAGCAAGGTGCATGTTGCTTAACTCCAGATTAAGGAAAATATAGAAGAAAAAAAGGAAATGTCTCAGAATTTTCAATGAAAAATTTTACTTTTGTATTGCCAAGGGTGTTCTAAAGCCACTGGTTAGCAAACAACTCTACCAGATTTTGTAGGGAGCACACAGTTTCTTGAATCACAGTGTTTTACAGCAGAATCCTAAATGTGAGTAGGTGAAGAAGTTGAACACCTTAATGCAGTTTGCAACACTTAGGGACTTGCTCAGTACCTCATTAACAATGTTCTGGATTCTCTAGGCACTTTGGAGAATGAGGGCAAGGGAAAGTACCATTCCGCCAGCGTTAAAGAAATCTGCCAACCTTTTTTTTAAGAAGCTCCAATTACTCTATACATTGCAGCACACAACATTTAGGAAAGGACACACCTTTGAATAGAGAAGGCCTTTCTTTGACTAAGCTGTGTTAGAAGCAGTGTTAACAGAGACACAGCACTGCATGAATAAACCAAAGGCATATTTGAGCCCCAGTCTGATGCTAAAGACACCTGTCTCAGCACTTACTTGTTTTCTCCTCTGGAGTAAATGCCCCCTATGTTGGGCACACACAGAGCAGGAAAGCTGGATGTGTGTTTTTTCACCTTTGCAGAGTAGAGTAAGCTTATAAAAGTATGTATCATATGTTTCCAGTTATTACAGTATTAATATATAAAAATTAGTAAGAAATATTTATCATTGCCAGGCTTCCTTGCCTGGAAACTGTATTTATATGTACCCTCTCCAAACAGACCTGGTGAAGGTTTTTTTTGAAGTGTTTCTGTAGATGCCAACAGTCGAGGACATCAGAGAGCAGCCTTGCCAGAGAGTGTTTATGTGCTGACAAAGCTGTCAAACACTGTGGACAGATGTTCAGTAATTACTCTCTGACTCCTCTATGCAAGCCTACATGCACAGCATACATATCCACTCCATGCTGCAGATAAAACTGCTCCTCCTCAGCCTAGAGTTGTGTCTGGACCAGACTATATATTTATATACTAAACACCCCCACAGATAAGTATCTTGATTTTTTTTTCTGTATTGCATTTTTAAGACACTGAGATCTCAAAGCATAACATGGATCTTACTTCTTTTTCTTGCAGTAGCTGTTCCTGGAAAAGCTTCCACCGTCTCTGGCGGTGGTTCTCCCATTTCTCCAGCTGAGGGACCAAATTCTCCTGCCATTCCTCTTTCAGAAGCTCACATTCTCTTACAGAGAGGCTGGTCACCACAGGCAGGGTCTGAAGAAACAGCTCCGTCACCAGCTCTGCTAAAGCATTGGAAGCCTTGGAGTACAGCTCCTAACAGAGAGGGACAGAGAGAAACAGGTGACAAAGTGAACTCCCAGCCCCTTGGAGCTGTTCCCTGATTGATGCCAGTGTGGGAACCATGTGAATACAACTGGGCTGGTGTCCAAATCCTAGAGCTAAAATCCAGTGCCACTAAGGCTTGAGTTAAAAGGACCACGTTTTGTAGATGGAACAACAAAATGTTTTGGTTCAAGCTACACAAGGCATTTAAAATGCAACAGTGGCAAGAGCACATGAGACTCTGTGCCCTGGCTGTTGCTCACATGTGACTGCAGTAGAAAAGAACATCTTGTTTTACTGGCTATGGTGATGTGTTATAAAAACACCTATTTTGAAAGTAGCTGTGGAAACAATCCAGTGTAGCACAACTTGTAGGCACATTTTCTCAGGTGCTGATATGAAACAAATGAAGAAAGAGGGAAGATTAAAAAGGATGCTATGGCTTTTAGCTAGACAAAAGTAACATCAGTCATGTCAGTAGTTGGTACTTCAAAATATGACACTTTTTAATGCCTGAAGAACAGAATTATTCAAATTCATTCCTGATGCAGAATAGTTTCAAGTCTAGGAAAACAAACATCTTCTGGTGGTTTTAATGAAACTAGTCCCATATAAACAGTTTTAAATTGCTGAGGCTGTTTCACTCACAAGAAGCACTGTGGTGATTTAGTCAGATGACATCCAAGCTAAAAACTCAGTTGTAGGTTCACTGTCAAATACACAGTGATGATGGGAGCTGTGTTGGCAAACTGGGTGGTATTTGAGATAATTTCTGGGCAGCAGTGGGAACAGGTAGCTTTCCCAGCTGAAAAGGGAACAAAACCACACTGGAAAGTCACAAGGACACTGCAGGATTCCTGCAGGATGATGAGCTATTTCTCTGTGAGTTCTGCATAATCCTACCAGTTCAAGAAGCTTTACTGTCTAGCTGGGCTTGCTTTCATTGCAAACCAGTGTGAACCCTCTTGAAAACACATATATTTATTTTCTTTAAAATACTGATAATACTTTTGAAACTCTCTTAAGGACTCCTGTTAAAAAAACAAGTCAGATCTTCTAGATGCTACCTTCTTTTAAATACAGATTGAATTACCATTTCTTAGATGATCAAAAAATAGAAACTCTCAACAGAAACAGGGATATTTATCTAGATGTCAAATATGCTTGTCTGCAGCTTACAGACAACGGAAGTTCTAGTGGAATTTTTTTTGGGAGGGGCAAACACTGCTATAATGTCTAATGTGTAAGACTCCATTCTAACTGCTAGACATTGAAATATAAAATACAAAATACTAGAAAATAATAATAGAAAAGTGCAAGGATAAGAACAAGAAATAAAGACCAGAATTTAGGTTGAATAAGAAATATAGTTCTGTGCCCACATTTGGGATTCATGTAATGTTTTCACACCACCTTTATCTGTTCCATGTTTAGGTTTATAAATACCCTTTGAAGTGATTGATTTCTGCAAAACATTTTAATATTTCTCATTTACTGTAAAATATACAAGCTGTGCACTGAGAACTAAATTATTATTTTCCTCCTATGATCCCTCTAGGATGCTAATCACCATATTAATTAGCTGTTTCACAAACAATAAATAGCTTAACAGCTCCCTGCAGTAACCTCTTCTTATGGATAAAACTGAGGCACAACACTAAAAAACATGTTCACTACACCTTTGAGATGAGCCATCTCAGCTCTTTCCACTTTCTTACCTGTTTAAATGAGGCAGGATTTTCAGAATCCAGCTCCCACTGGCTTTCTTTAATTTCAAAGTATTCTGAATTCTTGCAAATTTGACTACAGCTTTTTGAAAATGAGTACTGATGAGAATTAGTAGCCAAAGACCCAACATAATATCCAACTTCTGATAATACTCTTCCCATTTCTAGTGATTGCTCACAATCTAGACATGGCAGTGTCACTAGGGGAACATTTGCTACATAGGTGTATCCTGTGCTGAAGTATTATAGCCCTAACTCCCTAATTATTATAGTTACAAGTTCCTGTTACAACAAGAGGCACAATTTATATCATCCTAATAATCTGTGTAGTTGTGGGCCTGGCTTAGCTTGCCAAAAGCAATGCCAAATGGTTAACTTGAATTCTCTCTTCTGCTGTCATTTTAAAATCCAAGACTCCAAGTTCTCAGATTTAACATAAACTCAAAGATACTGCACTTCTAATCTACATATCCCATACAACATTTACAGAATAATGGCTCTATCTCTTTAAACCATCTCTCCTCTGAACTTTACCAGCCTTTCAGGACATATTAATTCTCTTGCCTTTACTGGGTGTTTAGTGATACAAGAATTTCTCTATTGGGTCTGAAATAGTTCAGAAGGAGTCTAGAGGAGTCTGTGGCATTTCTACAGCAGTAGATCAAAAGATCTCAGGCAGGGTGTTAAGGAATTCTATTCCTTAACAATGGCAGCTAAATCCCTTTTGAACACATTTTGCTTTGGAACTGATAGCATTTCCCCAGCACAGCTCACAGCTCTGTTATTTGCCATGAAATATTTTGCACAGAACAAAAATATGGTATTTTGTTCCTGGCTGTCAATGACATTTTGTTCTCCCTGTACCCCCTGCACCTTCAAATTATACTGTATGCTTACCTTTGGCACTACCACAGTTACTGAAGAAAAATGTGATTAGGTCTGGTTCCCACAAAATGACTTATCTGTATATGTCACCTCATAAAAGTGACAATCACACGGACATCAGAGCCCAGGCAGCCCTTGCATGCCAGACCTAAGAGGACAGCATGCTGTACCCAGAGGCCACACCACAGGGACAACACAGTGGCCATGCTGTTTAATGCAGCACTTAAAAAATGTGGCAAAATGGCCTTTAAAAATTTGGGAGGGGGAAATACTAAGTCTACATTTAAGAAAGATTGCAGATGTGGCTGAATTCTACCCAGTGACTCAAGCTAACAAAATAGTTCAAAACTATTTGTAGTCTAAGGAATGTACTTGATTTCAAACTGCAATAAAGTCTGTCTGTGAGCAGGGATGGCACACCATGTATTATAAAAGTTATTTTTCACAGGAAAGAAAAGTACTGCTTCCAGGATCTTATTTTTGGACTAGAGCCTCTACAAATATTTTTTACAAGCTTCCTGATATGCCATCTCTTGTTTTTAGAGCTTTGACTTAATGAAATGTATTCAAATTGATTCTATTGACAGAACAGCTGATTGCAGTATTGAATGAACCTGTTTGTAGTACCTGGCAGTCAATCTCAAAGCTTTTTAAAAAATCCCCAGAGAAATACATAAAGAAATACCATGGGGTATACACGGAAATAAAATGGGCTTAGATTAAAACGCTGAGTGCATCTGAATTTTAAACAAGGCAGTAAATATATAATTTTGTCAAAAACCTGGGGAAATGCAAAGCTTATCAGATTTCACTCAAAGAACAATATTAATTCTCCCCCTTAAACCTAAAAGATTAAAAGGTTCCTACATATAGATGAAATTGTGAAGCAGGAAAATGTATTTAGAAAGGCTGGTTGTAGTTTATTTTACATGCCAGCCACTGAAAAGTATATATGCCTCAAGGAGTATATATGCCTCAACAAAGTATATATGCCTCAACAATGGTTGTAGTTTATTTTACATGCCAGCCACTGAAAAGTATATATGCCTCAAGGAGGCAACTGTACAACTATTTGTTAACTTGTGATAGAACATTTTATTGAAGGAATTAAGTATCTGATCAAAGCTGTGGAACACTGTTGCATGTGCCCCCAGAAGTTCAGTGGCTAGGACACTTGGTTAGGGGGTAAGAGATTCATCTCCCAAACCATACTGTATCTTAGGAAGGACAGAGATTCAATACTCAGATCATACATCCCATAAATACATCCAAAATTCTGGGACACTGGACACACACACCACTGGCCACCAGAAGATACTCCACATACACTCAGAAGATACACCACTGGAAACAGGGAAAAGCTGATTGCACGTACTTCTCTCTTCCATGTGAAGAATTCTGGAAAGTCAATTGGAAAACAAAATGTCTACTGGATTTTAAGCATCCTAACATCAAAACAGCACAGTGACATTGAAGTCATTCTTAGCACAAGTTAATAAAAAAGCTCCACTACTTGTTTTCCACACATTTAAAATGGAGGTCTATTGAAATTTCAGTCTTACCCCCTCACTGGTTTTTGATTTACCCAGAAGGCAGTTCCAATCTTCTCTGTTGGAACTCCTTTTTTAGAAATATGCCTTTGTAGACAAGGTTACATCGTTCATGAGATCTAACTATTAGCCAATTGTGAATCTGTATAGTGGTAAAATCCATTTTCTTATACAGTAAGGTAAGAGGATGACTTCAGAATGAAGGCTACCCCTATCAGACATCTTGTATCAGCTTTGACTGAAGCAACCAAAACAAACCTAATAGTGCCCAAACCCAGAATTAGAATGGGCTCTCATGGTATGAGTTCACAGATTTAATCTATTAGATGATGCTGTATTTTTGGGGTAAGTCACAGGGCAAAAATTTCAAAAGTGAGCCTTTGAGGTGGAGGTCTCTTGATAGAGATCTCCACCTGAGACAAACTGACTGATTCCCCCTAAAAAGATGCCAGCTCTTGGTACCCAAAAATGCAGTGCAGCATCCCTAACCATATCTCATGTTAACAAAATTACACATGGAAAGTAATGAAAGACCAAGTCTCAGAGAATCTCTACTTTTTATAAAAAATATTTTTTTCCCTTTTACTAACAATAGAAAAAATCAAATACTTTTCCTCAAACTCACAATTATGTCTACTGCCTTGCCTATTGATAATACTCATGACTTAATAGCTTTTAGTCTAAATTCTTGTGCATTTTATTCCCATGTCAAGCCAAATGAAATAACATTCTGGTGAATGGCTATCAGCAAAGGGGAATTATAAATGAGAATAAATTGTGTTTTTATGGTTTTGAAATAAAGGCAGAAGAAAAAGACCTATCTTACCACGTACTATGTAATTCCTAGCTGTTAATTGATTTCCTCTGTGCAATCTGCATGTCTGTTTTAATAACAGTGTTATCCCCCCAACCTCTTCACTTCTCCTTTCCCTACTGAAATACACGTGTAGCTCACACAACAACAACAACAACAACAAAAAGAGGGAAAATATTCAAGGTTGGTGACTATCTGATATGTTAAACTTGAGACAGGTTTGACCTAGCCATTAACCTGTTCAAGGGAAACAGAACTGGATGTACTGGGGCAGGGAGTGGGGTGGGTGGTGCATTACTGCTGCCATGTAATAGAAAATAATGGTAAAACCAGCACAGAATCCCTTCTATACAGGATCATTCTGCAGACCGTGTTCAAGAAAATATTAGGTTGATCCATCCAATTATATTTGCACATTTTTTCCTTCAGTTATGATATACTGTGATAATCAAAATAATTTGCCCTCATTTTTCACACACGTTTCAAAAATTAGTTATGGAGCCTGTGTCTAGACACAAGACTATTCACCTACAGCACACTATTTTAATCCAGTAGTGTGGCTGAAAGTCCTCCAAATATAACTCATTCATTCACTTCAGGCATCAACAGACTCCACTGACCTTGGTTAAATCATTTTAATTGATTTATTCATGCGTACACAAAACAAACCTACTCAATTATTCTATGCAAACACAGTCAGCTTCCAGATCATTGAATTTTTACATATTTATTCACCAATTTGGATAATTCTTCCATGTACTGTAGCAGTACAGACTTCCCTAGTGCTAGAGGGTTATATAAGTCTATCCTGATCTGTTTAAAAGGTGAAAAATGAAAAAATGGAAAAGGCATAGAAATTTGAGAAGGGCTTAGAAGAGCACTGTGGGAACAAACTAAGGATCTTCCACAAGGGAGTGGCTCTTAGAGGTTAGTAACACCTTTTCTTCTGTCCTGAGAATACTCACTGGTTACCCGTTCAGCCACATGGTGACCTTTTCCTTAAATTTTAACATCACCTTTTTCATTGAGATCGTGTTTCAGCTTCTCCATTTGCAAGGCAAATGACTGTCAGTTAAGCTTCAGGGAGTGCAGATCTTCTGGAAAGGCAACATCAGGCTTTGCAGTGTTTACACAAGTGCCCAAACCAGCTGGTTCTACAAAGTCCAAACCCAGTGGGGACACAGATCTGTAGCACAGAGCTGATGCTGCCATGTGAGGCTCGCTGGTACCCAGCTTGTTAATGCCTGCTTGTTTAACTCTACGTGAGCTGCAGTCACACAACTGCACTGTGGAGGATCTCAAATCTCTGAAATCTCCCCATTGCTACCCTGCATTTTCTTCCTATGACAAAACTGGAGCAGCTAAGTGAAGAGGTGAAGTCCTGCTGCCCAGGGAAAGACCTGTGCTTGTACCTGCTCCACTTCTGCTCTGGGTGTGTGGTGGAGCAGAGAGAGAAGCAAAAGCATTGTGTTTGTGAGATGCACCTCCTTCCTTTAACAACAAGTCTAGTTTTGCTTTTATGCCCCTGGCTATGGAAAACATGTAACCACTGCACTGTCCTCAGCTGCAGAAGTCAGCACAGCCCCATTTACCTTCAGTGGGGCTATGCTCATTTGTATTATCTCTTCTTTCTAGCTTATAAGGTATATTCAAAAGCAGCCTCCTCTTTTAAAACAGTTCATAGGATCTGTATTTGGAGTTAAGGGGAGAAAGTGTAGTTGCTCATTATATTAAATATCACAGTAAGAATATTTTATTGCAGAAAAAAGAAAGTGGAAATAAAGATTTGTGGACCCTCCTTTAACAGATGCCAGTTGAATCACATTACTTGCAGCTTTTCATGTCTGGCAGTGTTTGGATCTAGACACAGGAGAGTAGCTGTAATATGTAATATAATGGCCTAGAGCTTGGTGAACTGGCAGAATTCAAGTTTGTGCAGTTCTCCCGGCAACCTGGCAATTCTAGAAAAACCTAATTTAGCCAAACCAATTTCTCTTTAGTGGGAAAGAAAACTTAGCTTAGTACTGAAAGACATAGGATTTTCAGTCTTGTCTTAGTGTTACTAAAGTAGAGTACACAATAAAGGAAAGCAATATAATTTCATAAATGAGGAGGAACTGTGTAGATTTAAAAAAAAAATTGTTTAGTCTCCAGACTTCACATGAATTGAGGAATGGGATGGAGAAGTTAGTAACTATAGATGATGAACTGAGCACAGTAATATCAGCAAACATGTTGATTTTTCCTACATTACACAGCTTTGTACATTTAATCTACTCTGATTCACTGACTTCATTTTTTTATCAAATGAATTTGAAAAAATGCATATGGACTACTGCTAATTAAGATTGTATGGGTATATTAGCCATATGTGATAGGGACCACAAGTTTCCACAATATCCTGATCTGGTCATAATTAATAATGACAAGGATCCTGTTGAGCTGAAAGTGATTAGTTCCAGCCTAATTAAAGGTCACTACTGACTATGGTTTTGGGCTTCACCAGACAGATCATGTTATCATATTTTTTCTGCATAGACAGAAAATAATTAAAGATGATGCAAAAGCATGAAGCACCTGGAATTTTCCAAATCAGTAACAAAAAAGAAGTGTTAAAACATTACACCAAAGATCTGAACCTATTTCATGGAACTAACTAGAATAAAAAAATTCTCTGTGAGAAACGAATAAGAAGATTGTCTTTGGAGATGTAGTGAAGTTCACTTAGAATAGTATCATCCAGTAACAGTGCAGAAGAGATAATTATGCCACATTAATGAAATCTCCCTCCTGGCAGTAATAACATTGTATGCTCTCAACATTACTGCAACATTGTCAGCCACCTGGGCAGCATGTTTTGGCAGACCATGCAGACATTTTCTGACTAACATGAGGTTAGGAAACATAGTGTTTTGGAAAGATACGGGAAAAGGCAAGCTAATATGGAAGACTGTCCTGCCTCCAACTTCTGCATCATCAGCCCAGCTTTCTGGAGCTGTAATTCCTGGAGGTGATCCTTCCTGCAATTCCCCAATCTTCCCCAAGGCCTGACACTGTAGTGGGGTTAGACAGTCTTCAAAATTAATTTAGCAAATGACATTTATCACTAGAAGTGGCACCTTGTAGAGATCAGCGACAGCCTCTGTGCTCTCACAGTCATCCTCCTCCTCCAGATCCCACTGTGCTTGCCAGTGTTTCTCCATCAGCTCATGGTAAGCCTAAAACAGAAACACAGTAGGTATATTTAAATAGCAGAGAAGATCTTAATAGTTTCTTGTGATCCTTCCCTTTTTTTCCTTGATGCTCTTCCCATGTATCACTACAACAGTAATTGTTTACCTGGAACCATGACTCAGAGGGAAATGGAACTTGCCTTACCATTTTAATTTGAGCTTATCCAGTCTTGAGTATAAAATTTCTTAGCCTCAGCAACATGGGGTTAAATAATATGTAAATACTACTAGAAAACATATGAAGTTATCTGATTTGAAACCTGCCTTCCACTGTATAAATATCACTACATCACAGCCATTACTATGAAGTACAGTACAGCCACCTGACATCGCCATGAGACACCTGAGTTACAGCTGTATCCCACTGTACAGGCCTTTTGCACTGGGGTTGGGTCACCAGGACCCATGGTGATTCCTAAAAGGCTGTCTATGATGTGGTCCTGACTTGGTCCTTGGTCACAGTTTTAAGAGGGATGAATTTTTTTTCTTCATGCAAGGACTGTGACTGTGGATGTGTTGGGAGACTCATGGAAAATTGTATTTCACAGACAAAGACTACCTCAATTTACAGACTACTGAGTAGCATTACACATAAGTATTACAGATTTTGATTTAATCTGCCAAGTGCTCCCTTTCACTCCCATGGTAAATATGGCTTTCTTCATTAGGTATGTCAATAGAGCTCTGCTAAGGAGAACCAAAGTGCCCATAAATGCTTCAGCATTCTTGTAGAGGTAGACTTGAAAACTCACACATGTCATGGAGTCATACTTTATGATAGAACTTGACAAATTAACTGCTATAACTTGTATTTCCACCGTGGGTAGGCAGAGCCAGACTGGGTTACTGTAACTGACACTTTATGGTTTGTGTTCTTCATTGATCATTCCTTGATCATTCATTGATCATTCCCTACCAGTAAAAGACAAAATTAAAATGCTCCTTTTCCAACAGAAACACAGATGAAGGAGAAAGAAGGATATAGGGACTCCAACCTTTACTATATATCTCATTCTGTCTTATAAAAAAAATCAGATCTGCATCAACTCAATTGTTACCACCCTACTTGTGTGCAGAGCAATCTGATGTGAATGAAGTTTGTTGCAAAATACACCATCATAATTGGCAACCACCTAAAATTCAGCAGTAAGGTCAGTTACTGGCAAGGCTGCTACCATGGTGGTGTGAGCCCTTGATGAGATAAAGGGGGAAAGGCAGAGAAAAGAAGTGTTTTTGGTGGGTACAGCTCTGGGCTCATGGTGAGGCTTTGTAATCAATTCTTTTACTATTGGGCTGGCTGTGAAATTATGAAACAAACTTAAAATAGCTCCTCAGTGCCAAGTGGATTGTTCTCCCAAAGTAATTACTGTACTATTTAAGTCAAACCATGGGAGCTGCAGGTACAAATTTTTCTTATTCTTTGAAGAGTTTCTACACTTAAGACCCCATCTGTTCTGGGACAAAAGACTTTCTCACTGTGCAGCAGAAAGGCTTACATTTCTGACTTTCATAATTTGTACACAGGCATTTCATAATCCTAAAACTCAGCTGTGTTCTGTCCTGCAGCATGAAGTGCACATTGCCCCTCCCTGCTCAGCCTGTCAGAAAGGTGTTGAGTGGGCTTAATTAAACTCTAGACTAATGTTCTGTTCATCAGGTGCACTGAATAGAGCATCTCTTGCACAAAGCTGTGTGGCTGTACCTTTGTAGGGAAGGGGTCTTACAGCAAAATTTTTAAGCTTTGTTCAATGAATCTGGGATGTGTCCAAGAGTGTCCAATGGTGTCTAAAAGGAAAATACATTCACAAGTGTACACTGGCTACAAAAATGTGACAGAATTATTTGTCTCAAGTTATGAAAAGCCAAAGATACAAAAAGTGCTCTAGTCGTTTTGGAGTGAGGTGTTGCCAGGTAAGTGTGCATAAGAAACAGTAACTGCTTTATCCAATTCATACAATATAATTAAAGAATATGGCCCCATGGTGCAAAATTGCAGGGTTAAGACCAATAAATTCTGATAGTTTGCTGCAGATGGAATCTGGGTCTTCTCATACAGTAATTTTATCTACGTTATTAGATTTCATCAAAAGTTTAATGCTGCTGGATGTAGCCAGTTTCACCTTAAATTATTTACTTTCACAAAAACTGAGTATTGATTTTTTTTTAATTCTTAATAACTTGGGTTTGCAGTTGTCAGCAGTTACTCAAATTTTGCAGCTCTCAGCATTTACAGCCAAGAACTCTGATTTTGTATATTCATTTGGAACAATAATAACAAATCTCTATAGAAAATATGAGCACAAAAACGTTACACTGGCCATTGTATACCATATTAAATTATCAATTGCAAACCTTCTCTAAGGCATCCTGCCAGAGATCATAATTAGTTTTTCCTCTACTTCTCTGAAATTTGGCAAGTCTTTTGAGCCTCAGTAACCCCACTCATAGAAAAGCAATTAGATCAGTGCAGACTGTTTTCTTCTGTAATTCAGGCTGGATACTTTCCTCCAGGTATTTCCTGTCTTGAAGCAACTCACAGTACTTAAGTAAAGATGTTTTCTACGAAACATGCAATTTTGCATTAACCCCATTGGCATTCTCTTCCAATGCACCAACACCAATGCTGCAGGAAAAGCCATGGCAGCAGAGGTTCTGACCCTGCCCACCTGTGCTACCGCACATGATTCTCACAAGGACCCTAAATTCCCAGTTTTACAGAACTGGGAGAAATCTGCAATACATTTGGCTTTAAAAACTAATAGAACAGGGAAAATAAGCTTTTACTTGTTCACCTTGAGAAAATGATGAACATCTTCAGTAGGAAAAGTTTTGCTAAGGAGACTCTCACGTTCAGCTTCCTGTCTGCGTTTGAACTCTTCCTTCTTCTTCGCACGGCACTCCAGCCGTTTCCAGATCAGGTCTTTACTTTGTTGCATGCACTCTGGAACATAAACCACAAACAATTAGGCACCACAACTCCACAGGGAGAAAGCAGCATCTGCTACTGTCACACAACATAAGCTCACGGAGATCTGTTAGTGAGTGAAATAGGCAAGTAATCACCATGCAGGATTTGAAATTTGCTTCTTACCCTGATGGCCTTTTTAGATGTGAACTTCTAAATTGTTACATGGCACTTAAATCTATCAGGTTTTTGGACTGTTACCATCCTGCACCCTCCCTTTCACTGGTGCTGCTTTTTATGCAAAGGCAGTGTGTTAGTCCAAGAAACAGATTGCCTCATGCAGCACCCAAACCTCCCCCTCCTGCTTCAGGAAGGTCGGTAAGTGTCTCATTACCTAACTGAAGATATGCAAATGCTGCTGCAAGGACAGGGGCAGTAACATATGGTGGGAAGAAAAGGTCTAAAGCAGTGCTAGTTCAGATTAGCTTGAACTGGCATGCAGCCCATACATACCAGACTTCTAAAGTGAATCATCCAAGAACCTGCAGTAAAAGTTGTCAAGGTCCCTCCAATTTTGTGCTACTAATGTGGGACTAAATTCCTCCCCACTTCATTCCCCCTGTAGCTCCAAGTGATATATAAATTAACGAGTCTATTTGCATCCTGGGCTGCTGAGTGCAATCACTGCTTTAAATGTTCTGCCACTTCATGTCTCATTGCCTGTCCACCTAAGAAGAATTTTACTAATTTCCCCCAGTTACCCTGCCCCAGAGCAGTACTACACTCCTGACACAAGCAGCTAAAAAGAACAGTTACCTGTGGCTGCTGTTCTGCCTCTACACCAAGCTGCTTTAACTAAGAGAAATTATTTTGTAGAGAAACAAAAGGAGCACAGTACTGCAGCATTAAGAATGTTATTTATTCTCCATGCTAATTTGTTGTGCTTATCTACAGGCTGATGAGGCACTCATGGAACATTTGAAGGTGCACCAAAAGTACAGGAAAGCCTGTAATGAAAATATCACTTAAATAAATGTAGCAGTGTTTTACTTTTAAACACTATTGATTCTTTACTATTTCCTTATTTTGTACCCTAGGAGCACAGTCTTGCTGGCTTTGTGCTCTGTTTGTGAATTATAGGTACAGTTTAACTTTTGTATTTAGAAGCTCATAAGAAAGGTCAACATAAGGCTCTATTGGAATAAATGCTGCACTCCAGATAATTTTTTTAAAGCATGTTTCAGTTCTATCTAAAACCAGGAGGTTGATAATGTTCTTCTGCACAGGATGTACCAACTATAATATATAGTTATATATAACTATAAAAACCTACTTTGCATAAAAAGGCCTTGACAGAGGTATTTTTGCTTTGGAACAAGTAAAAGTTGACAAAAAGAAGGAAAAATCACCCACAGACAACCATATATGCTTAAAGAATGTTAGTGGCTGAACCTGTGTAAAAACTATGAACTAGGCATAGACAGTTTTAGAAACAAAAATCCATGAAAGAAACTACATCACAATATGCCTGTATGTGTGAATATCAGCAAACTGTTCACACAGCTAGATGTTCTGAAAGAGGATCAAGTCTGCAGCACCTTCTGTGATGAAATAATTGGCTCAGTAGATGACGGAGAGTGGTGGATATTGGCTACCCTGACTTCAGGCAGGTTTTCAATGCAGTCTCCTGACAGATCCTCACAGAGAGGAGGATGGATGAGCAGTGAGATGGAATGAAAACTTGCTCAAAGTCCACCTGGAAGCCAGCACCTACTGGTGTACCCCAGGGGTCAATACAGAGGGCAATTCTGCTCAGAAACTTGGATGATGGAGCAGAGTGCTAATTTAACAAGTCTGCAGAGGTCACAAAAAATGGGAGGAGTGGCTGATACACCACACATGCTTGTACTTCCATGCATAGGGAACTTGACAAGCTGAAGAAATGGGCTGATGCAAATCTCCTGAAGTTTAACAATGGGAAGTAAAAAGTGCTGCACCTGGGGAGGAACAACCCCAGGCACAAGCACATGCTGGGGACTGCCCAGCTGGAAAGCAGCTTGGCAGGAAAGGACCTGGGGTTCTGGTGCACACCAGGTTGAACATAAGCCAGCAAGTAGAGGGAGGGGATCCCTTCTCTCCATTCAGATCTGGTTAGGCCACATTTGGAGTGCTGTGTCCAGTTCTGGGCTCCACAGCCAAGTAAAGAGAGACATGGAGATACTGATCTTGGGCAACCAACAGTAGCTCAACCTGCTTGAGCAGACAGGGTGGACCACACAACCTCCAGAAGTTCTTTCAACCTTAACCATTTTGTGATTCTGTGAATTTATGATTGTAAGATAAGGCACAAATTATCACCACTAAGCCCAAAGTGAGTGAGCAGCACTGCAGCAAGAATATACCGCAACAAGACTGCATTCATTCTGACTATTCAGTTCACTGAACTCTAAACCTAATGCCATTTTGCTCTGACAATTTTCTTTAAATGTGTCCAAAAATAGCAGAAATGGTTCTGGAAATTGAGTTGAAGTGGTTTGCATTATTTTCCTTCTGGCTAGATGTTTACCATTATTTGCTGTGAGTGCTGATGGGAGGCACTGAGCCCTGAAACAGCACCTATCAGAGAAGATGGGGCTATCTTTCTCAACACTGGGCATTAGGCAACATACAAAATGACATAGAGAGAACCTTAAATCAGTGGTCAGTCAGCTTAGACTTTATTATGACTGCGTATTTTTCAGATAGGCAATATGAAGAGGTGCAAAAGGAAGAGGAAAATACTTCATTTTTGAAGTATTTTAGTCCGACATAAGAAAAGAGAGATTTATAGGAAGATCTTCAGCTTTAGCATTATGTTTTCAGAAGAGTGATAGCACAACTGCTTTGTATGTAGCACAACTGCTTCTGGCTTTACATGCTATCAGGAAATCCTAAGACAGTGTCTTATGTCAGCCAGTATGACCAGCAATGCCAAGTATGTGAACAGTAAATGGACAAATATCACAAATACTTGTAGCAAGTACAATTCAAATTAATGGAATTAGATTATATGAACTATAGAATAAGTACCTAGTAACACCTGGAATAAGACATAAAAGGCCTGAAGTCAAAGTTTCCATGCCAAACATATACCCTGCAGAATAAAACTGATCCTGGTCAATTCATTAGTATCTTTTTAAAATAGAGAGGTATATACAGCTGAAGTTGTAATTTTTTTTACTCTTTAAAGCAATGAGAATTCATGTAAGTCATGAACTCCAGTCTAAGTACTCACCATTACTGTAATGTGCCAGCTGCTCCCAGAAGGCCTTGTGCAGGTCTGTTAGAAGCTCTTCCTTTTGTCGGACTGAAAGATTATTCTTTACAGTTAAGTGGTCCAGAATATTTGACACAGTATTTAATCTACCCTTACACTCTTCTGGTATAGAGGACTTCAGTGAATCAATCATTTTCACCATAAGCTCCCAGTTGAATAACCTTTCCTGAATGTCCTAAACCAAACATAAAGTCCTGTTTAGAAACCAAGAATGTATCTGTAGTTGTGTTTTCCTTTCTTTGATTTTCCTTTCTTTGATTTGACTACTGATTCCTAGAACACGAAGAAAACCACTGAGGCTTCTCAAAACCATGTGAATCACCATCTTCATGTACTTAAATACTTCTGGAAGCCTTGGTCAGTGCAGGCTAGCAGTAGGTTAACTGCATGTTCAGTTGCAAGTGCTAATCTAAAATTATTGGTGTTTTTCATTATTTGTAGCTGTCAAGAAGACATTAAGTCTGGAAAATATTTTAACAGTCTTGCAGAAAAAACTTAAATACTCAAGAAGGATAGATGGACAGAAAACAACATGGAAGTCCTGGACCTCTTTTCAAGTTACTATATGGCACACCAGTACTTATTTTGAAATGAGGACATATACCTGATTCTGATAATGCTGTGATTCCTTCAAACACATGGTCAGACAGAGTTCAATACATATATTAAAAATTAGTGTAATTGCCTACAGCCTAGCAGCTTTTATGGCACTATTAAAGAAGCAGCTCATGATCACAGTAGAGAAAGATTTCCTGGGTGAAAGTGCAGCTGCTTTAAACAGTGCTGCAAGGTTAGAAAGAGTTTGACAATGCTGTACTAACTTAACAGCTGGACTTGATCTCAAGGCTCCTTTCCAAACCAAATGATTCTATGATTCTCTGACCTACTGTAATCAATAGAGATGCACCTACAATGAACTCTGCAATGAGATTGCAGCATCATCACAGTACTGAGTTCAGGCAGGAATATCTCCTGTATCTGTATCCAGATCATCTTATCTGCAGTCTGCCCCTCTGAAGGAACTTACTGTACAGCAGCCCAGTTTGGGTCAAGTGTGACAAGCAGCAAAGGCTTTTTTCATACCTGGCCAGCTCAGTCTACTGAGCTACTCCAGTGCAAAACTAACAAGCTAGTAATTACTGTATCTGTTTATACACCAAATTACTGCAATGATTCTAAATGTATGCTAATCTATAAATTACATGTAACTCCTTCAGCATATCCTGTGCAAAAAACAAGGAAGGATCTGTTAGATTTAACACAACATAAAGCACAGTGCTGGTGATGGAACACAGTTTTCCCTCTTCAGACCATATCCCTAAGAGCTGATAACAATTTTCAATTCAAATTATAGTCACTGAACACATAGAATCACCCTCAAATTTAAATTAGGATTTGTCAGTCAAAGTGGAATAAATATTTTGAAAGAAAACAAAATTTTGTAATGCCCACAGTAACAATTCTCCATCGACTGGATCTCGTGCTCTCGCTCCTGGTTAACCATCTGCATTAATAACACTTTTTCCTTATATGACTAGCTAAATGGAATTCTGAGAAGTAGAACTCAAGTGCAGAGAGATCATTCTCCTATCAATCTTCCCAAAGTGCAATGGAAGTTGAGCTCTTTACAATAAAGCTCAAAGAGACCAACTGGATTAAGCAATCTACATCACTCCTGAGGCAGGACTGACAGACTCTGCACTGACATAATTCTTTCTGTTCAGATTGACTAAACCTGTCTCAACTTTTATTTCTTTTTTACTTTACCATTGCCTGCAAGTCTTGAGATTCACTTAACAAGCTTTCTACTGCAATCATCTTCTCAGTCAGATCCATCATTATCTTCGTTGCTTTGGCACTTGAGCATTTTGATTGGTCCAAAAAATCCTGCTGGGCTTTGTCAGTCTGCTTCCAGAAGGCTTCCATCTGTGGAATATGAATCAAAAACAACCCATGTTCCCTCATTAATCATCTGGTATTTCATTACAGAAAGAGGCATATATAGGAGTCTACTGAAATATAAGTCAGACAGCTCTCAGTATTAGTTATATTGAACAATTTGCAAAGCTAAAGAGACTATTATGTATTTTATATATATAAATTATATATATATAATATATTGGTGGTGGCACATAACCAGTAGGTCAAACCTGACCTTTAAAATAACTGTAGTAATTCTTTTTAAGTAGCTAAGAATTTGTTAATTCTCTACATATTGCATCTATAAAAGCCTATAATATTTTTTGTATTGATACTAAAAACCCAGAAGATAAACTGCATCCCTTTTATTCTGGGAGGTTTATTTAACTGTAGGAGCAGGTATTCTAGTCAAACAACATTTTTACAAAAAAAAGAAAAGCTGAAAATCACTACTGTTTTACACCATCAAAGCTTTTCACAGATAGAGGCTACATAAGCATTTTGCTGGCTGGAATGAAATACTTTATGCCAACACAGTGCATGTGCCAATTCTGATAGATTATTGTATGGACAATCCCTAGTTTTAGGTTCTGATTCCACAAACATGATTGTGCACACTGTCAATATTCTGTGCCCTGTGGGATTACTCGTACACATGAAGGTAAAAAATTCATCCATCACCACAATTTCTATTAAGTACCCATGAGTTTCAGAGAAAAAAAAAGTGATTATGGCATCTGTGAGTATGGCAAAAACCCCTTTATATTCTCAGAGGAAGACAGGATTAGTTAGTTCATGGTACAGAGCTATACAAATCTGCATAGAGGGAAATTATTTTCAGTACAACGAAAAGCATCTGCAGGCACAAGAGTGACAGACCCACTGAAGGATGGTCGCTGCTGGTGAATAAATGCCTCATGCTGCTCAGCAAGGTTGCCAGCAATTATTTTTACATGACTAACTCTGGAAAACTCTAAACAATCATTTTTTCCACTGAGCAAAGTTAAAGTGCAAAAGAAACTTGACACAGATGTTCCAATGTTACCAGGACTTCCACTATAAAGCGAAGGGCTCAGAGAAAGCAGAGAAAATTCCCAGGGAAGCACTTAAGCACCAGACGTTAAAAAATGTTAACTCCTGTATGAAAAAGGCCCAAGGCTGAGATGATGGGCTGTTTGGTCCAGGGCTGAAGTGCCACGGTCAATCAGCACAGGTAGCTCACAGAGCTGTCACTCTCTCATTTTCATCAGCAGTCAATTTGCTCAAACTTCAAAAACAGGGTTGGGACTCAGTTTACTGGAGAACAGGACATAGAATATTCTTAAGCTCCAGTTTTCTAGCCTGAAAGCCATACTGACACAGTGAACCTACTTTAGAGGAAAAAAAAACCCAAATGCCTGCTATCAAACTGTATTTTCACATCAAAAAATGCAAATATATTCTCATGCAGAAAGCTGCTAAAGAAAAAGGTTTTGCTGAAGTAAATTAAAAAAACATACTAAAACATTGCCCAGCAACTATAGTCTTAGTACTTCTTTCTGCTGGAAAAAAATTGTAGGCTCTTATTACTCCCTTACTCCCTTGATAAAAGCAAGGTGCAAGGATAACATTCCTAAAAATCAGGCTATACATAGGCTTGAAATAAATCTTATCATCAGACAAGCACCAGACACTTCTCAGCTGATAAAACAGTAGTGTTTTACAAAAAGCATAAAAAATGTTTTATCTATAAAAACATATTCACACCCAAAGGGAGTTGGAAATATTTTGCTGGGGCAAAGAAAAATATTTTCAGGACACATAAAAAATACTAACTGTGGAATACTCAACAAAACGATTGCACTAAAGAACTCCCCATCAAAATAATAGCATTAAAATAAAATTTTAGAAAAAATTAGAACTTACATTATCTATTACGTGCTCGGAATATTCCCTTTCCCTCCTTTCTAGGTCTTCTAGAGTCTGGAACTCTGAATTACGGGCTGCTGACATTTCAGTATTCTGGAGTCTAGATTCAAGTTGTTTCTGTAATTCTTCAAAATCCTGGGGGAAAAAAAATCAAGTGATTTCTTAAACAGAAAAACAGACATAACTTCTAAATTTGGGAGTGAATCTGTATGTCAGTTCTGGCTCATGGCTAAGGAAGCTGAACAGGAATGTTCAGAAAGTTCTGTCTCTTGGTAATGTACTTTCTGTAGCAAGCAAGGAAATCTCCAGATATATGGCAGTTCTGAAGCAAACTTAATACAAATACATTCATTTCCACTAGGATGTGAGTAGTCAAGACTGTAGTCCATCTCTGCTGAATTCATTAGTAAACACTGCTTCATGAGCTTTTACACTAAAAACTCCTGGAATCTATCTACAAATATTTTTTATTTTTATTGCATGTGCCCCATCTCAAATGGCTGATATGAGTGCACATGCTGTGTTTAAAAGCTCAGATAAGTATCAAGGTGTTAATTAGATAGTGATTCCTGCAGAGTGCTGGATGAACACACATGGATGAACACACCTGTAATGCTCACAAGGGACAAATTATAGGCTGCATGATTACATTAGGTTTCACAGTTTTTCAGTCCTTTAGAAACCAGGATGATTTTTCATGAAAGTTGATGTTGCTGACAAATACTAGTCTGCTGCCATTGCTTAGTAAGCTGATACCAAAAAGGGTGACTCCTCCTTCGCTGCAACATGCCTTACACAGCAAGCACTGACTTCTAATACCATCCACTTCTGGCTATCAATGCATTAACATGATACCCTTAAAGAAATGTAAGTAGAGTTTGACAAGCTTCACTAACAATTTCATCAAAATCCCATACATTTTTATGATGCATAAGTAAAAGTAGAAAATACTGTCTTCAATAAAACATGTAACATCTCTTTTACATGGTGGTTGTAACCAGCCTTGTTCCTTGTACGATATCTCACCTCTAAGACTATCAGGTTTACAAGATCTTTCTCTCCATCACATAGGACACCATACTGGCACTTAAACAACTGGACTCTCTGGCAATTATTGCATCTAACTATTTGGATTTAGTCCTTGTCTTGCAGCATCTTAGGAGCATGAGGACACCGATGCCATCAGACTTCACTGAGGATTAGGTTCTATTAGGAAACATGCCTGTTCTAGATTAGCTCTGTTAATAATTTGAAGTCATTACCAGAAGACCACCAGTAAAAGGATTTTGCACATCTAATCTCACTTTTCATCTAGTAAATACTATAAGCTTGAATATAAAACCTGAGGATTTAAGGCAGAAGAGTGCTTTAAGGCAAAATACCTTCTGATATAAATGATAGGGTACAACTACAGAGATTCCTTATAGTAATTCACAGACTGTGAGACTGCACAAAGTATTCAACTACTAGAGCTCATGAGCTGATAGACAAATGTCCAGATGTGAAATTCCATCTACACGTAAGAAAAGCATAATTGTTGCTGTGATTAGGTTGCTCTCAGTACAAACATTCAAGACTTGGATTGGCAGGGCACTGGATAACCTTTCACAAGACAAAGTTTCCTACAGAAGGCAGGACCAGACAATCTTGAGATGTGCTTCTCAATCCAGATTTTTCTGTGACTCTAAACTGGAATGTGGAAACAATAGCTCTCCCATTTTCTATAGTTTTGTAAAGCTTTTTGTTCCTTCTCATAACCTTAACAATAGTACTGTGACTCTACCTGAAATGCACATTGACTGTCAATAAATGTCTTCCAGTTCACAAGTGGCATGCGGACTACAATACAAGTACATGAAGGAAAAAAGGATTATGAGGAAAATAAGTATATTTTTCCATGATGAAAGCCTTGAGCATCACACTGCTACTTTATTTCCTGCTATTTTATTATCAGCAAGATATCTGGGACCAAACAAAGCTCCTGATAATTAGAAACTATTAAATTCGAGTGAATAAGGTTCAAAATGTTCTGTCTGCTTAAACGGATTCAACTACAAAATAGTTTAACAGATTACATAGATCACTTCATACAGCAACAAAGAGGAAAAGCACACAAGGTAATGTAGAAAATCAACTAACAAAGGAGTTTCTTTGCATTTTCTTCAGCAATAGATTACAAATGACATGGCTGTTCAAAAGGAATAGATGAAATGGCCTGCTGTGGGAATAAAATTAACTCTTATTTTGTGTGGTCTTAAACACTAACCAACAAACCCACTTACATTTTCCTGATTTAAAAGGATCTTCTTCAACAAACCATCAGTAATCTTCTTTTTACGATGGAAGTCTGTGAGGTATATCTTGAAAATCTGAATAAACATCTGTTTAAAAGGAAGAAAACAACACCCAGATTAAGTGCCTGTTTGTCATTGTAAGGAGATCTTTGTGATAACTTTGGCTGATATAAATCACCCAGAGAGCAAAATCATAAGAGAAACAGCAGATAAATTAACAGGTAAATCATCAGCGACTCTCAGTACTTCCACTGTGAAAAATTCTCTGGTTTTGGCTACAGTGAGATACTGGAAGATAATCCAGATAATCCCTAATCTCATATATCCTTGTAACCACACAGACACATTTTAAACTATTCTTGGCTGGAGAAAATGCTGATCACTTGAAAGTACAAAGCCTATTTTTCTAAAGTTTAATGAACCCCTAAACTGGAAGATATTAACTATTCAAAAGATACCAAAGACTCATTACTTTGACTTCAACTGCAGTCAGCCACATAATACATCAAACATTTCTATATACAACCCAAAAGAAACTACCTCAAGTTCTAGCTAGCTTCTCTTGCAAGAAAAATACTTATTTTCCATTTGTGTGCCTTTTTTTTAAAGACTGTAATACTAGTGTCTTCAAAAATATGTTTTTGAATTTTTTAACACTGGGAAAACTTTTGCTTAACCTTTTCCCCTCTTGCCTCAATTAGAGTTTCAGTAAGATTAATTCACTTCATTAATAACTGCTGCAGCATTTTCCAGTGTGGAAACAAAAAAACATGAAGTTTAACAGCCACTGCCTGTTTCTCATAATCTTGAAAACAAGATGATGCAGAACTTGCCAGAGTGAAACATATAAAAAAATATATATAAGTAGATATTTACATATAGAAACAATTATTGAAGCCAATACATCAGGTGAGCAAAATCTGGAAAACATATTGTAACTAGAGCCCAATAGAAGAGGAAGCCATATAGCAGTCATGTTTTGGATCCCACTTGCAAATATTTTGGACAGGAGTTTGTCAAGTTTTGAACACACTACCAAGATACCATAGACAGTAAAAAGAAAAAAAAAAGGGCTCAGGAGAAGACTGATAGAAAAGGATGTATTTCCTTAGATTTGATGCCAAGAAAGACTGAAATCAGAGAAAGCAGAGTGGGAAAGGAAGAAATTATTCTCAGACTGATTTATTTTTTCCCTTTTTTTTCCTTCTGGCAAAAAATATAAAGCTACTTAAATATTCAGCTAATGGTCAAAGTTTTTTGTGGTGATTCCTGGTGGGCCACAAAGCATGTTAAATGCTCATTTTCTCTGTGTTTCTGTGATTACATCACTATGTTGCTACTTACCTTCCTTTAGAAATTGATTATTAACCTTGACATCAAGTTCAACCTTCTGTAATCAAGCTAAACTTCCTTCTGGAATCTGACTACAATTTCCCTTTCTCATCTAACTAGACATGGATAATCCACCCACAATAAGATAAGAAATTGCTTCCCAGGTTTACTTTCCTGTTTCCTCCTTTGGGTTGTGTAGAAATTTGTTCAGAAAATGCCACTCTTTGAAATATTCTCAGTGGATTTAGTAAATTGTAACAGAAATTACCAATTTGTTTAAACTGAGCCCAAGAAAAGAGGGGAGGAAAAAGTTAGGACTTTATGTCCAGGTACATATTTACTGAGCTAAACCTCAGCAACAGTAATGGTGCTGATCACAGCTAGGCACCACAAACAATCATTACTGAATATCCCATGGCCTTAATTGTACTTTTTTTTTTCTTTTCTTTTCCTTGTCAGTTTTGGATGCTGTGACTTGATGCATGGTCATATTGATGCAATATGGTTTAAATGGTACCTTAATCCCACAATTGTAAAAATTCAGAACTATTGTACTTACCACAATGGTACTGATGCAGATGAACTGAATTTTCCATTTTATTCCAAAAGCTTTAAGTCTTTGGAGTCGCAAAACACAAACAAGCAAGTTTGTCCCTAAGACAAGCTCACCTGTTAAATAATTTATTACTTCTTATGAGCCTCAAGTGCTGTATGTTATTCTCTGAAGTAATGTTTAAAACCAATTTTTTGTATTTGCTATACTGGTATTTCACAGACCACTATACTTCATCATATTTTATTTCCTTAGGAAGCTCATATATATGCAGCATAGGAGGAAAAAAAAAGACAATAATGTGGAAATGCAACTCTCCTGCACAATATCTCACATAGTCAGCTGTTTATGTTATTCCCTAAACTAATATTCAACTAAGATGTTCAAAACAATGAGCTATAAATGAGATATAAGTACCTACCACATATTTTTCTTTTCTGAGGTCAGTATCAAGAAGCATGAGATCTTGTAAAGTAAGACTGCAAAGGCAGAGCTTAACATCAAAACTAAAACAAAGATTAAAAATGCATTAATAGCAGTCTAAATGATGGTTCCACAAAAAGACAACACAATCTAAGTTTCATTTAACCACTAGATACTCCTAAAAACACTGCCCCAAAACAGAAGTGAAGTCACTTTATTTCTACATTGCCTCCTTTTTCAGAAAAGTTTTCTGTATGTAAAAGTACACAAAACATAAAACTTTTAAGTTGGTGCTGCAGTTTCCTCTAGAAAAAGACAAGGAGAACATGGGCATGAGTGGATACAACCAGGGAAAGCTCAGCTTGAAATTGAAACAGCCATAGTAAGAGTGGATATTTTGTAAACACTCTTCATTGCTAGCACCTTTCCCAGTGCCTGGAACACAAATATGACTTTCTTGTTCCTGCTAATGAGAGTGTAGACACATGTATTCATCTAGGGGTACCTTGCCATGGGGCAGCTGAAAGGAAATCAGAGGTGGCAGTCCATTTCCATTACCTCCACCTGCTCATCAGCACTGTTCCTCATCAGAGGAACTGTTTTCCCAGAGTAAGACATGAGCAGATCCCATTAAAACAGAGAGAACAGACCACTGAATGTTCTCAGGGCATCTGCAGTGTGAGATGTCAATGCACAGCGCAGAGCTCCATCCCCAGCACACTGAGCATACAAGATGTAACAAAGACATCTCCTTGTCCTAACAGTGATACACCTTTTATCAGACAGCTTTTGGCCAGTTCTGATTCCCAAAATTTCACAAAGAACAGGATTACTTCCAACAGCTTAATGTATTAATCTCCCAACAACGTTTTTTGGGTTATAAGCAGATAACCCTGTCCTGATGTGGTGACTGTGTGCATTCATGCCCAGCCTTTCACCTTTAGTGACTGTCCTAAAAACACAGGAACTGACCAAACAAGGCAGGTTTTCTGCTTACCTCTCACATGTCAGCACTTCAGGGAAGCTGGCCACCTTCAGAAAGGCTCGAGCCTGAAACCTGTCATCGCTTGTTGTGGAATGTATTGTTGTGGAGGAGCTACAGTCCTCTTTGTCTCCCTGGCTCAGGGATCCCAGGCTGCCTGACATGGATGTCTCCACCACTTGATTAGGCAGAACTGCCTGCTTTGGATTCTCATGCAAAGATGGGTTGGATGAGCCATCTGCCAAAGGCTACAAGTCAAAGGAGAGTCACAAGGTCAATTAATACAACTCAATAAGGAGACAAACATCACATCAATTTTCAGTGTTGTAAAACAGTATACACAGCAAGTGTGTCCATATATACAAAAAGGTTTTGCATTGCCCAGGAAAGCATTCTTCTGCCATAGTTAGTTGCAGAGTGCATGCTTCCTCTCTTCCTTTTAGATCCTTGTGGTGTTTTTCTTATGGCTCCTTAGACAGATCCAACTTCCATTAATGTTAAGGGGCAGACATGCTCTCTTAAATACAGTGAAAATTGACTGGACACCATGTAAAACATTGCAGGTTTCAGGGGCAGCTGAAAGCAGCTGATACCTTACAGAATAAGCCCTGAGTCAATGGACTATAAAAAAAGGAAAGATCCCTATTAAGCAGATAGGCAGTAAATTTTCTTCCATTACTTGACTCTGCAATTTACTTTGACACAGAATGATTGTCATTAATTTTTACAAGTAGAATCTACAACCTTACCCTAAATTTCTGGTTGATGGGATAGATCACTTTGGCCTTTAATGCAAATGCTGTGATGTTACTGTTCAGAGGAGACTCACTTTCCTGTATGGAAAAGAACAGAAAACCATTTGAGAACAGCAGCAGATCTGGCAATTTTTCACTTTAAGTATCATGTGCTCCTTTTTGTTACACAATTTAAATGTTCCTATTGATAACTGCTTATTGATTGTCCCTGCTTCAGTGCAAGAAGTCTTCTCATAAGGCTCATTCCAAGTAGGAAAACTTGAAAAGGGAACTCTTGTCATTATCACTGCTACAAAATATTTTTAATTCTCCAGGAGAAAATAGGTAGTATCTGGCATTTGCAAGACATTTTCATTTTGTTTCTTGTCACTCTCCTCCAGACCCATAGCAACAGCTAAAGATTTTACAAATGAGACTAATAGTAAAAACTACTAAAAGATAATAAACTCCACAGATATAATCATGGCCATAAATTCTGTCTTTCAATTTGAATAAAGAAACAATAAATTAAGCAAACACAGTCACCATTTTGTCCCAGGAAAAACTTATGTAATACAACCCTTATGCAAAATATAGAGAAAATAACAATGTTTTTGCAAAGAACTTTTAATAGATACTGAATTCTTTTCACACAATTTTCTGTATCACATAATCTGACTTTCTGCTACTGCTTTTTTCTATATGCTGGAACAATGGGATCATCATTTATTTTGAGAGGCTAGGTATGGCTTAATAAAAGTTTGGCTACCAATAGCAGATAAAATGTGTAAATTCAAGCACTAGGATTTCCTATTTTATCTCTCTTGGTTTTGTGATATGAAATGAAAGACTCTGATTTGTCAAAACACATGGTTTTTCATACAGCTTTTTCTAGGAAATATCAAAGCACTAATAGAGTCTAAAAAATAGAAACTGAAAAAGAGTAAACTATGTAATGCACTAGACTTCTACCATTGCACTTTTTCATCTCCATTTCATTTATTTCCATTTTTGTGTTTATTGATAAAGTTGACTGATGAAGTTGCCCCTAGTGAGCAGTCTCAGCACTGCAGTGTGCCATCAGGACAGGAGTGGACAGAGCCACTGCTCTGCAGTGACTGGAGGCAGAGCAGCCAGTGCAAAGCTGGAAAGCTCTATTGCAGTGTGCTAGAACTAACACATCCTGCTTCTCAGCAGGCATAAGTAACACACAATTATTATTAATACAGCAATTATGATATTATTGCAATGTGAAGTCTCAGAATCAAAATACCTGTTTTTCTGAAGTGCTCTAACCTAATTAAAAGCATTTTCCATCTATGCCTCTTCATAAAATGTCAATTTGATGCTAGTAACAGCAAAAGCCTCTGGAAATCAGAACGAGTTAGTATAAAAAAATACATATAATTTCAGTAGTTAGACAGATAGGTGGGATAAAGTCCTCTCAAATAACAAGGTTACCTCTTAATGTCTTATAAATGAGCCATGTTATGGAAATGGATAGAGTTGTGAATTATCACCTTTAAAAGACTGTGATCCCATTTCAAAAACACTGGTAATAAGCATAAAGATGTAAAATTGTGTAAGCTCTCCCACAACATTTACAGTTCAAAAAATAACTTAATCCATGCTCACTTGTTATATTCTACTTTAACTCAAGCAAAATGACCAAGCATGTTTTTGTCACCACTCCTGACCACAAAGGTGAAATGAAGATTCATTACCTGTCAGGATTTAAACCAACAGTTTCAATGGTAACAATAACATTTTCTTGAAATCAGTTCTTATTACAAGCTAAGCACTAGAATGGCTGGTTATGACTGTCATTTTATCCTTGTATTTAATTTATGGATAATAGACTGAATGAGTCAGCTGAACTGCACGTTTTTAAATGAGCAGTTTAAATCACAACCTTTAGCTTCAGCAAGACCAGTCCAATCAGCTTTGGGTTAAAGATAAGTCATCTAATGACTACACAGTAGGACTGGCTCTCCAGTTATTTTGGGATTATAAAAAAAAAAGTTACTTAACTTACTTGATGTTTTCATTGAGAGCGGGTTGTTATGTTTATATTTCTACTTTTTTTCACAAATTCTTGAATTGTCTTTGAATCTCAGCTCACCACAGAGGTCTTTCAGTACTTACAAATTTTTTCTTATGTTAATAGTATTAATCTATCCCATCAGCCTTTTGAATCTAATGATGATATAGAGATGAAAGCAAAGAAGTCTCTGTCCAAAAAGAACTCAGGATTTTGATTAAAATATCCAGAGTGCCCCAGGAGAAACGGAATTCATAAGGGAATAAGTGCTTGAAATGGTTGCATTCATAAGCAGCAATCAACTCCTACTCTCCATCTTACACTTTTTCTGAACATTTTTTAAAGCCTCTCTCCAAACCCACTAAAATTAAGACAATTTAGAGCAGGCCCTGAACATGCTCACTGCTACATGCAGCAAAATGGACAAGAGCAGAGCTTTACCTCCAGCACCATTTCCTCTTTTGATGTATAGGGTTCTGCTTTACTTTTCATGAGTGTGTACTCATCAGCACTGAAGCTTTCCAGAAGTCTTTGAGAATCATCTTTCTGAAATTCCAAGAGAAAACACAAAATGTAACACTTGAGATCATGCAGGTTAACTGGAAACATCTTCCACTGCAGCCTGGATACATTCATGTCTCCATCATGAAAATTATTCCAGTATTAGCCGAAAATTTTGGAAAAATACAATCTGAAAATGGATGAAAATTTTACATATTCAGAAAGGAATCATTAAAACTAATTAACTTTTAAATTTTTCATTCCAGAAATAGAATTTTAATCTAAAAAAATTTAAGAGGCTGTGACCCTGTCAAATCAATCCATCTGCTCTCAAAATGTCTTACTGCAGACTTTGGAGTCAACCTCATGGTCTGAGCTCAAACATCTCAATTACAGCAAATTAACTAAAATTGTCTATAATTACCAGCAATAAAGAGAATGACAAGTATTTTTTTGTCCCTGGCCATGAGACAAACTTCCTAAATGAAGCTTTATGTGTGTGCAAGTTCCTGTCAGGGAGAAGTAACTACCAGAAAATGTTCATCACCTTCCATCCCCAAAAGCAGCCCATATTATCGGCCTCACTTCACAAACACAAAAAGCTACTGGCAGGGACACAGATACTGTGTGGCAATGAAACCTTCTGCTACACCTGATCTTCCCTACACACTACAGAGATCAGAAAACAACACTGATGTGCCTCCCTCCAAACACAGCATTAGAAGGATTATTTTTTTAGTGAAGGAAAATACAGCAGCCACACTACATGGACTACTTTTTAAATTATGTTTCACGTTTTCCATCCACTGACTACTTTTGGATGTAGGCTAATGATAGAGCTGCAGCCACTACTCATGTCCCTCTCTTATGGAAAGGTTCACCCAAATTATTTGGCCATTTGGTATGTGAAGCAGTCCATTTTCCCAGAACACAGAGAACAGCCCAGCTTTGGAACACACTAAAGCTTGTATGACTGGCCTCTGTCACCTCTCTGAATCTTAGATGGTGCAATAATTCAGATTATATTTTTGAGTTAGCCTTTTAGATATGTTGAAGTGCAGATACTGGTTCCTAAAAATCTACTTATGAGAAAAGAACAGCTACAAATCTCCCTCATCAATCTTGTCATTTATTTGTCATCATGGTGAAGATTTCTTCTTGAAACTATCCCAGTGTATCCTATGTACAAACCAACAAATAAGGAACTTATTCATCCTCCATGTATTTAAGTCCCACAGATTTGGGCTGTGATCTGTAAAATAGTGATTAACTGGGGCTGAGTGACAAATGTGTTGTCACTGTGGTGCTTAAAGCTGCTTCAGGCTCCAGGTACTTGCCCTGCTACCATGCTAAGGATAATGTAGCTGCTTGGGATGGAACATATACTCAAAGAAGCTATCCCTGCTTTGACTTTGCATACAGAAGGCTGCAATAGGTGCAAGCACCTGCTTGCTCCGTAGCTTTGCTGGGGCAGATAATGGTAAGCAGGAACAGGGAAGGTTGCCCTGTTCATTTTGGGGAAATCAGACCCACAGGATACAACCTTCCCACTGTGCAATGTGCTCTGTATGCACCAGCACACAGTTTATTTTTATTTCAAAATAAATAACCCTTTTATGGCAGCAGCATTGATTTTAATAGCGTTTAAACATCTAAATGCATCTGAAGATCCAGACCAGGGAGAACTGACAGCTTCTATTCCCTATTGACACATATGACATAAAGGATAAAATTGCACATGACTACATTTGAGTTGGTAGTGGCAGTACAATAAAAATACACCCATTAAGGCATGGAAAATGAGGAATTGAATCAGAAGGGCTTGTACTTGCACACAATGCATTGATCCAGCATGTGAAGTGCCTCCATTACTAGATCAATGTCTGGCTTCAAACAGAACTTCAATCCTCCAACTTAAAAGCAGTTGGGAACTAGAGAATTTGTCTCCTACGTAATGTTTAATGATGATCAACACTAGCAAATACACACATGCAGCAGAGCTGTTATAAGTCAAAAAAGGTGTGGTGAAAAACCAAGCTGGACCAGACCCTGCACTTGCAGGCTGGCAGAACTCTCTGCAGGGCTCCAAATCCCCCTGCTGCCAGTGCCAACCACTGCTACATCCAGTCAGTCCAGCATGACCTGGGTCTAAGTGGGATGGGAGAATAAAGCATAAATCAGTAAGAATTCTCAGAAAATACATCTGCCTGGTAGATGGATGCCTACCTGGTTCGGTGGGTATGTGCTGCGTCTGCAATCTTTTGAGTCCAAGCAAACATTATAATATAAAGATATATGAACCACAATAATTAAAACAGAACAGCAAGAGTGTTATTAACAAAATCACACACTTTAGAAAACCCTGTTAGTTTGGCATCAAGCAAACCATCAGCATTGCTCAGGCTCCTTTATTTCTTTAGGTATCCATCTGCATACCCTCAGTACAAAGTTATTGCTGTAGGTAACTAATACTCTGTGCTGTGCTGTAACATGAACTTTGGAAAAGCCTGTAAAATACTTTGGAAACAAAATCACTGGTTTAGGATGAAAGTTAAGAGTTTATTTTCAATTATGTCACAAAGCTTCCGCAAACCACCTACATCTTCCACTATCCCCAAAAGCAACACTGCCTCGAGCACGAAGCTGTGGCAACTTGCAGGTCACATGTGTTAGAGATATAGGCCGGGGGGGCAACAATCAGAACACTTGAACACTTCCACCGGCCTCGTTTTAGAACTAGCTTCTTTCCGCAACTTCGAAAATGAAGTAGCGAAATCCTTTCCAGCAGAGGCGTGGCAGGAATTACGGGGCTCCGCACCCACGCCCGCAGCACCGCGCACCCCGCCAGGCACCCCCGGCTGTCCCGGGCAGCGGGCAAAGCCGGCAGGCGACCCCTCCCGGGCCCTCCGCCCCTCAAACCTTCGCGCCCCACTCCTGCTGCCGGAGCTGCTCGCCCCGCTCCCGCCGGCCCCGCGTACCTCTCCGCCCCGGCGCGGCCCCAGCGCGCAGCGGCAGAGCAGGGCGGCGGCGGCGGCGCCCAGCAGCAGCCCCAGCAGCGCGGCGGGAGCCAGCAGGGCGGGCAGGGCCTGCAGCGAGTCCGCCCAGAACTGCAGCCCCACGGCCCGCAGGCAGCCCTCGACCGCCGCCATCGCACGGGGCCCGGCCCGCGGCGAGGAGAGGGCAGGGCACGAGGGGAGGTCCCGCTGCTCGGGGCCCTCTCCCCCCCGCCCTCGCCGCGGTGGGAGGAGACCGATGGCGCGTGGATGCGGCGGCTGCGGCCGGGCCTGATTTGGGGCAACTCCTGGAAAAACTCCGCGGCGCCGTCCGCACCCGCGGAGCGTCCGCCTGCTGCCATGCGGTGGCCGCTGGCCGGGCTGCTGCTGGCGCTGCTGCCCGGCGGCCCCTCCGCGCCGGGCCCGCGGGACGGAGCAGCGGCCCCCGCGGCGGGCTGTGCTCGGGAGCGGGGCCCGGCCGGGCAGCGGCCGCTTCCCCGGCACTGCGGCTGGGGCAGCGGGCCGGAAAGTGCCAGGAGCCGGCGTGGTGAGGCAGCCGATAGGCTGTGGACAGGGTCCTCACAACACTGGAGAGGGTCCAGCAGAGGGCCACGAAAGCGATGAGGGGTCTGGGGCATCTCTGTTACCAGGAGAGATTGCGGGAGCTGGGCCTGTTTAGTCTAGAGAAGAGAAGACTGAATTGGGATCTCATTAATGCGTATGAATATCTCAAAGGTGGGTGTCAAGAGGATGGTGCCAAAGCGGGGACAAGACCAGGAGCAATGGCCATAAAGTAAAACATAAGAAGTTTCACTTCAACATGAATAACTTATTTTCATTGAGGGTGGCAGGGCACTGGCACAGCTGCCCAGAGAGGTCTTGGAGTCTCCCTCTCTGGAGACATTCCAGATCCACCTGGATGTGTTCCTGTCGCCTGCTCTAGGTGACCCTGCCCTGGCAGGGGATTGGACTGGATGATCCCCAGAGTTCCCTTCCAGCCCCAGTGATGCTGTGTCTGTGCTTCGCTGTGCTGGCCCTTGGTGTTGATCCAGTGACAGCACCTCTGCTCAGTGGTGTCAGTCTCCAATTAGGAGTGCAATAGCTTTTAGGATGGAGCTTTTATGTTTATTCTTTCTCCTTATCTAGGCTTGTGTTTGTCAAGGCATCTCAAAATGTGTTGACATAGTTATCTTTTGCCCATACCTTACTGTGCATTGGGGATTAGAGTGAGTCACAAATGTAGTTTGTTGGCAGGATTACAGAAAGACTAATAAACAGGAAGTAGTGTTGCAGGAAAACAAATAAAACCCTCCCCAAAACCAACGAACAGCACACTGATTTATTTTACCAGAAGAATAAATTTATGTAAAACTTGGGGAAAAGTTTCCTGACAATATTGCATTAATTACTTTTGAAGCATGACATGGCGTGAGTGCAGGTCCATGGAATTGGCACTACTTGCTGATTTGGAGCCCCTTGTGATGTCCTCTGGTATTGTGGATGCACTGTGGAGCAGAGTGGAAGGCTTCTGCTGAATACTCAGGATGTATTTTCCACTGAGAAATGAATGTCAGATATGGCAGAAGGAAAAACAAGGAGTGCCATTATGTCTTGTAGCTGACACACATGGACGTACAAATGCCATAGATGTTGTGCATCAGCTGTTGTAAAACCACACAGCAATAAAAACCTGGAGCATGTGGAAATCAGGAGCCACTTGTGTACTGATTTCCTAGAAAGTAGGGAAAAAAGCTTATTGGCTAAAAAGCCACATTTTTAGCATGTCTTTATACATGCTTAAGCCATGGTCAGCTTTTGTTGCAGGTTCACGATGCAGCTGTTGACATCCAACACTGAAATTCATATATATGCTGATTTAATTCATAACAATAATATTTGGGATTTATATTTATTAACAAGACTGCATTTAACATAAAAGACTATATTGGTGGTCTGTATTTTCATCAGTGTTCTAAATTGCTATTACATTAATTTAGGGGCTGGTACACATTTCTTTGGTGCAGATAGGGCCCTACACTGCTCGAGCAATGCCTGGCAGGGATTAATACCCTTTTAATGTGATTTCTGTTGCTGCACATCCATATGCATAGATGGAAGGGCACACAAACAACAGTTTTGATCCCCTTACGAGCCATTCATTCAAGAGTGGGACACAATGATCTGCGAGGGTCCCTCTAGCTCAAAAGGGATTCTTTCTGTGTATAATAATAATAATAATAATAATACTATCTGATTTAGCCACCAGACAATTTTTTGTTTCAGCTTGCTGCTGAAGTTTCCTGCTCTTTCTGTGTTCTTGAGGTGCTTGGTTGCTCAAAAGTTGTGGTCATACAGATTGTTTAACCAATGACAATAAATTAATAATGGCATTAAAGAACTTCACCATACCTCAGCTTATGTACAAGAATTCTGGAGACTAGGAAGAGCTGTACAGCTAGGTATTTGGAAATAGCCTCTAGTGGAGAGCTCAGTGCCTGGAGTCTCTTAGAGCTGCTCAGAGTTTGTTGCATGTACGTGCTAATGCTTGTTTCTGAGTCCCTTCTTTCTCTCCAAGAGTTGCTTCCAGTGCTGTATGGACATGTTTTCAGAGGCTTCTTAAACCCCAGGGCTTCTGGTGCATCTGAATTTGTGAGATATCTTGCATTTTCTGTTATGTTGAGGGAAAGTGCCCTGTCTGCAGTGAGAAGTATTTTCATTTAATGGTAACTAAGGTTACAGCTCTAGCAGTAATCAGTGATGGCTTGCTTCCCTGAGCAGACAAAGAAGAAAATTGCTCCTGACATGCTGTACTGTAACAGTGGTGTTGACATAAATCAGTTCTTAACATTACTCACATGCAGTGCTTGGTAGCAAACAGAAACAGCAAATGTGGCTGATGTCATCAGGCAGAGTTAGATCCCTGTTAATTAGCCCACATTCCTGCCTCTCTGTTAGCTCCTGCAAGGAAGAATTTTTGATGAATGAGAACCTGCTTGTATGACTACTACATCTTCATCGAAACAGTGGCTAATAAAACTTTAAATACACTGGTTTCTTCTACTGATGTTGTGAGCTGTGATTTCTGTAGCAGTCTCTGTGGTCCAGACACAGGCAGGAGGCTGTCACACATTGCCTTGCATGCTGCAGTTTTAGCATGTTGCCCCTGTGTAGTAGCCTGTGAAGGGATCTGTGTAGTTTTTTGGAGGAAAAATGAGTGTAATGTCAGTGGACTTGATCATCCAATATGGACACATTCCTGCTGCCTCCTAGTGATCAGGTTTTCCTGCATCCTCAAATATGCCTACAAAAATGGCAAAGAAAGATTATTTAATAATGAAAAACAGCCAGCCCAGCTCCACTATTGTGCAGGGACTCATCCTGATAATATGAAGTGTAAGCACAATTTGAGCCCCAAGTGTGCATATCCACGCTGGGCAGCAGAGCCTCACACTGCTTAACAAGCTCTGGGAGACCTCTAGAGTCAGGTTGTGTCTCTTCTGGTAGTTAATTTTGGAGAAACTCAAGGGTTTGTAGGATAGGGTTCTGTGTAATTGAAGCATAAATTCAGTGTAAAAGTTCAATAGTAGGTATTTATGAAAAGAGTTTTTTTGATAATTGCTCTCTTCCAGGTTTTTGAAGGTGATCTGTGGCTTCAGAAAGAGATGGGATGCCTAGGAATGGCAGGTATGCAACTCTTTCCTCTCTCTTTAGCATTGTGGAGTCCCAGGACTCACATGGCATGCGAGTGAAGGTGAGCAGAGGCCTGGAGACTGCACCCTGGTGGCATCAGTGGGACTCTCAGTCTTGAGCTGTTGGGGGTTTAGCATTGTGGAGTCCCAGGACTCACATGGCATGCGAGTGAAGGTGAGCAGGGGCCTGGAGACTGCACCCTGGCAGTCAGTAGGACTCTCAGTCTTGAGCTATGGGGGTGTGTTTGCACAGAAATGAGGAACAAAGGTGCTTTAGGTTCCCTAAAAGGCTCATCTAGAGTGAAGCCCTTGTGAGAAGGCTTCAGTTCATACCCTGCTGTGCATCATTTTCAGGAGGAGCCCTTTTTTAGTAGTAAACATAATTGTGGAGGGGAGCACCCTCTGATGTCCAGAGTTCCCAGGTTTGTGAAAAACTCAGACTACTTAAGCATGATCAAGATGTGGTTCATTTTCAGAAGCTAGCTTAACCCCTGTGCATTTACCAGCAGTGTTGCAATACCTGTTCTTGAAGCTGTTTTTATAGACCTCTGGAACTACAATGGCTGGACCACTGTGTCCTGGACCAGAGACTGATTGTTAAAGACTGTTGGATGTTGTGGGTTAAAGACTGGTAGATATAGTGGATCTAGAGGTACTGCTGGGATGCTGGTAAATCTTCACAACAGATATCAAGTATTCTTGTCAGTGGTCTCAGGAACGGTGGATGTCTCCAGTGGTAGAAACTTAGAGAAGTCACTTTTGAGTTTGGTGTAGCTACATCTGAGGGCTGACTGCCACAGGCTCTTTATGTAAATTTGAGAAAATCACTCTGTTTTTCTGAGTCTTTAATTTCTGTGTATGTATTATAAATAGTGTTCTGCTTCACCTGAGCGTGGTAGAGATGAATGTATCCTGAAAGGTTAGGATGTTGTCATATAACACATTAACAGGGCAACACAGTGTGTTAAATAAACCTCTCCATCACTATGGTTTCCCAAGAGATTATTTCATGACATGTGTTTGCCTAGAAATTACATGCTTTGAAGCAGTTATCAAGTGAGATACCTCTAATTTCTTTGCCCTGTGCCGTGGCTAATTCACAAATGAGTTTATTAATTTAAATATGGAAGCACGTAATTCAGATTTGCTGAGCTTGGTTTTTTTTCAGTATTTATTCAATGTCATCTTTGCTGTGTGCATCCTGCTTTGTGATGGGTTGCAAATTATTTGTTTACCATCCACCAAGAGAGGAAATGAGTGTGGTATTATACTTAAGAAAAACCTTCTGGCCTTAAAAAAAAAGTTGAGGATTTTGATCTGCAGTATCATTTTGGTTAAAATTTAACCACATTAGTGGTTAAAATAGTGTGGCCAGCAGGATGAGGGAAGTGGCATTCCTTTGAACTGGATACTGAGGAGGCTACGCCTCAGATCTTGTCTTCAGTCAACCCTCTCAACAAGACAGACATTGAGATGCTGGGTGTGTCCAGAGGAAGGCAACAAAGCTGGTGAAGGGTCTGGAGAAGGTGTCTTAAGAGGAGCAGCTGATGAAGCTGGGGTTGATTAACCTGGGGAGGAGCCTCAGCAGGGGAACCTTCTCACTTTCTGTACTACCCAAAAGGAGGTTGTAGTGAAGTGGGAGTCAGCCTCTTCTCTCAGTTAACAGGATGAGACAAAATGGTCTCAGGTTGTGCCAGAGGAGATTTAGTTTGGATATTAGGAGAAATGTCTTCATGGGAAGGGTTACCAGGCATTGGAAAAAGCTGCCCAAGGGAGTGGTTAAGTCACTGTACCATTCCTGCTGGTATTTAAAAGATGTGTACTTCACTACATGGTTTAGTGGTGATGCTAGGTTTGCAACTGGACTTAATCTTAAGGGTCATTTCCAAACTCAATTATTGTGATTCTGTGAAATGCTGGCATTTTGTTAGTGAGTAAATATATGTGGTAAACAAGCACTGACTTATATGCTTGATTTGATGACTGAAAACTGTCCCATTCTAGTAAATATCAATTTTTAACATATTTAAAATGTAAGGTTTTAGTGATTTGCCTAATCAGAGTTCTACATTCTTTAATTTTTACTGGAGAAGTTCTTGATGAAAGCAGAGAGATACATAAAACCTTTGTCATTGAGCCTGGCAGTGTGCTGAAGTGTGAAATGGTTTGTGACAGCACACTGATCTCAGTGTTTCTTTTGGAAGCTTTTTCGAGTTGTTTCTGCATAAGATGAGAAAAGACAACCCCAGAATATTCCTGTGACTGAGGAACACAGTGGATTTTTGAGAGCTATATATGAGGCTGCTCTGATTTATTCAAAACAGACCTGGAGAGTAGATTTGTTTTTTCTTGTTGATGCCCATAGTTTCTTTGACATTGTAACAAGAAAAGCTAATGGCAACATTCAAAACTGAATACCGTAAATTGCTACCTTTGCCTGTTCATTGTTGTGTGTAATTGAAAGGACTTCAAATTGGATCTTGTATCCTGGATGGTTTTCAAGACAGGGAGTAATTTAGAACAACAATAACAACAAAAATATAGCAAGCGAGTATATTTAACTCCTGTCTTACCCACTGAAATAAAGCAAAATTGTTGAAAGCTTTGCTGATAAATTTGTGGTGGGTAAGCAAGTGAGACTCTGGAATCTGAATTGAAATATTCAGCCCTTGAGAGCCATAAATTAGAATTAATGTCTTAGTTAAATTGGGTTTTTTTTCTTATTTTTAATTCTGAACTTGAAATTTCACAAACTTGTCAGTGTCTTTGCTGACAATTACAGTGTCCTACTGTAATTTGGCATTCTACTGCTTAGAATGGGCTGTAAAGGCATAGGAGCCTTAAGGACATACTGGAGTTTTGATGTAAGATTATTTTAATTTTCTCATAATCTATTTAATTGCTGTAGCCAAGAGTAACCTTCACCTTAACTTCTATTGTGATGTTTTATGTGCAGTTCTGATGGTGGGTGGTCAATGCCACTGACACATTCAGGACTCAGCCCCCTGAGTCCAGTGGTCAAGGCTTGTGCTGTGCCAGGTCCATGTCCTTACACAGAACTAACTTCAAAGCAAAGGACAGTGTGCTGACCGCAATCAGGGGAAAATTTCTTTTCTTAGAATACCCTTCCTTCCACCCCCAGTCTGTATGAACACAGACCCACTGCCACCACATTCTTTATGCAGCAGGTACATTTTGTACCAGGTCACATCCTCAGTATTTGCACTCCCTGAGCAGCAAGTGAATGCAGTGAGGGCTGGCAGTGGGTGCTCTCCTTCCTAAGCATATTGCCTGTGTCTTGAGTGTGGCAGCTGGCAGCCCAGGAGAGCAATATGTCACCACCCAAGGCAATGGTGCACAAAGCTGGAGTTGCAAGTAACAACTTAGGGAGAACAGCAAACAAAATGGAATATTTAGTAGCAGAGACTGCTCTGATCAACTGTGCATTGGTCATTTAGTATGGTGGTGGAATTCACGTGTGGGGGTCTGAATGAATACTACAGGAATGTGAGAGGTAAAATGTTACACCAATATTCCAGCTGTTGCAGCTATATTAATATGTTTTTTGTATTTTCATTTTGAAATTCAATATCTACTGACCAGCATTGGTAGTTAGCTAGGAGTATGCAGTTTAAGACAGGATTCTGACGTATCCTTTTACATTGGGTTTATGTAGAATTAAATCATGAGGAAAACGTTTTATTAATGTGCTAATTAAAAGTAAGATAAAATATTTAACAGCTTGATAATGCCTTGTAAAACAGGGGAATTTTTAATTTAAAAAAAAAATAAACAAAACAAAACAAAATTTTTTTTCTTAAAGATTGTGATCTTGTCTCACAGCTCAAAAGAAAGTGACATTACTGTCTTTCTTTGATGAACTGTTTGATTTAGCATCTTTGGAGATGTTTACAGGAAAGCCCCAGATGAAGAACCATGTTCTGGTAGTTTGCTTGCTGGGAAATGTTTTGGCCTGAGGCACTGTAGTCAGGGAGTGCCTGGTGGCAGCCTGGCAAGCCCAGCTGACAGGGGGCTGCTTGGGCTGTGTGAAAAGCTGAAACTGTTCCCCTGCATGGCAGAGATTTTCTTCCAAAAAGGGGTAGGATTTGTTGCCGTTTAGAAACCAATGAAAATGATGGCCTTGCAGCCTAATAATGGTTTTTCTGAAAACATCCAGAAAAATGACAAAGATTGAAGCTGTAGGAAGAGAAGAGTGGAAGGAACAAGGAGACCTCGGAGTTGCTGTCAGCACTGGGATGCTCTGCCCCTCTGAAGGGGCAGTGTTGAACACACCATGGAAACAAATTGCATTTCTGAGCAGCATCCAAAAGAAAGCCCAGTGCTTTTCAGTGAAAGGTTTCAGCAGTCAAATGTTAGTATTTTCCAAAGTCTGAATCTATCTGTTAAAAAAAAAAAAAGTGTCAGAACAGAAGTCTAGAATATATGTGAAAAAGGCAGAATGTATTATGCCTGTATCATCCTTTTTCAGATAGAGTTCAGCTTTTCAAGCACCCAGCATATATCTACAATCCTGCATCTACAAGAGGAGCTTACCTGAAAAGAGACAGTAGGTGAATTGATAAATACAGTTATGTTGGCTGATGTTGAATATGCAGCAAGTTACATGGAAAAGCAGTTAAGTTCTTGTAGATTAGCTGTTCCAGTGACAGTCAAATATGTATGGATCAGAAAAAAGTTATTTTATTTAGTTGACAGTCAATATTAGAAACAAGAATGCCACAGAAAAGTGCAGCTTTACTGGCAGTGGATCCAGGTTATTATAGAACAGCTAGAAACAAGAATGCCACAGAAAAGTGCAGCTTTACTGGCAGTGGATCCAGGGCATTATAGAACAGACTATAATGTTAAAAATTACAAGGAAAGATGAGAAAACTTCTGGAGAAAAGCAGTCGTGTAAGTTGCTGTATGGACATGAATCATACTGGTTGAGTCTGTTTAAGCAAAACCTTCCACTGGGAATATACAAGTGGATTTGCAGAAACGTCCTTGTCATCATCATCAGTGTTGAGGCTGCTTAACATAAAAAGTTCAGCTACTTCAGCTGCTGCTGATGGAGCAGCCAAATAACATGCCTGGAGACATCTGCTGGGAGTTGGGAACATTGTCTTGGGATTGTAAGTGATGACAAAGCATGGCTTGAAAACAGACTCATCTGTGTAATTAGTAATACTGAGATTCATTCAGAGTCAGGGAACATGATCAGTTAATTAAATTGGTTACTGTGGACTTGATACTCTTTAGAGGGAGGGCATCAGGCTTTGCTGTCACATGTAGAGTGCAGTTGGGTGTGTTCATGGAGATGTGATACTACACAGGACATAAGATCAAAAGATACCCTACCAAGCAATTGCACACTTCTTGTTCACCCTCATCCCAAATTCAGAAGGAAATGAACTGCTAAACAGGAAGAGTTCATACATTTTGTCATTTTGAATTCTGACTTACAAAGAAGCTCATAAAGGGTTTCTGTTTACTGTAGAGGAAAGTGCATTTCCTGTAGTCAAGAAAACAAAAAGGAGAATTGGTGCCCCACTTTCACAGGAGTGGGTTGACAGTTGCATTAATGTATGACAGATGCAGCATATATAAAATTTATCTTTTTCAGTGTATGAATATATTGATGCAAAACTGCAAAGAGGCTTGATTCAGTAGCCAGAAACCCGTCTAAAGCCATTGGCGATGAGATACAGTATATTTGGACCTGCTGGGCTAGGTGAGCTCAAATTGGTATTTAGCAGGTTTGTACTGCACTGAAAATTCAGCAATGGTTTCATTCTGAGTGATTTGCACCACTGCTTAGTCTTGAAATTGAAATAAGCCATGCATGACTGTCTTGAAAAAATCCAACCTCAAATATATGTGGACATTTGTTGTAATTCTACATGTTCCTGTTCTCACTGGGTTTGCCATGTTGTTTTTACAGTCCCCAAATTGGTCCAAGTCTGTCACATTGTTTAACAGTGGTTTAAATACTTAAGTAAAACTTAGAGAACTTAATTAAACCTGGTCATAAAACATAGACACCAACTTCCCCTGGCCCATATATTCACGATTTTGTCAAGTATATGCTACCCCCTTCCAAATAAACATTGGAAGGCAGGGAAACTCCCCAAGTGTGTGTCCACCTGGATTTTCTAAGCAACAGGATTGCATCTCATTCATTCTGTTAACAGAATTATTTTCAGTGATTCATGTGCATTAATGCTTTAAGGCTCCTTTTAAGGGTCCAGTTCTGACTGCTCTGTCCATGCTTTTCTATTTGCAACTAATTGTATCTCCCTATATTGTTCTTCTTACAGAGCAGTGGCTTTTCAAAAAAACTGCTGCTATTCATACTGATGAGATTTTAGTGTCTTCAGCTTTTCATATTTTATTAATATGTAATAGGCTTTTTCATAGAAAAGTCATTTCAAAAAAATTACTTGCCTTTTTAATGGGAGTTTTTGTTCATTTTAATGTAGATTGCTGAAAATTGATTTAAAAATAAGTAATAAATGAGAATAATATTAAGCAAAAAAGAAAAAAATAACTTCTTTGAACATGGACAACCAGCCATCATTTTAAATTTTCATAACATATTTCTCTTAATTTAGCAACTTTATCTTTTGGTAATTTAACATTTTAAATTATTTATTTTTAGTATAAGCTTCTTTCATTAATGCCATAAATGCTTTTACTTTCATAGATCAAAGTGATAGGATTTCAAAACTATGCCTGTTGCTTTGTTTAATATCACTGACTAATCTTTCATAAAAATTTAAGAGTATAAGCTAGCGTTTATGTTGCTTATTGCTAAATTTATGAGCATTTGATTTGATGGCACTTAACCGAAATATAACTGAGACCCCTCTTGAACTGAGAAGTATTTCAGTTCTGAATATGTACTGGCAAGGTCAATGCTTAATTGGAAGACTGCATTTTTGAAGCAGAACACCTTTAGCACTGATGTCCCTCGCACCGTGGATTATTTAAATTCTTTATGCTTTGCTGAAAGTTCCTTTGTGGTGAAAATATTAACAGTTGACTTATGGCTTAAACCTTTTAATTCATGCATTAAGTGCTTTACATTTAAATGGCAGGAAGTTTTCTGTGGGGTATATGGGAGTTCCTTAGGGAGGAAACAGTTTTGTTCTGACTCCTGCAGGGTTTTGTAGAACAAATCCCATCTCTGTTTCCTGGCTGGCCTCAGTCTCTGTTGCTTGTCATGATTTTGAGTGCCTTGAGAGAGAGAATCTGTCTCTGCCTGGACACAGAGCACTGGTGCCCCGAGTCCTCTCCCAGGCTGGACTCTGCACCAAGTGGCTGCCATGCAGGCCCCAGCCTTAGCTGTAATGCTGAATGTTGCCTTGGTTTTCAGCAGTGCCCTTACCTGTGGTCGTTGAGGCAAGCACAGCCCCTGCCCAGCTGCTGACCTCTGCAGCCCCGGACGGCCAGTGGAGCCATTCGCTGTTTGCCTTGATGCCCTCTTGGACGAAGAAGGCGGTGTTCAAACGGGAGTCTGACACCAGCCACCTCCCGGTCAGTAAAAGATGGTTTGCCAGATTCAGTGCTTGTAAGGGCTGTAGCAATTCTGTAAAAACTGAACGTTGGGAGTTTACTATCCAGTTAGTACATTTCTAGTTCTGTCTCAGATGATTGTGTTCATTTGACTTCAGCAACACCAGCTATTTTTGGAACTTCCCAAGAATTCCTGTGACAAGTACAGCTGTGTGATTGCTGTGCAAATTCTGATGGACACTTAGTAATGAGAAGAAACTGTATAGTGAACTTTGTGCATAGTGTGGTTGTTTTTTGTGAATAATGATAGTTAAATGCTGAATAGATCAATAAGATTATAATAATTACTTGTGGGAATAAGTAGTTTTTACACATTTGGACTAGATAAAAGATTAAACTGTTGGGATAATAAAACTCCTGAATTTGAAGGTGATTGGTACCTCTAAATGTTTTTTATTTATTTATATAATTTAACTTGTTGCTTAAGTTTGTGAACTGTGTTTTCATACACTACGTAGATTTCTCCCCTTCCTCCGTAGCCTGAAGATGTGTCCAATATGTCAGTGTCTTCTGAATTTGGAATAACCCTTCAGAAATGTGGCATGGTAAGTTTTCTTACATTTCTCTTGTTGGTAGGAATTTTGTGCCCAAGTGACCTTTAAAGAGCAGGAACCTCATTGATTGTGCCCATATTGAATTTTTGGAGTATGTGCATTTTGGGTACAATGGTCCCACTCTCTGAGAGGCACTGTTTTACAATGATGATTCAAAACAGAAGTCAGGGCATTTTGGATTGTGGTTGAAGTAAAAACCTGACTACCAATTTCTAAAACTGCAAATGGGCAAATCCCAATAAACTCCCAAGTAAAATCAGCCAAGAGGCTTGGTAGAGATCGATGAGATAAATCTTCTGAGATATTCCCCTGGCCCAGCCATGGGTGCCCTACCTGGGTCAAGTGTGGGCTCTTTTGAAGGGTGAAGCACTGACCCTTGTGTTGCCCATTGTGTGTTTGGGTATCCTAACACACAATCATAGAAAAGCCATTGTGTCGTAGTCTGCATATTCAGTGGGACTCACCTACAGCACAGTATTTAATGAAAAAAGATTTCATTTGACTTGTGTAAATGCTTATGAGGAGCAAAGACCTCCCTATTGTAGGAAAGTTTTCTAATTTCCCGTTTTATTTTTACTGGACTGTTATTTTTTCTTTCTTTTTTTTTTCCCTTTTGTATTTTCCCTTTCTTTGCATCTGATGAAGTAGGTATGAATTTTTATAATTACAGTCAGTTCATCTTAGCTGTCTCCTGGAGAGAGAGAACACATCCAACTTTAGGACCAATCTGAATTCATGCACTGAAGTGGTGCCTATGAGGGTAGAGGATTCAGTAACCAGTACAGAAGAGGTGACATTATAACCTTCAACCAGATCAGCTGTGTAGAGAAGAATAAATAGGCATCACATCTCATGGCGCTAATTACCTCTGAAGTTGTTATTGAAACGGCACCATATAATGTATAATGAGGCTGAATAGTAAGCATTTCAGACATAAGAAGTAATAACACAGAATCTTCTGCTTTTCTATCTGTGGATCCCCAATTTTTATACCAGAGCCTCTCAGGAACAGTCTGTGAAACAGTCCCATGTTGATTTTCTGCTGTTTACAACACAGCCTCACACAGGCTCATTAAAAGCTGCAAAATAACTGCTGTAAGAGATTAAAGGTAATCTGTTGGAGGTGCTGTCTTTATCACAAAATACTTTTGTAGTGCTATTAGTTGTAAATTACTGAAAGCTGTACAATTATATGTGATTGTCTTCCACCTGCAAATGCAGTTCACATTTAATTGATTTCCTTGGCTTACCTTGTCTTCTGCCTCAGTCTTATTTCGAGTGAACAAATGCTTTCATGCTAAGAGGCAGACTGGCCATATGGTCCTCTTTAGCTGTTTTAAATAAAGGGAATTTTGCACATTTTCCTCCTCCTGCAATGAGTCGCTCCTCAGAGTGTAGAGGTGTTTCATGTTTGCTTCTTGGAGTCAGGATTTTTCCAACATCTTAACGTAGAAATAGCCTTATTGAAGCTGAGGTATTTAAATTTTACCAGTGTTCCAGCACACACGTCTTCCTTCTTTCCAGAAGTGTGTTTCTTTAAGAGCTTCATTCCATAGTATGACTTGAACTTTTCTATAACAGTACTTCACAGTGACAATAATCCTTAGCAGAGCTGTAATAAATCTTTAAATTTAATTGCTTGTCTTCTAACATTTTTGCCTGTCTTGTTTCTTAATCTCCTAAGCATTCATGCATTGGAGATTATCAATGATCCTATAATCTTTTCTTCTCCTTTTCTATTTCTAGTTGTTCTGACTTACTTCTAACAAGGATCCTCCATTCCTTTCAATTTCTATGGCGATTCCTTCCTTCTCTCTTTTTTGCTGTTGTGTCCATGCTCTTGCTGTGATTCTTTCATGCCATTCTCCTGGGGACCTGAAGTGAGATCTCTTGCAGGGGTTGATGACACACATGGGGCACTTCAGCAGCAGAGAGAAAATAGAGTAGGTGCTTATGCATCATCAGTGGCTTCCATTTGGTTTGGCTCATGTAGGTGCCTGGCAGCCTAAGCATCTGCTCCAAAAGCAAGAAAAAACATCTTCAGGCAAATTAGAGAAGCAATTTAAAGAAGGTAACCAGTGGTCACTGATCACAGGGATAGCACTTTGTAGAGGAGTTCTTTCTAGGAGCAGTCAAACCATATCTGTTGCTTGATTCTCATCTGCTGATTTCAAGGGAAAGAAATCCGAATTCTTTCAACCCTTTTGCAATTGAGCTAAATTCTGATTGCCAGTCAAAAATAAGGAATAAAAAACATGACTTTAATATTAATGGGAAATGGGGTTTTGAGACTTTTTTCTTGTTTCGTTTTGATTTTGCTTTTTAAAGCAGGTATCTAGCCTTTGTTGAAAGGCATTTTAAAGCAGGTATCTAGCAAATGGGGTTTTGAGACTTTTTTCTTGTTTCGTTTTGATTTTGCTTTTTAAAGCAGGTATCTAGCCTTTGTGATTGCACATGAAATGTTGAAAGGCATTTTCACTGCATCATGCCAGTTCAGAAACCAGGAGAAAGAAAATCTGACCAAAATATAACACATTTTTAATACTTGATGATTTTAACTCCCAGAAGTTGGGGTATAACTCATGATATACAAGCATATGATATTGGAAATGGTTCCCTCAGAAAGATAACTAAGCCTATTTTTATACATGCATTAATATGTACATTTTTATACATTACTTGCAGCTTCTAGTACAATAAGTAGTTGGGAATTTTGTCCCTTAATTTCTAAAACTGTCATCTGGTTCTATGCTGAATTGGTATGAAATACAGAGATCAGTGCACAATGAGACCATAGCTACATGTATTGAACCCTATGAAAACCATGAACTCTGGTGTGATTTCTGAAGTCTATCACAATTCATATTTTTAGAACTCACTTTTCATGAGGACTCCTTTTTTATTTTATATTGGCTGGTGTCCATATATAGTCTGGACATTTCCCTAAAAAGAGAACGGTTCAGCCTGAATCATAATTCTGTCAGTTAAAGGACTATTAATTTAGTGTCATTATTTAAACCTCATAAATCATTGTGAATATAGATCACCATATGATTATAGATGCTATAAAGATTTAGACAATTCTGCTTTAATATGAGTTATAGAGGAAGGCAATTTGGAAGGTTAGAGGTCAGTAAGCAGCTCTTGTGTTCAGAATAATTTCATTTAGAGGGTATAATTGCTCAATGAGACTTAAGGGCTTAATGGAATAAATAAATAAAATCACATGAGTGCATGTTGCTAGAGATTGGTGATTAGTGTATGACCATCACTGCTAACTGGAAGCACAGCCATGTACTCCCAAGTTCACTGGTGGCTCCATCTGCCCTCACGTGGGAAGGGCAAGTTGAGACAGCTGGCATCCTTCAGAGAATGGGGTTGCTGTGAAAGAAAGGAAAATAGAGACCAAAACTGCATGGAGAGAATTACTTTGCAGTGAGGAAGCTCGCAAAAGAAACATCCTTGTAGCACAAAGGTACAAATGTATGAATTTTCCAAACTCTGGTTATGAAGTTATGATCCAGTTTTGTGTTGTATGCGTTATCACGGGGATATTCAGAATTTGATTATGCTTCTGGTCCTGTATGAGCTGGGTTTCCACCTTCTGGCTTTCTGCCACTGTCTCCAAGCAACAGCTTGACATACCAAAGATTAAAATCTCACTGGGAGTGCGAGATCAAACTGAGTGTAGTTTCATTTGCAGATCACTCATAATACCTTCAAAAAATAAGTTTGCACATACAATTAAGTTTTATTTGTAATCAAGGCTATGAATTTTGCTGTTAAGATGCATATACAGCCATCTTGCACCATTAATGCTTATGTTTCTGATTTCAGGTGGATGTTGAACATGACCCTCAAACTGCATACATTACACTTGTGATTAATAATACCAACACATTGCTCTCAACAAACATCACAGATCTTATCCTCATGGACAACATCACTGGTCTACAAGTTCAAAAAAACAGTGGGAATAAGACCACAAATGGCATACAGATTTACAGGAAAAGTTTCTTGCAAGGTAACAAAATTTGCAGTAAAATACCCCTCATGACACATGTCAGAGTGCATGTGTTAAAATCACAGTATTTATTTATTTATTTATTTAATTATAGTGGTGTAAGTTATTTGATTATCAGTTAATACAGGTGAAAAAGTCTGGGAAAGGTTTTAGGCTTCGGTTTCCAATTCTGTCAGCTCACTCTTAACTGTTTTCACTCCCACCTTTGAACTGCTTCCAGTCTTCCAGGCACAGAACTGAGTCTCCTTTACTTTGTAAAAGTTGCCATCAAAAATTAGAGTCTTTCACAACTGTATTTGTTCATTTTGGGTATTTTTAAAAAATTTCTGCAAAAGGTATTTTAATAATGTTTTGAGGCTTCTTTAGCCAAGTGTAGCAGCTCAGCTTGCTGAGGTATTGAGGTGCATTGGAGTTCCAAAAGGCCGTACAAACAGGAAAAATGGTTCGCCAGAAATAAGGCAGCTCTTCTCAGTATGTGTTCTCTCCAAACTGAACAAATTATAAAGTCAAAGCAAGTAGTAGAGAAATAAACCTCTTCTAGTTGTGAAGTCAGTTTGTTCCTTTTCTAATTGGTAGCAGTTCAATCAGTACATATGCATTAAATTTTATCTTTCTTGATTTCTTCATCTCCTTTTTTCTAATTACAAGCACGTTGAAAATTAGCAGCTTGCTTTTGGGAGTCACGACATTTCTCCAGGAGATTCAGAAGTGTTCACTGATTCCTGTTTATGATGGAAGTAGCTCTGGTTATGATAGTTTTATGGTGAAAGATTTCCACATAGAAAAGGGAAATAAGTAGACCTGGGGCTGCTGTCTGATTGCAATTGGATAGCCAAACTCCATTTCTGTTAACAGCATTGTGAGCAGTGGTTTCAGGGCTGTCCTTTTTGGAAATGTCAAGGAATTGCTGGCTTTCCGCAGAGATTTCCTGAAAACAATTATCGTTGAAAAAGAATAGAAAAATTACTTCCATATCTGATCTAGTAAGCCAAGTTGGAGCTGCTATATAATTTATTTATAATTACTGAATGTGGAGTTGAAGCTTGCTATTCCAGACAAATCAGTGTGAAAAATACTGCAGTAGAAGAAAATCCAACAGACCAGATTTCTGCATAGTTTGAGGTTTGGTCATTACTATATTAATTCTGGAGTCAACCCATACCTTGCCACTGGGGCTGGGCAGCAAGGCTCTGTCTACACTGGAGTGTGTACTGTTATGCTCAATGTTGGCCATAATAATTTTTCCATGCTTCAGTGCATTGTGCATGAAAATTCACCTGAAATCTGTTACATTTCTCTTTGGTTTCAACAAGGGGAGAATCAGCAAGTTAGTGGTTAAAAAGTAGGCAGTCCATTTTATAATGAAAATATTTTAAAATAATCTCATGTGACTTTTGGTATCAAAAAGTAATGCTTTTGGGTAGGTCAAAGCATCATTTAATGCAGTTTCCAGATCCTGGGCTGAATTTGCTTGAATTCTTAGAGGCAGCAGATATGAAGGATGTTGCTGAGCTCAGGTGGCCATGAAGGGTCTACTCTGGATGTGTAGCATCTGCTATGTCAGAAAAGAAGAGCTCCAGTGCTGTCCCAGGCCTTCCCCAGGGATCTTTGAGAAATTTTCATGGAAGAAAGCAAATCTCTCCATATCCTTGTTTTAATAGGTGGAGAACACTTTGCAATCAACTACACTGCACTTCTTGATGCCGAAGAAATGTGGCATGGCAGGGTCTTGACACTGCCTGCAAAGCTAACTTTCAGGAGTTCATCACAGGTATTTTATTCACAATTTTATTCTGCTCTTCACAAGTTTTGTAAAAAAAAAATAGTCTCCAAAGTGGTTCTTGCCTGCCTAAACAATGAGGCCATCATGTAATGAAATGAAACTCTTAGGCTCTCTGATTGTTTGCCATGAATTTTTAAATGTATGAATTATTCTTCATAGCTAAAGAAGTCCTAGACCTCCTTAAGTAAAGTATTTTTCTGTGTTGTCTTGTAGACTTTCTTTATACTTTTCATATTTCTCGCCAGTTTATTGTTTTCTCCTGGAAATAAGTGTCCCACATACTTACATGTATATTCCTGAAGTCTCAGAAAGATTGGAAGTTTTGCCATATTTTTATAATAAAATAATTTATTTTAACTGAAAAACAAGTTGCAGCAAAGGAAAAGCCTCGTTGCTCATAAGAAAGACACCTTTTGGTATAAGAGTTTTCTGTGTCTGAAAGATTTCTCAGAGAAGCTGAGAAATCTCCGTCCGTGCTGATTTTGAGAACTCTGTTACATCAGGCTCTGAAACAATTGGTCTAATGTGGAATTAGCCTGGCTTTGAGTAGGAGACAGGACAAGTGGTTTCTGCCAAAGTAAAATTTTTCAGTTCTTAAATACAACTTGATGGTTTTTCCGTGGTTTTCATATTTATATGTAATTATAACTTGCAGATATATTTTGCTTTCAATTGCCTTTCTCCTTGTTTTTGGAGGAAAAGGTGTTCCATGTGTATGGGGAGTGGTACTAGAATGGTGCAGAGGAAAACTTACAAAAACAGGGCATGGTAAAAGTTGAGATTTATGTACTTACTGACTGTGGCTCCTGTTCTGTGCATTCTCAGATTTTACAGCAAAGAAAAATGTAATACTTTGTGCACTGGGATATGGGGAGTGTATCCCACAGAGCAGCTGCTTCCATGTCTTTTAGTGTTACACCTAAGTACACTGCATTTTCCTATCAGATTTATTTCAGCTTTAAGCTTAATAAGAAGTGTAGCTAATCTTCCAAGGAGAGGCTTTTCTAGGCTTTTCTAGAGACTCTAGGCTGTTTGCCAGTGGATTTTGCTTTTTTTTTAATACAAGTAATTTTTTGTATCTCTCTCAGAATAGAACACATCTCATATCATTGACAGCATCACTTACCATAACAGAAGAAGAAAAGACCAAGGTAAATTCTGTGATTTGGTATTACATTGACTCTTCTGCTTATGCTTCTGGACAATCTAAAGTAAATCCTAGGAGCTAAGGATGTACTTGTGTACCTGTGTCTCATCACTCAGCTATTGGCTAGTAATCATACCCAGGTTCTGCCTTCACAGATTTTAAGAGAAAGAAAACAGGACTCAACATAACTCTTTTTTGTCTTAAACTAGCAATATTTAGTATAGAAAAATCTAAAAATGCCATTATGCTCCTTGCCATGTTCTTTCATTTGAAGAATCATCCAGGCATAGGAAACGGTGATGAGGATTATGTTCACCTGCTGCTGTGCCTAACTACCATGAGAAAGCTTTTTGTTTTTCCAAAAGGGTAAAAGTATCCTCCACCCACTGAGGAAAGGTTTCTGTATGATGCTGATAGTCAAGCCTGACAAAACTGTGGAAAGAATGGCATAGTTTATGCTTCCTTTCATTTTTTAACTAGTCATTCTTCCAATATGACTTTCTGTTCTTGGCTTCTGAAGTAATTCTGAAAAGTCGTTTTTAACAGGCCAAATAAACCTTCAAAATTACATTGATTGCAGCACTATTATTCTTGTAGATAGTTTTTTTTATTAAAAAACTCTCTACTTCATCCATCAGTTTCATTGCTAGAGTAATCCCTTCACCAAACTTGTTTTTCTCCCAGCCTCTCATTAATTTGACAGGCTGCTGCTGCAAGGGGTCGTTTTTAAAGAAGCTGTGGCTTGGTTGGCAAAAGTACTGGGATTATTTGTCTTCAGGCAGAAGCAAAGAGTTTGTTTCACCACAGAACATTTTTGCCATGGCTGTGCATGTGGATAGGGCTTGCCTGAATAGGTCCTGAGCACTAGACCACTCATTCCTTCTATGACCTGTCCCAGGAGTTTCTCTCTGCCTTTAGAATAAGTAGTCTGTTTGGAGATTGGGCACAGGGGCCTCTTGTTCCAGTATTCTCTTCTGCTGGGATCTCTGCCTTCCTTCTCAGCTTTTATTATTGTAATAGATAACATGTCCAGACGTGGCTTTCTTGTATTTGAAGATCAAGTGCCCATTCTGTTAAAATGAATGCCATGATTAAACATGACATGAACTAAAACTATACATAAGCTAGAGAACTCATAGTCCCTGGATAAAGATCTAGTAATATTTAAAAGGATTGGACATTTGTATAGCTAAGAATTACAAATGGACTTGCTAAATCTATTTTTTGGAAACTATTGGAGGTGTAAACCATGAAGTAGCTGACTGGGTTAGAAAAATAACCTCATAAATGTTTTTTTTTTTAAATTTGGTGTGAATTGATTTGCAGCAGATATTGATGTCTTAAGCCAAGACTGCAAGCTGCATTGGTCTCAACTGACCATGAAAATTTCTGCATCTGTTATTATACATAAAACTTTTTTACTGTGCTTATTATTTTTTCCAATTTGAACTTGATAGTTAGACCTCAAAAAGTTCTTGTGAACTGTTCTGTAGATAGGTAAAATTAGCTCAGCTGCATTTGAAATTGGGCTTTGTAACTAAAATGTGTGGTAAAGATGTGTGGAAAATACCATAAATCTTTTGAAAAATAAAGCTTAGAAATTATTTAACACATCATGTTTCACATGCATAATATTTGACTTTGGGCTCTGGCCAAGCATAAGGTGTTTTGGAATGAAACCAGTTTGTGCAAGGAAATTAGGATTAGCTGGAGAAGGTGTGATATATTTTATTTCACTCATATTGTCAGCTATCATAAATGCTATCCATTTCAGATTTATTTATTAAAAATAATTATTTAAGCCTGTTCATGGATATGTTAAAGCCAATGCACATATATGACTAAGTGGGCAGTATTTGGGAATGACAAAGGAAGAATTAATTACATAGTAATGACAGTGTCATGCTGCATTGGTCCCATCAACTTTCACATGATTTGCTTGAACACTTGATACTATGCTGTTCTTTAACATTTTACAAACCCTTTATCTTCTGTGCCACTGGAAGAAAGTGCTTGTTTTCCTGGAACAAGGTAATTTTGTGGGTTATGAAAAAAATATGAGTATTGCTGATGTGAGTATCCGTGCCAGATGTCATCCCACAGTGCTTCAGGGCCTGTCAGTACTTTGTGCCTGTGCTGGGCGAGTTTGATGCTGCATGGGACACTGGTGAAAAGGGAAGTTCTCCCATCTGAGCCTGTTGCATGGGAGAGATGATAATAATTCCTTTACATTGATTTCTATGAGGCTTGCTTCCCTCAGCATCGTGCAAAGCAGTGGGAGCATGTCAGTTCTTGAAAGAAGCTTGGGCCTGTACTGCCTCTTCCCACTGCTGGGATGGCTTTAGAGGTTGGCTTAGGGAATGGCTTTTGAGGCCTGCTGATGTGTCATGGTTTGAAGGTCGTTCTGCAGGGCCAGCACTGGTCTTGACTTGAGCCAGGGCTCTGGCACCTCCCCTGCACCATCTGCTGTGGTGCTTTCAGATGCCATTAAGCACCTGCTGTGTTCTGCTTGGACTGACAGCTCCCCCAAAGACATGGACTGTCCTTCCAGAGCCCATTTTCTTGAAGTATAAAAGCACAGACAAAACTGCCTGCCCTCATGCAGACTGACTGTCCCACCATGGGTCTCACCTCTTACTTAGAAAGCACAGAGTCATTCCATAGCCAGTGCTTTTTCTTCACCAAAAGAAAAGCTTCTTAAGCAGCTTCTTTTCGGCTTTGCTGAATCCATAACCTCACCAGATGTTTGCTTTCCCCAGAAGCCCAGAAAGATCCTTAAATTTCACAGAGTGCATGGAAATTAGACAAATGCAAGTGGGTTCAGACAAAATGATGAAGTGGTTTCAAAGCAGCTTTTTTTTCCCTAAGTATTATCTATAGCATCTCCTTTCCCTGAAAATGGAGGGATCTCATTCAGAGTCCTGATGTGACAGAGGTTTCCAATTTCAATAAACTATTTTCAAATTGTGGGCCATGTTGGAATATTGTTTTCTATGCAGAATTACCATTGACTCTGTGGAATGCTGTCAGGTTTCTGTTCCAAGAAAGAGCCAAACGCAGCTTGCAAGCAGCATGTTAATTATTTACAGTTCCTAGCCCCAGCAGAATGATCAGTGGTGAAACATTACACTAATAGCTGTGCTCTGTTTTTCATTGAAAGATCTCATAGAACTAAACAAACACAGAATTAACTTTTGCTACAGAGAGCATGAAGTAAAAATTAATTTTTAATGCAATTCAATTTAAAGATTAAGAGCTAAAGTGAAAGGTCTGAAAAGTTGTTTGTGGCTCATGGTTCTGCCAGCCTTTTCTTACTCAGGCTAATGCAGAAGCTGCAAGGCTGCACACAGATTGGGTGGGTGTCAGTTGCATGTTTATTCTGAACTCATATTGGTGCTTTCTCCCTATGTTTTTTACTCAGTTTCATTGAATCAAGAAATGGCCATTAATTAAAGTAGCCAACATCTGAATTACTTTCCAGAGCCTATGAGCAACATCTAATGCCAGAAATTTCAATGAGACTTCTTAGGAGAGTGACAGCTATGGAAAATAGGCTATTGAGTACAGGGCACCCAGAAGTCAAAGCAAAAAAATACAGTCTGTGGGGTTCTCTTGCTTGAATTACACAGGACAAGGTGAACAGAGCAAATTTAATTTGGACAAAGGTGAACATAGCAAACCGTGCTGACTTGGAAACCTATTGAAAATACACACTTGTTTGAAAATATTCATCAAGATGTAGTAATAACATAGAGCTGAGAAATACTGAAGTTGTGTGAAGCCATTTAAAAATAATTTACAGTTTGCTTACAGTTGCAGTCTTTGAATTACAGTTATGATCTGACCTTTTTATATATTAAAAATAACATTTTAATTAAATGATCTTTTAATTTCAGATTTTATACAGCCATGCCATCAGTGCTTCAGCATTCTTCATTGCTTTTTTTGTTTCCCTTGTGTTGACATGTGCTGTCTTTTTCATCATTTACCGAACCCAAATATTAAAATGGAGTTTCTGTAGTAAAAACCAGGTAAGTTGTACTCTCTGTCACGCTAGGTTATTTAATTTTGTCACTGATCATGTGTGATGATATAACTTGCCAAGATTGTCTGAAGAGTTTTTGAAGATGAATAAGAAGCCACCAAGTGATGGATTTGGCTCACAGGTAATGTAATCTCTACATCCTCTAAACTTTAGTGTGGTCAGGTTTACAGGTGAGTGTAAGAATGATACCCTGATCAAAAAAAACCTGCTGTTAGTACCTGGATGTTGGCTCTAGATCAGAGGGGGATTACCCTTTGCCTGTTCATTTCTTTTCATATTCCTCTCTTCCTCCCCTCCATCCCTCAGAATTAGAAGCAGGATGTCTCTGGGTTATAAGAAGTAGCCAAGGGAGTCAACAACTTTTTTTGAACACAGGAACTTTGGTTCAGATTTTTTTCCTGATTATCAGGAATAGGGATTTGAATTTTGGTCTTAGTTTCTTCAATGTGCAATAACATCTTCAGTGATTAAGCAAAACAGATAGGATTGAGGATGAAGTATTTTCATTGTTCTGTCCCAGTTTGAAGTATTTCAGTATATATTGCCCAGAGAAAGAAAATACAGACTCTCATAGATATTAATCAAGTTGGTGCAATTTCAGCCATTCCAACTGTTAAATTTTTTTGTATTTATGTAAATTATAACCACTTCATTGGGAGGGAGCTCAAGACCTTAGTGAGAATATTACAGTGATTGGAGCAGTCCTAAGAAAGGCTTGCTGAGAGCTTTGAACTCCTTGTCTGCAGAAAGGGTGGTGGATCTCTCATCACTCTGCACTGACCAGAGTAGCTCACAAATCACTTATAGCCTTTCTGCTGTTGAAAGTTACACCATCAGTAACTTTTATTTATTTTCGGTCTGAAAAATAAATCTCTTTAACTGAAAAGGATGCAACTTGTTCCTTTTGCAAAGGAAATAGTGATAATGAATTAGTAGGAAAGGTCCAGCTTGGTCTGGCATCAGATATTTATAGTGGGATTTTTACACAATATTATTAGCCCTCAGTCTGAAGTCTCTGCAAACTGAATCACTTCCATCATGGATAGGATTTATTTTTCCATGTTGTTCACCTAATAATACTGTAATGTTGCCATATGTAATTTGTATGCCATGGTAATTTTTTTAAAAAATTACCTAGGAAGTTTGAAGTGGAAGACAACTTCCTAGATGACTTTCACAAGTGTTCTCTCTTCTCCATTTCTTAATCTGTATTCCAAATCAGTTATATGCTAAAAAAATGAGTCTGAAATAAAAGTAGTATCTTTGATTTCAGATACATATCTGAATTGCACAACGTCTTTCTACTCTTTCCAGTGTTACAGTTTGATGATAAGTAGAAACTTTCTCACCCAGAGTTAAACTGCATTAAAATTAGATCAGACACTCACTATACATTTTTTTTTTTATAATCTAAAGTTTGCTACTTTTTCTCCCTTTTCTTTTTAGGACATACAGCCTGATCTCAGCCAAAATCACAAGGTGGAGCATTCTCAATTTAATTCAGGTGATCTCTTTAGTGGAGATATGATTATGAATGACCAAATCATTGATATTCTGTCCTTTGAAGAACCTGGGAACATGCGTCAGGCTTTAGAAGAGTAAGAATTCACTTCTATTACATCACATTTTTTATTTTTATCATCAGCCAGACCTATGAATATGTTTTGAGTATCTCCTCTTTTTTTTGTTTTTTATAGTGTTTGTTTACATGTATTACAGCACTACCTTAGGTTTTTGAACTGTTTTAGACAATCATCTATGGGAACAGAAAGCCATCGTATTTCATACTGATTCACTTGTAGAAGTCACAACACGATCTAGGCCTTAGACATGCATGTCTTTCAATCCAAATAAACACCTTTCTTTGTCTCTCTGTGGTTCACTACATGAAGGGAAACTTTTTGGTGTGCAAGAAAATACTGAAACAGTTTTCTACTATTGCTTAACACATTCTGCTTTCAGAAGGGTGGCTTTTGTCCTAGAAAGGAGAGCCCCTGCTGAGTACCAGTATTACTGTTCAGCAGCTGGATCAGAGTCTAAGGTGTGACAGTTTGTAGTATTGCCAGAAAGATACTGTGTACCTGTGATTGCTGGGACCACTGGCCAGAGCAGAGAAACACCCCTGGTACTGTTGAAAGGCTTTTTGACAGAAACATGCCACTGTTAAAGGTCATCTGTTCTTTGGCTGAATTTTATAAAAAGGTCTTATGTGAGGATGAGCAGATGTTGTTTATGCAGTCTTACCATTATCTCCTGGTAAGTGAGGTTAAAGGCAGTGCTATGCAACTATAAAATTTGTAGAAGCTGAAAAGTTACAGGACCATGGATGGAATTTTCTTTCTTTAAGGGTGACTAACAGCATTATTATTTTCTGCCTTTCCCTGATAATTGGGAACTTATCTCTATAAATTGCACATTGGTCCTTGCTTTTATAACTGTATAGCAACTCAGGCTTTGAGAAGGCTTATCCTGAAAATAATTTCGTGAATATTAAGAAGAACAGGATCAAACATTTTTTTAAACTCACTTTAGCATTAATTTATTTCAGGGATAGTTAGGATCTAGCTAGATTGAAAAAAATTGCTGGACTATTTTCAGATACATTAGGGATTTGAAAGGTAAATATTCCTGCAGACCTTTCTAAAGGTTTATTTTTATAACAGGTTTATTTCTAAATCTATAAAACAGGATTTGTATCCTTGTTTGAGTATGTGTCCAGGGGCTGAAGTTTTTTAATGTTTTTTATGAAGTTAGTGCATATGTCTCTTGCTTCCTTTTCTTCCTCAGTTTTTATTTTGTTTACCTCTAAAGAGGTAGAGCATTGCAGTGAATAAACTAGATGCCCATTAGTCAACACTCACTAAACTGCTTCACCTTCTAAGCTATCTTTTGCTTTTCCAGGGTGAGGATAGTAGATAGACCACAAAGGTATCCAGAGTTACAGTGATTCCTGCTATGAAAGATGATTGAAAGGGTGATAGGTATTTTCAACCAACATCATCTTGCTTGTATACTAGCTTGGTAATTCCTTCTGGGTGTTTTGGTGTTTTGGTGCAGGTATGTTTCATTTTTGTCTATGTGATACACATACAAGCTTGCCAGCATAACTGATAACATCCTTTTCATTGCACTCTCATAGTTGGAATCATTTTGGTCTTTCAGATACAAATGAGAAAAATACTCTGAAAAGTAAGAGCCACATGTTATTTTCTTCTTTGCAACATAAAGCTGATCTTTTTTTTAAGAAGTGACAGTGCCAAATCGTTCAGGAGGTACATCAGGAGCATGTGTTCAATATTTATGGACAGGGACAGCTTTGGAGTGTAGGCAGTTTGCAGTGTCAGGAGGATTGGCTAGAGAACAAAACATACTTTTAATGTTTCATAGGGAAGCTTCTTGGTTACTCATTTTCTGTATTTTGTCTTAATAAGTTATATCCTTGATGTACATTATGCAGCAAAATAGCTTGGCTTTTATTCTCAGTGGGTTCCTTGCTGTGTGTATTACTGAATATTGGCTTCTGGGCAGTGAACACTAATGAGGGGAAGCTATATGATTTGGGTATTTGACTGGCACACTAGAAGATCATGTTCCAAAATGTTGTGGGTCTCTTTTTCTGTATGTCTACAGGAGAATATAAAGAAAGCTGAGCAATTTGGGTTTGTGTCCAGTGTGATGGAGGTTAACCATTCTCATAGTCTCAAAAGATGCAGATATGTTAAAGAGAACTTAATTTCTTTAAATGGCTTTCCATTACTACACCTTTTCTTTTTAACCTTCATTTTGTACAGCTGTGCTTCCTTGAGTTTATCAAAGCTCTAGCTGAATTTGAACCCAATTGCTGGTACACAATACCAATTATTTTAGTAAATGAGTAAGTAATATGTGTATATTGCAGCTGATTTTTTCCTGTGGTAGAGGAAACTGAGGCCAATGTACTAGAGAATAGGATCAAACTGTCTCCAGAAAGCCTTGATAGAAAAATAAAAATTATTTACCATGATCTTAGAAGTTCACTTTTTCTTTTAAAATCTAAATTTCTTACTGTACCTGCCAGTTTGATTTGCTATGGAGCAAATGTTCTATTTTTTTTAAACCCTGAATTTAAATGGAAAGTAAGAATTACAGAATCATAGAATCTTAAGGGATTGGAAGTGACCTTAGTGATCCTCTAGTCCCAACCCCCCCACCATAAGCAAGGACACTTCCCACCAGACCATGTTGCTCATGGCCTTATCCAGTCTGGCTGTGAATACCACCAGGGATGGGGTATAGATGATCATGTTGTCATAGCAGCTAGACTTGACTATTCCTACACAGAAAATAGTGGGAAATGGTTACATGGTTAGTACAAAAAAAAAAAAAAAAAAAAGAGGGGCTAAATTTCTGTTTTTCATAACTTGGAAAGAATGTAATTAAAAGTTTAGAATTTTTGAAGGGAGAGCATATTCAGTGCTTCCGTTTTGTGAAATGTGTACAATGCAGGAGTATAACTAAATAGTAATCAAGTTGATATAAGATGCAGTGAATGCTCATGGTATGAAGTCCAAACCCTGCATTTGTGGTTCTGTATGAATGCTGCTGGAAACTTCACAAGTGTGTAAACTATACTCTTTTTTTATCAGAGATCAACTGCTTAATATATGATAGGAGCCTGTAAGATTGGGGAGCTGAAGAAAACAATTAATTTAAAATTGATAAATACATATCTTCATCTTAAAAATGCCACTTTTCTTTGATGTTGGCTAACTGTGAAGTGTTTAGAATTATAAGGGTCATTTCTGCTGTTTACCTGGAACAATTTATCTCATCCAGGAGAGTCTTCTTTTGAGAGTTGTGCTGTGCCTGATGCTGTATTCCATATCATTTTTAATGAAGATTGATATCTCCTACCATTTTTGTCATCTGAATACTCACGCTGCATGGATAGATCAGAAGAATCTGAGGAGATCATAGCAGAGCTGGAAGCTCCTCAGGCATTAATGCATAATGCATATAGCAATAATACTTATTTATTATTTTGTTAGTATCCAGGCTGAAGTTGGTGTTTTTGAAGTCAGTGGTGATGTCTTCACCAGAAGCAGAATTGGAATCTTTCATACACTCTTTTTGCATCATTGCTTTTCTGAATAAAAGAGTGAAATAACCATTTTCTGTACTGTGTTGCCACAGCAGTATTGCAGGTAGATGTATTTTTAAAGTTGATTTTCTGAAGATCATTGATTTGTCATATTTCTTATTTTCTGGAAGCAATGCAGAGGTTCTCAGTGTCTTAAATGCTGCATTTTAAAAATGTTTTCTAAACATATGTTTGAAATACTCTCTTTATATTGCTGTGGAGAATTAAAGGAATTTGGTAGGTGAAACTGCTGCCAGATATAATGCTTAGACTTTCTATCAAGTTTTCATGAATCTTTGTTTTCTGAAGAGCTTCTGGTCTCTCAGCTCAATTTTTCATCTTTTTCCATTTTTTTTATTTATATATTATTTCTTGGCTGTATATCAGGAATCCTGGTTTTGATTTTGTCAGCATTCTGACTTCTGGAAAGCTAAACCTAACCTGTGACTCACCCATGTAAAAGCATCCTTAGATAGTCCTCATGTACCTTTCTTAGCAATTTCATTTACTGATGTTTGTATTCTCTGTGGGCTGCTGCCTGAGCTGTGCTGAGTTCACACTTGGCTGTGTAAGTGCCACAGGACTGATGGATGAACTCCCCCAGTTCAGAGCTGGCTGCAGGCCAGTGGAGCCACTGGTGTATCACAGAATATCTTCAGACCTGTGCTAACACAGCCTGGCAGCAGGCAGGGACCAGGGAAATGCAACACATCCCACTCTGGAGTGCCAGAAGAATTTGGGCTTGGGCAGTCAGTAGCTGTGGGTGGGTGTTCAGACCTCATGCCATTGCCTCTGCTTCTACTTTAGTACAGTTGGAATCTCCTGCAGAGGTTTGTGCCTTGTGCTGCAGCTGTGTAAATCCCAGCCCTGAAGTGTTTACAGCCACTGTTGAGACTGGACCCAGTAGAAGAGCATGGAATGCAAAGGAAGGAAAAAGGAGGGAGGTGTTGAAGGGAGGAAGGTAGGGAGCTGCACAGAAGGGTCACACTGACATTCTTTAAAGAACTACCAATAAAACACAACAACAAACTAAACAGACAAAACCCCAAAATATAGCTGAGTTTACTGATACTGCATTACTAATCCCTCAATAAATGGATAATTTGTGAAACAAAGCACATCAACAGCTTTTGAAGACCTCTAATGCCCATTACACTCAAATTGGCTTTGTTTCCTGTGACTAAAGCCAGCACTGCAGGAACTGGTTTCTTTTTGATTATTGTCTGACTCTTTCTCCATCTTCACTCCTGTGAAGTGTGACAAGGCAACATGGACCATAATGTCTGGATGTTTTCCTCCCATTTCTTTCCTTGCTGCAGCAGTCCCATCGTCACTGTGCCCGTGGGTACAGGGCATGTGCTGCTCTGGCTGTAACAGTGGGTGCCACTGGGCTGGGGTGCTTGTCTGGCTATCTGTCCTTCTCTCTTTCCATTCTCCTCTCCATCAGGAGTTGGTGCAGCTGCTGTGTCTTGGGGCTCTGAGTCGCTGCTGAAGTGGAAACAGTGGAGACAAAGTGTCTACAAATGGCTCTGAATTACTGAATTGCATTCTTTTCAGGAGCCTTGTGTGTTTGAAGCAATACTTTTGCAGAAACAGCTACCACGGAGCTCCAGTCTCCTTTGGATACTTTTGTCATACTTGTGCTACTAAGTAGCTTGCATTGGCAGAGGGGAGATGAGCCTTCTGAGAATGACAGGCTTTTCTGTTTTGATGAGAAAATGTTATCGAAGGGAAATTTGTTTAATGCTTCTCTCCCTTTTAGACTTCAGAAAGTTGTGTCACAGTAGTTTCTAATCTTTATAAATTCAGAAAAAAAGTATTAAAAATGTGTTTGAAAGCTATTAGTTATTTTTAGGAGTGTTAAATTCAGCAGCTATAAGTTCTCCTGTTCAGAAATTCTCTCTGTGGGTCTGTAATTTGAATAAAACACTTAAAGACACACTTACTTGATAATTAATAAGAGGTTTCCATTTTTTTGTAGTGTGTTGTGTTTTGGTCTGTCTTTTTTTGAATTAACTGTATTTGGTTTCCTGACCTCAGCTGCTTTACTGTATTCTTTCATTAGGTCTGTGGAGGACATCAGTTGCTCAGGCACTCTTTCTGCTTCTCTGTGTTTGGCATCTGGGATTCTCCCCTTCCAGATCTCTCTAACAGATTTTTAAAACCTCTTTCTCTTCAAGTGAGTGAAAAAGCTTTACACTTGCTGTTTGAAGTTTCATTTTCCATGTGTCTGTTCAGCTTTCCTTCCCCCACCCTTTTGTGCCACCTGCCTTCTGTACTCTTCTCATCCTTTCTCTGTGTGCTTTGTCCAACAAAAGCTTTCAACTTTTTCATCATAAGGTTGCCATCAGCTACCTGTACTTCATTAGCTTTCATGTTTCTATGATGCTGAATATGCTCAGGAAGTGAAGCAAGACCTTTTAAACATCAGTTACTGTAACAAGCAGAGTGCAGAGCATTTAAAGCAAATTATTAAATGCACCATGGCTTGAGGAGGCAGTGTCAGGCTAGAATTTTTTTTTTCCTGTGTATCATGAAACATTTAATCTGGTTGATTGTAAACAGTGTTCTTCTGAAGGACTTAAATGAAACCAAATGAAAGCATTCAGTTTATTATATGTACAGGATTCCTGATTTATTGACTGTTAGTGTGAAGCAGCATGCTAGGGGTGCCCTCAACCTCTGTTTTGAGTAAAGAGCTTGAAGCAAGGTTTCTGATGTGTGTGATGAACTTGTCTCATTTCTGCTGGCTGCTGTATGGAGATCACGGACCAGAAGCAGAGCACATCAAATGGAAGGGAGCTTTCAAGTTTTTACAGCCACAACCTTTCTTCAGCTGCCACTGCCAAAAGGTGATGTGGGTGCTGTCTTCAAAGATGTGACCTGGGAGAGCTATGGCTTGTAATTATGTAATTTTCTCTCTGCTGTTACCCTTGGTTTGGTGGAAGAGTTCATAAACTTCTCTTCCATTGCTTTCTTCACCAATGTGCTGTCAGGAAAATAAGAATGTGAGTTGCAGGTTAAATACACCTGAGATCCCAGGAGCCTCATTATTCACTTGCTGACACAGCGGCATCAGGTGATTATTATCATTGCTCCTCCTGCATTTTGCATCATGTGGACTTACTGGGGTACTGTAGTTCTCCTTGAGAGTGAAAAGGAGCATGGGAATCTTGCTGGAAATGGAATCAGGTTGAGTCTGTAATGACTTGCAGCAAGTAAGAAGAAGTGCTGTGGGAAGACTGAGGGAAAGATAACAGGAAATGTTCTGATGGTGTTTCATTTTGGTTTTCATTCTTGGGATCACTGATGAAGAAGAGTGGAAAAGTAGCAGGGAGGTGGGTGAGGAATCGCTTTAATCTTTGGGGCATGCTTTAAAAAAACCTGTATTTGTGATAAGGAATAAATTATGTGTTATGAACTAAGTAACAATGTGGTAGAGCTGTGAAGTGTTACTTTCCAAGGAGAGGGGTGAGGAATTCAGTCTTTCACATCTCAGTAAGAAAGGGTTAGTAGGTGCTGTGGCAACCATCTATCATTGCATGCTTGAAGAACAGAAAAGTAATGACTAAGGAACTTGTTGTTCCAGCAAACAAAGAGAGTTGAAAGTTGTAACTAATAAAATTCTGAGCATGAGGCATTCTTTGGAGAAATTACCTAGTGGAACAATTGATTAAAATGTTAGTTCTTTGTTGGGGGATGCTTGAAAGCCAGGATGTTTCTCAGAGAAGACAGATATGCTTCAATTAAATTAGAGCTGCTGAACTTAAAGCAGGAAGTAAAACAGAAAATAAATTTGGTGCCTTGGATTTTACAGGCCAGTAATGAATTAGTGAATCTATGAAGGAAAGCCTCCTACCACTGCCTCACAGTCATTAGAAAAATATTATAGCAAAAAGCTCCCATTCTCTGATTCGTTGTTTTTGTTTAAGTGCATTTACACAACTCTTTTTTTCAAGTTGTCAAAAAGAGCTTGATAATAGCTGGGTGTGTCAGCAAAAGTCCTGAAACTGTAAGCAAAATGACTTAAGAGAAAACAGACATCTGTATCTGCTGTGTTGCTTCAGCATCCTGTTACCTTGATCCTGCCATCACCTGCCCTCTGTTCTGGAATAAGAAGGGCTCTCCCCAGGGATCAGTGCCCTGAATGTAGGTGGAATGTTACCAGGAAAGCTGTGTACCTCCAGCTGCAGTGTTCATCTGTAGACAGGAGAGAGAAGCTGGATGCTCATGGTGCCTTGGGGATATTATAGCAAATATTAGCTCCTACAGGATCTTCAGATTACTGTGAGAAATGTTTCAGGCTCATGGTACTTCAATTGCAGGAACTTCTGTTCCTGTATATAAGGAGGAGGTAAAGTGGAGGAGGTTTAGCAGCTGCAGCCAACCAGCCAGCCCTGCAGCAGGTTGCCATAATGAGGACAGCCATCACCATTGTGCTTCTGTGGTATTGGGAAATTGCAACAGAAAATCAGTGTGTGGTAGATGATTACATTTCAAAGCTAGTCTCCCAAATACTTCAGGTATTTGAGTCATTGTAAGAAAACAATTCTATCCCATCAATTTCAAGATGGAGAGAATACATCTCTTGTGCTGTCAGGGAGGCAATGATGATATCAGTAGTTTACTTTTAATTAAACTTTACTTGCTTTGATAAGGAAAGTTTGACAATAAAGAAAAGTGTTTCTAGATCTGCATGTCTTCATTTATACAATTCTGAATGCAATATCATTCCACTCCCGCAATTTTTATTGCCAAGATCTTTTCTTACCAAGATCTTTGCTATGGATTTGAAATTTATTCTGAGATTTTTCTGTAGAAAAATTAGACCAATAATTTAGCATAAGCAAAAAAAAAAAAAAAGAATGGGTTTAAGCTCCTAAAAGTATGTTTTTTAAGTCATAAAGAAATTTATGTATACGTGGTCCACACACAGAAGTATACAGTGTTGTGTATTCATGTAATTTATAATTCCAATTTAACTCTACAGATAAATGAGGATGTATTTATATGCAACGTGATATATTGCATTTTCTAAAAGCTCTTGTATTTCCATCTGGTTTTAATCTCTTTTCTAGAACTCTATAATGTTCATGAGAGACGGGTACCAGCTATTTTATTTGTGTTAGCATAAAATTGAAACTGTCCCCTCTTCCTTGCCGAGAAGGGAGTACACCAGCCAAGAATATGAAACAGTGATATGTCAATCTAGATGGGTCAGTGAGTTTAGAACTATTTTACAAAGTCAGTAAAATGTATAGTCTATTTAGGTGCCCATTTGATCTGCTTCCCAACAGAGATAGCAGGTTGAGGTTTTTTTGGGGGGGAGGGATGTGTCAGATATTTTTTTGGCTTTTATCTGAGGGAGTGTTTTGAGTATTAGGAAAGAAAATATTTTTCTTTTTCTCTCTGAAATGGAAATGGAAGTGTGGATATACTTCATTGAAGTTGCTGTAGTAGAAGTTGACTCACCCTGTTGTTTAATGAATGATTACTATCATGATTAATAAACTCATATACTGTGATATTCCTGCACATCTGTGACTGCCATTTCATTACCCACTATTGAGTGAATCTAGATGCAATCTAGAGATTGAATGCTCTAGATACACTGATCTTGTTTTCTGACATAAATTTCCCATAATCTGATATTTCTAACAATGCTGATTACCTTTGCACAGTTTGGAGGTTGCCAGCCTGACACGGGCAGATGCTGATCTGGAGGCCAGTCGAACTCAGATCTGTAAAGAAGTGATTGCTATGATGTTGAAGAACATGGTCTTAAATCACAGCCTCGTTCCTCATGTGGAGAAGAAGATAAGTTCAGTTTTCAAAAAGCAGTTTCTTGCAATGGAGGAAGAGATTCAAGAGGAGTATGAAAGGAAGATGGTAGCTTTAACAGCTGAATGTAATCTGGAAACTAGGAAGACAATGGAGGCTCAATGCCAAAAAGCACGAGCTGCAAATGAAGAGGCTGAGGAATTAATGAAGAAAATTAATGAAAAGGTACATCTGGTTTTAAGCCAAGATATTTTGCATCCCATGTAGATTTATGGAGATGGTTTCTCTTTTAGACTAGAGGAGCTTAGTTATCCTCCTAAAAGAGTAAAGATCTACAAAAAAATGTGTTCAGAAATTCAGATGTCATAATCAGGGTAGTTGATATGAAGAAATTTTGTTTAATTCACCAGAAAAGGAATTTTTCTGGAGACAGTCTGTGACATCTGAAGACAAAGGGTTGTCATTACCCTGTTTGTTTGTTTTTGTTTTTTTTTAAATCACTTATACTATTGCAAAGTGGTGTATTTTTATTTACTGTGTTTTACTGCAGCACTTTTGAGATTTCAGACACTGTATGAAGTATTTTGCACATTCAGAGCAGAACAAACTCCCTGCATCATAAATCTTACAGCCTAGGTAAAAAACTTCCAATATTTATGTTCTATTTTTGAAGAAAATTAGAATATAAGCACAACCAAGGGCTGATTTCCCTCTGAAATGAGTGAAGGCAAGCAGAACAATCTGTATTTTAGACAGAGTGAGGAGTGGACTTCTCTTGGAAATAGCCTCTTTGTAATAAATAAATAACTGAAGTCAGAGTATGATTCCTTACAATGCTCCAGTCTTCCATGTATTTTTGTGAGTATATTGAATGTTTACAATAAAACTGATTTCCCCCCACCCTTTTTCTTTATTATTATTTTTAATAATAAAGTGTGGCTTGGAAGGATTCTGATAAGTTTTGAATATTTCATCTCTGTAAGCTTAAAATGCCAAAATGTCCCAAGTTGATGTTGCATGTTTGTTAAGAGGGTGGGAGCAAATAGTGCAGTTTGTTACTTACTGGTGGGGCTTTGCTTCTGGACCACAAGTGGTATTTGCATATTACATACCCATAATTCTTTAGGTCTTTTATGACAATTCATGATTAAATTTTTGACACTAGTTTTTTTCTTGCTGAATGTGATCCATTAAAAGTACTCCAGTATGTTGAGGCTCTCAGGAAGTACTTTGTTTTGTCAGGTTGTTGCATAGAGAAAATTAATGGCACAAGGCTAGTGAGCCACTAGAATTTCTTTGATGCTTCCAGGTGGATTTTAAATTGTGACTCTGTGTAGCTTTCCATACCTGTAGGATATGCCTATCCTGAACTAGCACCTAGAGGTGCTGGAGACACAAGAGGTGGGAAGGAAGAGATACTTGTGGACACCTTCTTAAGGATGGAGTGAACTGTACTCTGCTGGAGACTTTCTCCTTCTGTTGGATATAGAAGGAGCCTAGACCTCACTGAGATAAGTCCTGCCTTTGCAGAGAGAGGGGCCTGACTGAAACTCAGTGTGTGAACCCACACTAAATATACTCTCAGCAAAGTGGCTTTGCTTTGTAATATATTGGTGTTGAGTCAGTCTGATTTGTACTGAAAATCCTGAATAGTAGGAGTCAAGCAAACAATTAAGACCAGTCCAGTACCTGTCCTGATCCATTTACCATATCCTGTCATTGCTGTTGCTGTTGACTTTTCTGTCTGTAGAAGGACCTGGTTTTATACATGGTGCAGAAGGGCATTCTGGAGTGTGAGGGCTGGCTCACAGCCATTCTCCTGGGCAGCAGGTGTGCTGACACCCAAGGGATGGCAGTGGAAAACAACTAGAGCAGTAACCTCCTCCCCTTCTCAGCCAAGACATTGAATTTCTATTCCTTTTTGATTAATTATTTTCTGCCTGCAGTGTGTCTCTTGGGAAAGAGAAGTGAAGTGCAGAGGGCAGCTCTCCTCAAGATAATTGGCATGAAATTTAGAACAAGACTGACATTGTGATTGTTAGGTAGCTCTGCTGGCATAAGAAGCATTCTTTGCTCTGTGGGACATGTATGTTTTGATTTTATAATGACTTTATGCCATCTGAGATTAAAACTATGAATATGTAAGTCTTACTGGAGAACTAAGAGGAAATATTTCCTTAGTAGAAGCTTTTAAAGTAATTGCCATTTAATTCTACTCCATGGTTGTAGATGTAAATCTAAAACAATGCTCTTGGATTAATTTGTAGAAACTGATGGTTAAATTCGATCACCAATAACAAAAAACTTCTCAAGATTTTTAGTAGAATATGATTTTTTTTCTAATTTATGTTGTTTTTAAAATTATGGTTATTATTATTTAACTGTTATGCATTATATGAGTCTGAGTCTGTTTAATTTTAATAGGATTTCAGGATTGATGAAACCTAAAAAATTAATATATAGTCTTTGTGTTGAATTTCATGGCATTTTATATCATTTATGTTATGTAAGACTTGTGAATTTTAAAAGGACTTTATTATTCCTTGGAAGTGTTATCTTGATTAGAAACTGGCTACTCTACAACTCTGCCATCCAAACAGGTGAAAACTATACAAAGTGTACACTGATTCAATATTAGCTTTCACATAAACCTGAAATGAAAGTACCTAAAGTATTGATAAAATTTATAGGAGCTAGTAGCAATGATACTTTAAAATATGTTGAATTCTGAAAATCATTTCTGATGCATTTATTTCTTTCTTTTCTGCAGCCTGCTATAGAATACAGAAGTCTTCTGGACAAACTTCACAGGCTGGAGCAGGACTGCCTGAAGAGGTTCCTTTTTGTAAAGCAGGAGGAATATTTTGCAAAGGCTTATAGAGAGCTGGCTGTTACCCAAAGAAAGGAGCTCCATACTATCTTTTTTACACAAATAACAAGTGCCACTTCAAAGGGAGAACTGAAGGTGGAAGCAGCTAAAACATTAGTGGAAGGTTACTCTAAAGTACAGGTAATAGAATGACATATCTATTCCTAACCTAAAGACAGAATACAAACCTGCAGTAACTTTCAAGAAATGTTTCAGGATTAATGTTATCACTTTCATAATGAGCTTTTGTAGAAAGTATTTTTTAAAAATTATAATGCATTCATTATGCACATCTAGACATCTACACAACTGTATATTGAGATATATGCATATGTTCAAAACCCCCTAGGCATCAAGTGCTCTTATATACTTCAGAAGATGTACTGAGCTCCTCAATCCAAATATGTAGATTCTTGAAATTGTGATGTGTCTGAAGTACTTGATTATGTACTTAGAGGGGTTCAGTATTTTCAGGTTATATGATTGAGGGGTGCTGATATAATGTATGTTCAGGACTTAAGTTTTGCTTTCAGTTACATTTTAAGCCTCTTGCAACAGAATAGCTTGAGTTGTTTCCTCATGGTTTGCTTTTTTTGTTTGGTTGGTTTTTCCTCCATTGTGTTGAAAGTTAGTGCTCTGAATTCCAAAAGTTCTGGGAGTTTTTCTTACTGGCTGCTTCTTGAGGAAGAGTTTGATTGTTGTGCTCCTACAGGTTTGGGGGAGGGGAGGTTAAAAAGCAACACTGGAAAGTAGGTGTCAGAGCATGTAAGGCCCACTCCTAAAACCTGATGCACAACCTTGTATACAGAAGCTACACGTGGGCCACTGTCAGAGGGAGCTGCAGCAAGCACCTTGTGCAGAAGATAGTTAAGGAGCCTGGTCAAAGAGGTAGATCAAGTGAAAAAAGGTTTGACTATGTTTTGGCTGCTCAGATATGGGTCCTGTAACCAGCAAACCTTGTCTTGGCTATTTATGCTAGCAGAATGTCTGCTATAGAGCACTGCCTGCCTAACTCTGATCTCTGCCCAGACCCACCTGTGGGTATCTAAACCCTTCCTGTTTGCCACTGTTGGAAGAGGGAGCTTCTAATCCAGCCTGTGTGCAGTGGGCTTGGCATTCCCTATGCTATACTCAGCATACATGGAAGAGTTGGCTTTGAAGCCAACTTACAGACACCTTTGAAGGTGTGACCCTTTATGTAATCATACTGTACATCGTAAAGAACAGTTCTGCTAGCACTGGTAGGGTTGTATGTGTATGTAATTGTGAATATCTGATCAAATGACCTGTTAACTCAGGGCACTCAGGATGTGCACTAACTGCTCAGGGAAGTACACACAGCATTGAGGGTATCAGGCCAAGAGCTCGGAACATCATTTATTTTGTTTTGTTGAAATAACCATAATCATTTGATGTGACCATTAGAGTTAAGTTGATAAAAGCTTATTATTTTACACTTGTAGGAATTTTTAGACTTTACCCTATTAACAAAAAAATCTGCTCTGACACTCACAGGTGTTAGCTGAAATTAGCATTACATCTAATTAAATGTTCACATTTGTTTGCATTCTTTCCTGTAGGGTGACATTGAAGAGCTAATGGATTTTTTGCAAGCTTGCAAGAAATATCACCTGAGTAAAAGATTTTCTTACAGAGAATATCTTATAAGTAAAGTACAGTCAAGGGATTCTCGTGTCTCTGCTCTTATAAATGCCGCAGCAGCCCAGATATCGAGTCTCATTAACAAGACAGAAAGGTAAAGCACTCAAGTCTTTCCTCGTCAGCCATTTGCCTATGTTATCTTGCAGACAACAGACTCTTAAAAAGTGTTTTTTCTGTGTTATCTAGCAGGAGAGTTGCATAAAAATGTTATCTTTTAGTTGATTCTAAGAAAATATTTGGTGACTGATTGACTTTGTTAGTTAAATCCCAGCAGGTGCTAAGGTGAGGTTTTGTTGTCTGTGTCCACTTCGTACGGCACAGAATGAATTGCTGGAAACATATGTAGTACCTGGTTGTAATTCTGAGTTCAGTGGGAACCAGACTGATGTAAGAATCTCAATGTCTTTATACATCCATAATTTGTGTAAATATCAGTCATGTGAAAACTCATGCCAGAGTCCATTGCAACATGTACTAGTGAAGACCATTTGTCTACATGCTTTATGCACAAATATCTGGATTTAACAGAAAAGAACTATTTTGATTCATTTGTGATTGAATGTGTTTGAGGAGCTGGACATATAGTTTCTCTTTTTGAGCTGGAAGTCACGAATATTTCTAAAGAAAGTAGATTAATTATAAATAATTTAACTGGAGGATTTTGACTAATAGGAATACACCTGTTGCAGAGAATTAAAAGGTTGACATCAGGGAAGTAAAAAGTAGACTTAGAAACAGACTGTTGTAGTACACACAATTTTTTTGGGATATCATACCAGACCCAGGCTGACTGAGTACTCTGAGATAGAATGCTCAGAATCAAGGTAGAGGGGTAGAAATGGTGACTCTGCAGACACACAGAGATGTAGTTATTTAGAATTGTGTGGCTGTGAGGAGCACTGAGGGAGACATTGTGCTGCCACCCAGGGAACTAGTGAGGAGTCTGCCAGGGCAGCAAAACATGTTAGTGTTTTAGGAAAACAGTCTAGCACTGCTGCTGTTGGTCCTGTGCATGCAGCTTTATTTGTATATTTGAGATGTCTGTATTGATGTCAGTCACTGACAATATGTGAAATGTGCATTAAGAGAACTAGATGAACACTCATCTTTATGGTGTGTTTTTTATTCCATAATGTTAACTTAATTTAAAAATAATTTAATATTAGGAAGCAGGAAGTCTGTTAAAAGCCATCAAAGATTGCATCTGTTGATGTGACAAAATAATTTATCAGAGTGTTTAGGTATCTTCCTTGCTTTTCTTTTTGATTGTCCTGTGATCTGCCTCATTGGAATCATACCCAAAGTTTAGCTTGAATCACCCTGAGTTTAGCCCCCAGATTCATTGGTTGGAGAGAGCTTCTTTCAGTAGTCTTGCACTGTTTTTCTAAGGTCTGCAGCTGTGTGCCTCAAAGACAAAGAGGACCTGGAATAGGGAATATAATTCAGACATGTCTTCCACAGAGAGTTCCTTTCCATCAGTTCATGCCTCTCTTTGGAATTGTATTGTAAGGTCTGAGATGTTTTCAGAGATGATGTGGTTACGTGAACAGGCTTCGTGAGAATCTCACTGTGTGACCATTGCAGTGAACAAATGCAACTTCTTGAGCTTGAAAAATTAGTTTCACCAATTGTTTAATGCCTATTATTGTACCTAACAGTCACAAAACAAATCATCTATTAAACAGAAAGGAAAGGCATAGTGTTAGTTAATTGAAGACCTCATGGATCTCATCCCCAAAAATGTATTAAACATTTTAAAAAACCTTCCAAAAACCCCCAAACTTCCAAAAGCAGCAAGTGTTATTACCAAGATGAAAAATAAATTTTTCTAGCATTATCATATTGAACTTTCAGAGTATGCATTGGTTTGTTGTCTGTGGACAAAGGACACGTGCCAATAATTAGAGATAGCTTTTGTATAGAAGCAATCCCATTTGGCTTTCTGGGCCTAGAACTAGTTATTTTCCTGTAACTCCCCCCACCTGCTGCCTCAGTAGTTCCTCTCAGACAACTGTTGGCCAAACTTTTATAATTCATTCTTTAGATGGTGTGATTGTAAAACTCCAGAATGTAGTATCTCAGTTTATTTTCTACGGTAAACTGAAATAGCCTAGTATAACTCATAAGAAATTCATAATTACATAACATAGGCTTGTATTTCAGTTTCTAACTAGAAAGTGATTTTGGGAGTGTTTACAAATTGGAGCACTAAAATTTGAGCAGCAGTCCAGTCTGAATGGTACTTAAATTTGTAACTATTGTATCCTCTTATTTTTCACTTTACCACTGAATCTGCTTGCTAAATATAGATACAGCTCTGTCTTAATTTATTTTGTCCAGCTTTATAATAGACTACCTTAAACTTACTGTTATAAATGGAATTCTAAAATACAAAACTCAAATGGAGAAGAGAGAAAAGATATAGATTAGATATACCACAGATAGATGCAGTGATAAACCAGCAGGTACATATTGAGGGGAGAAGTCTTTTTGAGATGAAGCTTTAATAGTATGTTTAAAATTTATCAAATAGCAAGGCAATTTCAAATTAACATGAAAAGGATTCTGTGGGGCTAGAAATGAATGTTATAAAAAGAAAAATAAACCCAAACCAGTTCTATGGAGGGCTGTGAACATCTTAAATTAAATAGAGCAGCCAGAGTTTTCAAGCTGTATTTAAATAAAATGTGCCATTTGTCTGGATTAGTTTTTGAATATTCTGTGTCTTTCAAAAATCAAGTCTGATTTTCAGTGCCAAAAAGCAAGAAAGGAGAATTTAAAATATAATCTGTAATTATGGATTTGAGGGATGGGTACATAGGCTCTTGTTTTTTTCTTGAAGAATAATGGGCAAAAGAGCAATACTTGAGGCAGTGTTTATCTTGGGTTGTTCTTGCTATCAACAGAGGCACAAGGTTCTTGATGGTTATAAACTATAACATTGGTAAAACATTGTGTTATTCTTTTGCCAGTATCTTCTTGTTCACAAGAAATATCTTTCTTCTTCAGTCTCTTAAAAATTGAATTCAATTCTTCTGACTCATTAGATACAAACAGTTGCAAGCTCCTTTATAAATTTCTCCCAAAACTTAAATTTTTTAAGACCTCAGGGATTTTCTGTGTATTGTGTTCCTAAAGTGTTCAAAAGATTAAAGCAAGCACCTTATGCTGGTCTCGTTCTTCTTAATAATCACCATTTACGTGGACTTTGTCCATAGAAAGTAGTTTTCCAGTAATGTCTTGGCTGGACATTTGTCAGTAGTGAATCAGTATGAAGTTTTCTAATAATCTCTTAAAACCTTTTCTGCTTGTAGCACTCTGCTATATTGGGGGTGCATTTATTGCCCTGAATTATTTACATGAATTGTGATCTGGAAAACAGCAAGATGCCAGTTCTGCAGGTGAAATCCTGATGTAGCTGGAGTAGCATGAGCAGAGTCATGCAAGTTCTCTCTCTGTAGTTTCTCTGTAGTGATGTGATTCAGCCTCCATGTACATTCCGGCCTGTACAGCTGAATCAATCTCCCTTTTGCTTTAGTGATGCTCCTGTTCCTTTTCTAGCTTTCATGAAATAATTTTCCTTTACTGGGGTCTGGCATTCCGGAACACTGGTTCCCTGTAACATCAAATACAAAGTCCTGCTTTTCTCTTCAGTGCTCTCACTCTGTATTTGCTCCTTAATTTGTTGGCTTTCATTCAATACAGAGAAGTCAAGGTCTCTCTCTGACTGACCTGTGGTATGGCTGCTGTTGTCCACACACTTCACCTCTGTACCTTCCTTGGTGCTCACTTTGGGAGGGTCTCCCTTTAAGCATCCTTGGCATTACCACAGTATTCTCCATCATTAAAATTCACCTTGTTCAAAGATATGTACCTGCATATTTCTTCAGTGATTAAATTTCTGGTATGCTGAGAGCAGGCAGTTTTATCATACAGTCTATACTGTCTCATTACCTTTCTCAGCTCCTTTTGTTTTGCATTTCTTTCTGGAGTTCTTTGAGACTAGGACATTTTTTATTCCTAGTAGTTGTTTTTATATTGTATTTATATGAAACCAGAAGTGAAGGTATCTTGCCAGGATTGAGCCTTTTAGGAATTACCATAACACCGATTAATGTAAGTTGGCACATAAACAGACATAGGCTTCTGTGGTGTGATACTGCAGTATCACCTACAGTTTTAGCTGTGGAAATGCTGGATCTCTAAATAAACCAGCTGAAACACTGTAGACCTTTCTTTAATCCTAAAAATAGGTAGCTATATATCATCTTCCTATGGTTCTGTGTTGCATGACTTTTCTTAAACTTTCATTTGCTGTGTGGTTCCAGCACATCTATCTTTTTCTATTGCAGACTCTTTTCAGTGCTCTGGACAGGGATTTTAATTGGATGCAGCAAGCCTGGGTTTATGTCCTCAGTACAAGAAAGGATGAAGGTGTTAAAAATAATATCTTGGTTATTATCTTTCCTCACTTCCTCACCATAATTAATTACCTTTATTCACCTATATTTTGCCTTGGGTTCAGTCAAAAAGGAGGGGGAGTACTTAGTTACCAAAAAAAAACTTGGTGCTGTTAGGGAGGTTTTGACATAACACTGAATTTTAACATTGGTTAGTGTTAAGGCAGAAATTACATGGCCAAGAATGATGCTTGGTGGATTACTCTCAAAATACTAAAAGGCATTTTAATCATCTTTGCAGATTAAAGAAATGCAATAGATAGACTTTGAAAATGCTCTGCAAAAGGAGGATCTGTTCCGTTGACATAGCTGTGATAAAGCACATCTGAGTTTCTATCCAGGACATACATTATATAGGAGTGATGTTTCATGGCTTGCTCAGATAGTTGTGGATGCTTGAGCAGAAGACCTGGAGTTGTGAATTGTGGGTTCTGGCCACCCTGGTTACAGTGCAGTGGTGCAAGCAATCTAATTTGATAATCTTCTGCTTTATTTTAGCTCTTATCTTGGATTTTGGTTGGAATTAAGCTGTCACAGTAGCAATAAATTCTAATAAACCAAAATAAGACTCTCCTTTCTGGAGAAGGGCTTGCTTACCACATTTAAATACAACTTTAATTTAGGAATTGGACCTGCTTACCACATTTAAATACAACTTTAATTGGACTAGGTATCACACTGGAATGAAACCTTGAAAGCCCTGGATTCTTCATCTGAGTCCTAACTCTGTAATCTTAGACAAAATGGTGACTGGATAGGTAAATTAAAAGGTATCTGTATAACATCCAGGTTCAGGTCAAGAATTGGTGTTTTCAATTCAATGTTTCGTGTTGACTTTTTCAACACCACATTTTGTAAGTCCACTGTGCTTAATAGAAATTATAACTCACAAATATCCAACAGCCTGGTCTGAATTAAGATATTCTTTTATTATTCTGTTGAATAAGAATGATTTGGGGAACTTGTAGTGTAAATGTAATAGCATTTGTGGAGGTGGAGATTTTTTTTAACTGTTGCTGCCACAGTTGAAATCTTGTTTTCTCTTTGACATTAAATACTGTAGCAACTGGAGGTGGACCATAGTGTTGAACTTCCACTTGAAAGCCCTGTGGGCTCATGACTGACAATTTGCTATTTCTGATAATTGGATTTTTTTATTATTTTGAATTTTTATAATTCTTCTGATGTAAAATTAGTAGAATGTATGCATATAAGTATTTTGTGGATATGATTGCTTTGTCTATTAAAAAGAATTTTTCTTTTTACTTGATTACATACTTTAGAGAGAGATTTCTTTTTAATAAGGAGGAGTTGTAAAAGACGTATAAAATGGCATTCCAGGGGCATTAAATGGAAAAAATTAAATATGCATAATATATAAGTTTTAAAATGTCTCATTTGAATATCACTTACATTACAAACCAATCTATAATTGGTTTTGCACTTGCCTGTCCTTCCTGTCCATCCATCCTTCTTCTTATTTCTTTTTATACACCTTCACAAATTGCCTCAATTCTGTGCTCATCTCTGAGATTGTCCTTTGAGTATCCCCTTCCTTGTTTGATTCTCCCAGGTATCACTGCTAAAGAAACAAAGATTGTTCTTTGTGTCTATTTTGCTGAGCCTTTTTATGGTGCTAATTGCCTCATATATCCTTTTGCTCTTAAGAATTTGGGATAACAGGCTTCAAACACTGTTATTACAGAGCAGGTCATCTACCTGAAAGTCATTTGGGAATCCTGCTGGACCGAGCTGAGGCTGAAATTAATTTTGTTAAACAAAAATTTGATCATGATTTAAAACAAGAAAAGCAGAAGCTTTGCCAAAAACTCATTACCAAGCGAAGACAGGAAATGCTGCAAAAGGTAATTATTTTCAATGTTTTTATTTTCTAGGGCTTATCATGAATTAGAAATTCAATTAATTGAAAAATAAAATTTAGTTCTTAACAACAGAGGTCAACACTGACAGGATTGAAAATAGATGTCAATTGATTTAAACTGTGTACCCCCATATTCTGTATTAGTCGTGCAGTAATTGATAGCTGTCAAACCACATGATGATGCAATTTTTAGGTGTTAACTCTTTTATCTAGCAACAGTCTGTATTATCACAGCTCTTGTATCTAACAATAGTCAGAGTTATCATGGACCTCCCAGGTGCTCACAAAGCCAATCTGTTGAGGGTTGGGTAAGCCTCTGAACTCTGAGAAGCAGTTTCAAGAACATGGAAAAGCAAATGTATGAAATTTTGCATTGCTATGAAATTCATACTTAAGGAGCTAGAATTCAAGATGTTCTTTTTTCTTAACTTTGTTCCTCCTTTTGGTAAATGAATCAGCAGAAAGAGCATCAGAAGGAGCAGCTGTCACTTGGAGACCCCTTCAAAACTACTGATGAGATCTCTCACTACCTGAGACACTGGAAAAATCTTCTGAGTGATCACACTATTGAATTTGAAGAACTTACTGAAAAGCTTGACAATGAGGCCAGTGAAGAGCTGAAGGAGCTTCTATTTAGCCTAGGAGAGAAAGCTGTTGAAGAGCTTAAACGTGTTCAGTGTGGAGTGTTTGTGCAAGAGCTGGTCAAGCTCAATGTGCCAAAGCTGTTCCTGCTAGAAGCTGTGGAGGAGCACAAAAAAGAGATGGTGGTTAAACACGCACAGCTTGAAAGGGAAGAACATGACAAGAGCATGGCTGCTGAAGAGCTGCTTCAGCTCACCAGGCAGAAGCTAAGCCAGGAGCTGGAAACAGGCATCTCAGAACAAAAGAAAATAAGGAGCTGGGAACAGTCAATATTCATGCAAGTATCTCTCTGCACACTTTTCTTAGTTACTATGGCAAATAAAAGATAACTGGGAGTTTTCACACCTGTCTAGTTGTAATTCCTAATGATCAGTTCTCTGTTGGGCACTTAGGAAATTTTTTTTTTTTTTCAAAGCACTCAGCCCATGCAGTACCAGTGGGTGAACACTGCTGTGGAAATTTTAGGAAGCAGCAGTCTTGAAGCTAAAAATGTGGAATAAAGGTTTTATACTTCCATTCATTCCATGGAGGGTGTCACTTATACATCTTTCATTGTTAGTATGTTCTTTGAGCTCCCGCACTTTGGAAATGCCAATTAATATGTCAGACCTAATTGGCCCCAAGTCCAAGTTGAATATATTCCTTCTGGCCACAAGTCAAGCCTTACTCACCAGGTTTGGTTTAAGCTTTGGCACAAGCAGTCCCTAAGTACACAGTGCAGTGTCTGCCTGTCCAGCTCACGGCTCCACGTGTCAGACTGGGCTGCTCTGGCCTGTGGACAGTGTCCCTGGCACCAAGCCCTGAGCCAGCCAGGCACATACTGGCACAGGCAGTGCTGCAGAGAGGAGTTCTGGCCCCTGGAAGTGTTGTGACCCTGGGGAGGTGGGAAAGCAGGTGGTGGCCTTGCTACAGTTGACAGACCTTGCACAGGGAGAGCCCTTGGCTGTGGCCAGGAGTGGTTGTGCCTCTCACAGTGGGCAGCAAGGTCCCTGAGAGATCAGGGAATGTTGGTGAACATTTCTTCTTAGCTTTCAAGTGCATTTATCTCTGGTTGTTGGACTGTCTGAATATTTGCAGTACTACATTTCCTATACAATGTCTATTTAATAAGAGACATTGTTAGAGACATGGGAACATGGGAAAATAAAATTGCAGCTTTAGGGGAAGCAAGTGGAACAGGCAAACCTATAATAAGCTGTGTGGCTCTGAAGGAAATGTACCAGGCATAAGAGATTGAACAAGGAGGGAGAAAAAAGAAGAAAAAAAAAAGACACTAGTAAAAGTTTCTCCTTCATACCTCTTCTTTAAAGCAAAATAGATTTGTATGGGCAGTTTTATCCAGACAAAGTAAGTTTTCCTGCCACATATTGTAACAGGAATATCAAAAATGTAACAGGAATATAAAAAGAAACTTTACCCATTGCATTTGCTTTGCTAAAGAAGAAAATTCCATTTTCCCATTGTTTTGGTTCTAATTTCAAGGGGTTTGTATTTTATTCAGCATTTTAAATACTTTTCTGTGATTCATTTATATGCATTTTCTAGTTTGTCTTAACTATCTCTTGCTTACATTGCCAAGAGCTGACCTGCAAGAATTTGGAGGTAGATTGTATGACCCAGCAGGACTTTACTGTTTCTAACTTAAAATTCCATAATAACTCTGTTCCAACCTGCCTGTTTGTTAGATGCTATCTTTATTTGAAGCAGCAGTAAGCTGTTTGGTTTTTGTTGTTGGTTTTTTTTTTTCCCCCCAAGTAAAATGCAGGAAAGTATATTGACCCAGCAGGACTTTACTGTTTCTAACTTAAAATTCCATAATAACTCTGTTCCAACCTGCCTGTTTGTTAGATGCTATCTTTATTTGAAGCAGCAGTAAGCTGTTTGGTTTTTGTTGGTGTTTTTTGGGTTTTTTTTTCAAGTAAAATGCAGGAAAGTATACGCAAAAAATGTAGCAACAGCTGTCCTATCAATAGCCCCTTAAAATCAGTCACGGTCTTTTTCCAGTCCATTGTCTGTCAGTTATGGTATTTTGGTGACATATGCCAGCTCTCGTGTTCATGTTCTCGTCTCCTGTCTGGTTTTCAAAAAGCATTATTTTGAATGATAGCATTTCATTTTTGTTGCTTATTAAAGAGACCATGGGTTAGCCAAAATATTTGTGAAGATTGTTAATGCTTACAGTCCTATTTAAATATAGCAAAACTCTATTTGCTGTATTTTATTTAATCTCTCTCTTTCTATATATATATATATGTATGTGGATTTATGGCATGGATTTTCTTCCATGAGTTTAAGACAAGATGACAAATGGTTAAGTATGCTATAAATGATCTGGAGTAGTTTGGAGTAGTCGTGTTAAAGTAAACAGCTTTTTGAAGGAAAAAACTCATGCTTTAGAAGTTTTTAACTGTTCTTTGCTGATTCAGTAGAAAGAAAAAAGAATTTCTAAACTCAAATATTTTAGTGAAATGATGAGGCGGTATAGGCCTGGTATACATTAAATAAAAGTATCAGTACTAATGAAACATGCAGCATAATACTTTTTTTTCAATGAAAAGTCCTCTTTAAAAAACATGCTGTTCATATTTTAAATACAAACATTTTTTTGTGGAATAAAAGAAATTTCCAAACAAATAAAAGTATAAGTTTTTTTTTGTGAAATATTCTTAAGGAAATAAGATACACAAGGTAAGAAGATGAATGTAATCTGTGGTTAATCAGAACTGAGCATGCTTTATTTTTAAGTCAACTTCGTCTTGACCCGATGATCAGTTCCTTAGAGGTCTGTGTTGAGAACTTTATTTCTGCAAAATGGGAACTTTGAGTAATTCAAATTACTCTTCAAATACATTGCATTTTTCAGACTGCAAAGTGCCTTTTACAATTAACTGCTGGAACCATTGTTATCTGTTGATCGAAGAGATGGCATATGCATTTATAATAGAGAGAGATTTTATTTTTTCTTTCTCAGTAGCTATGGCTGCTAAGTGCTGGGAAACAGTACAGGGAGGCTTTATGGGAAGCTTTTATCTTGATTTCAGCTGAAGTTCAGGGATTGTATTGTCTGAAGAAGTGGAAGGATTCTATGCACAGGAAATGTGCTAAAAATATTAATTTATTTTTAAAATATTCAAAAGCTGTTTGACTTTGAAAATGAAGTTTACAGTCCAGAAAGCTCTATATGCAAAATTTAAGGTATCCTCAAGAGCATTTTGTACATGCTGAGCAGTTCATTGCTGTGTGTGGTATCACTAACTGATATATGAAATAGACCAAAAAAGGATGATCACTCCTGAGTAAAGTGTTTGTGTGCATGTCTCTTATATTTTATGCAATATTGCCTAAATCACTAAACATCAAATGGCTCTTGTGGTTTTTTTTTAACAGGCAACTTCTAAGTTTACCTCTGTCACTCTCAGAAGAAGAGTTGCTTAGAATGAGGCAAGAGTTGCACTGCTGCTTCTCCCAGGTGGACAGCAGCTTGGCTTGGCCCAAGATAAGAGCAAGAACTCTGCTTCAGGCTTTTGAAATGGAGCAGAGGAACACTGAGGTGCTGAAAGTGGAGCAGAATTTAGCAATGACCAATGAACAGGTGGGAACAGCATGAGATCAGTGGGGATGTGGAAGGAGTTCCTGGGGGTACCTGTGGCTGCAGGCATTGGCTGAAGGTCTGGGTCTGTAGCTTCTTCATAGGTGCAACAGCAGTGTACACTTTTCCTGTCTGCATGGACCAGTGCACTTAAAGATAACTGTCTGGGCAGCAGTTGGATAAATAGGTTTTTTTTCACATACACCTGTGTATTTCTGTTTCTTTTTTGAAAGTTTTGGGAGTTTCTGAAAAAGACATTTCTACATTGTTTTGTCTGTTTAGGAAAGTAAAGTTCCTTAGTTAGATAGTCTTGGCAAGAAATTTGGCATGATTTATGTTTCTTGTTCCCAAAAGATTTAAGTGTATGCAGTTTGGGGTTATTTCCCCACATCTAAATATGTAGAAGATGAGGCATACTCAAAGTTAGAGAAATGTTTCCAACAAGGAAAATCTGCCTATCAAATCTAGCACTTTATAAAGAACCCTGTGAGGGATGTTTAATTCCTTCAGTAAAATGTAAAAGCTGTGGAATTATAAGTGGTTATCAGTTCTTATAAAGTATGGGAGCCAAAAATGTTTCCTGTATTAGTTGTGTCTGTTGCCATCTTAAAAAGGAGGACTTGCCCTTGCTCTCTTTTGGTTCAGTTATGTTTTCTAAACATGTAAACTATGCTGGGTTAATTGTGCTAGAAATTAGCCTGGTTCAAAGCCTTAATGGTTTCTAAAGTACTAAAGGAGGGAAATGACTTTGCAAAACCTTACAGTTGAACAGATGTTATCATTTCCCCAAGAGTACATATACTTAGTTGGTATTCTTGTAAAGAAATAGAAAGGTCAAGAGTAATTTGATTACATGGAATGGTGCTTCTTAATGTTATCATGGTTCATTTGTGATTCACAGACTGTGTGTTGAAAACAATGTAGATCTTAAATTAATATTCTTTGTTCATTTTTAACCGTGCTGAGGAGACAACGTATCAGTTAAAATCTTCTCTTATTATCACTGCTAAAGCTTGTTTAAAATCAAATTTATATGCTATGAATTTTCATGGAAAGGATGAATATATAATTCTACTTGAAAGAAATTTTTAAAAAAATTCTAACTTTGCCTGAATGTCCAAAGTGAATGTTCTGAATGAATAGGCAGTACCTTCATTTCAGATGTACTTTGTAAGTGAAAGTCATATTTTCCAAGTTTTTCAGTATTTGGTGGATGTACCAATAATACTAAGTAATAATTTTAACATTAGCATCCTCATATGCCTTTTAAAAATAAATCATCTTTGCTCATCTTGTTACAGCTGCATTCTAAAATGGGAAAAACAGGATCCAGGAATAGAAATAAGTTAGATATTCTGAAGAAATCTTTACAGGACAAAATTTTAATTTATGAAGACTCAGTGAAAGGTGAAAATTTGAATAGGGTAAGTACAATCTTTTCTGGACTGAAGTCAAGACTTAGATCTTTAGTAATTAAAGATTGACAGTATTCTATCAATGTGAATAAGAACTAGAGAAAAAAGGTGTAAGGTATTGTGACATGATACATCTCCCTAATATAGCCTGCATTTATCAAGATGTTGCATTTCACACTTAATAGTTTTTGCTTTGTTTTAATTTTTACATCTTAGTTACAGAACTGGTTTCATGTCTCACCCCTCTTTCTTCCAATGGTTCTGAGTGTGTGCAAGATTGCAAGGCTCCCCTACCTCCTGTGGTTTTCTAGGAAGACTTTAAAAACATGGAAGGTGCTTCAATGCGTGCTTCGGCTGAGCAGCATTTAGTTCCTGGACATCTGCTAATGCTGCTGAAAATCCAAAAACAGATTCTTAGATCCAAAAGCTTTTTGGGTAGGGTCTGAGTTTTTTTGTACAGAGCTGATTGAAAGGAAGTCTTGATTCTGGTGGGTACCTTTTAAAAACACACAGCCCCAATCTCAAGTTAATCCTTGAGAAATGAGTGGGGCCAATCTTAGTATGGGATTTTGACAGCTTTTTACTTCCCTGCTAGTAGATGTTCCAAGAGATCTTTCACATGTGTACAATATGGATCATATTAGTTTTACATGTCAGGAGGACATTGCAGTGATAAGTTTGTTAAACACAGGTGGTGCACAGCTGTAGAAACTATGCATGACAAGCAGGTGTCATTGGTGATTAAAATTGGTTGATAAAAAAATAAATTCAAAAGTGATTACAATATCAATTTTAGTACCAATTTGGACAAAAAGCTATTTTTATACTTCTTTCTTATGCTTTTCATACTTGTATCCTGAAAACTGAAAAATAATGGGTCAACATGTTAATTCAGAAATAATTTCTCTTCTATGTGAGAGCAACACATCATTTGATTTGGTTCAGGTGATAAAAGCAAATGTTTTTCTAGTCTAGCATCCAGTCTTTGAAAGTGAGAGCAGGTGCTTGGGTCTGAGAATGTTCTAATCCTTTAATACAGGCATTGTAATTTTTACTTCAATACCTAATGCCCTGGTCCTCAAAATTTAGGTGGTTTTGGTACTCTTCCTTGAAGATTACTCTTCCCATCAGATTATGGGCTAAACTTTATAGGCAAAAAAGTACTGAATACTTGTTTGGTAAGTGTAAGGCAGTAAATACTGTCTTACATTTTTATTAGAATCTTGTTTTAAAATCGGAAATTTAGCTTCTCTAAACCTCTTTGTTCCAGTTTTATATGCACCATCTGGCACAGCTGTTGTCATTCTAATTGTATAGCTGGTTTCATAGCTGGCAAGAGTCAGAAAGAAACTCATGTGGCTTGGGGTAGACAGTAATACCAGTTGTGTGATGCAGCATTTTGTTTATTTAAGAGGAGTTCATTTGTTGTATAATGTTGAAGGTGTTTCACCACCCTCATTGTAAAATACTGTGAAATATTTCTTCCTATTTTAAAATATTTTATATTCATTTAATATTAAAGTGTGCATTAATAAATATGTTTAAAAGATTAAATATTTATAACTGTTCTAAAACACCAAGTAGTAGAGTTGGAGCTCTCAGGGCTGCATGTGCTGGCTGCATCCCACCCTCATTGTAAAATACTGTGAAATATTTCTTCCCATTTTAAAATATTTAATATTAATTTAATATTAATTTAATATTAATTTAAAGTATGCATTAGTAAATATGTTTAAAAGATTAAATATTTCTAACTGTTCTAAAACACCAAGTAGTAGAGTTGGAGCTCTCAGGGCTGCACGTGCTTTCTCTGTTTGTGTCTTTTCTCTCTTACAATCCAATTCTTTGGGCCCACATGAATAGTACAGGGAGAGAGAATAAAAACAAAGTGGTAATTGTTTACTGTAGTCTTTTGAAGATTCAGCTACTTAAATATTAGATATGCAGTGTAGTGTTTACTGTAGTCTTTTGAAGATTCAGCTATTTAAATGTTAGATATGCAATGTAACCATTGATGCCTAACCTAGACATCCACCTTACATGTCAGTGGAAATCCATATTTTAGGTAAGTAAAACTACTGAGAAGTATCTTTTCCTTTTCTTTGAGTGTGAAGGGAGCTTAGAGTGACAAGCTCAGATGGAAGCACCTAAAGAAGGGAATTGCAGCTGGCTGCTGTAGACATTGTCCCCCAGAAGAATAGCCACAGTGCAGTGTCCTTGGCTGTCAGTGGCAGTGGCACAGCATGGAGAGCTCATCAGTCACGTGCATTGCATCCTGTGCCTGCACATGAGGCTGCACTTGCCTTTCACCCTTGAATCGTTCCTGTGGATGTTCCATCAAACGTGTGGCAGTAACACACTTATTCAGTTAAATCACTTTGATTTTATGCTGTTTGATGTTGATCCAATCCAGTTCTAATCTTATGTGAAATCCATTGCCAACAGACTTTTGATTTACAGTTTAACTCTGTTTTATATAAGAAGGTTTTTCATTATTTGCTCAAAGAATAGTATGTTGAATGTCATCAGTCAGCATTAACTGACACTTGCCAATTTGAAACTAAATGCAGTCTTTCTATAAGTTCCACGTTTTTTCTAAGCAAAAGGGCATATTTTATCTTTCCATTTAACCATAGGTAACCATAGATTTATTTGTGTTTCTAGTTTTTAATTTCATTATAATAAAAATTATATAGACCTTCTGTTTTGGGTTAGCATTTAATATTGAACTTCTAACTACTCAAAAAGAAATTGCTTTAAAGTGTTTGACTGTACTGTATTTTTTTTATTACAGTAAAAACTTGGAATTAAAGGTTAAAAGCACTTCTTAAAACAGTGTATTACATTATAAGATAACAGCACTGATTTCTTTGCTGTCATAATCCTGCTTGTTAATTACAGAGTACTAAAATCATAATTATCCATGTAAAAGTTTGTGTTAATCTATCTTTTGAGTTTTGGTTTTTGTTGGTTTGGGTTTTTTTTCAGATTAAGTATGAGTTGCAGCTTGAAAAAGAGCGTCACCTGCGCAATCTGGAAAATAAACTTGGAGAGTATTGTGCTTCTTTAGCCTTTCAAAAGAGTGTTAAAAAATCCAGAATGCTGGAGCTGTATACTGCTATCATAAATGTGCAAGCTTTGCTCTTTGAACAACTGGATACGTCAAAAACCCTGTCAAAATTGGAATGTATTCAGATTTTAGAAGCACATAATCCTGTAAGTAATATAGTTATTAAAAGAAAAAAAATCCTGTTAGGAAAGAGCCACTATTAGAGTATCTTTGATTTAGCTGCTCGTTTGCAGCTTCTGGTGGTCCAGACTTCAATTTCTGTGAGTATGTGCACTTCAGTGCATTCAGTAAAAGACATAAAGAGAAGGAGAGCCAAGGAAGATTGTGTATTAGTATTTTTTATTTTTGTTACAGTTGCATGCAGGCAGAAAGGGTAGTATTCTGGTGGCTACTTAATATTTTATTGATTAAAAGAAAGACAGTTGAGAAGTGATTTGGACTCCTGACAGAAGAGTAAATTGTTGTGTCTGTCTTAGAGAATTACTCATGTTATAATGCTGTCCATATGCAAAATCCATAACCACATGATATGCTTCAATTGTCAAGTTTTTAGAGATTATCTATACAGCCTCCTTCCTATCTCACTCCAGGCACACTCATGCAGTTTAAATAGCAGAAAATCTGGAAAAACCTCTTCCCTTCACCATATTTATTACATATTTGATATGTGCCAATTTTCTAATCCTTTTTTAATACTTCAGTGCTCTGTTTTCACAAGGACTTTTTTTTCTGCATCTGCTATTTGAAACCATCCAAGTGAGGCTTGGGGAGAGCACTGGAGTAGAACAAACAAAATGGGTTTTTGAGAAAAACCTCTTTGCTAGAGGGCATCATTAGACAGCTACTGCTGTGAAAATTCCTTGTTAAATTTTAATGTGGTCATCTCTACAGAATTTCTCATAGAGTGGCAGTTAGAATGCTTATATGCCTCCAGTTTTACTTGAATTTGTGTTAGAGCTGTAGGAAATAGTGAAAGTTGAATGTAGGAAGAGTATTTTTGCCTTTTATGCCATAAGTGTGGGGGCTCTTTTCAGAGAAATTGCTTTTACCTTCTCTGTTCTTGAACAGGTGAAGAAAAAGGATTGAAGAAGGGGCAGAAGTGAGACCTAGAATAGCTTAATACTGGGTTAAATGCAGCTGATGAGGCAGTGGAATATTCAGCATTTTCTCCAAGGTACAGGTTAGGAAGTGGGGCTTTGAGATAGTAAGCAATGGAAAAGTTGAGCTGAGACAGCAGTGACATTGGAAATGGGAATATTCTGGTGTCCAGTTTGACTTTTTGACAAAAGTGAGATTTTTAGCATGGGGGATCCAGTCCCCTGAAGACTTTGGATTTTAACCTTTTGATTTTCTGAGCATTTTATTTTAACCCTAACTTTATCAGACTAGTTATGAATTACTGCCTTTTAACTTAAATCCCTTTGATATTAGCTGTTAATTTGGAATAACTAAAATTAGTTAGTCTGAGTTTCTCAAGCTGTTTCAGTAGATTTGTGCAGCTTAGAAATGGTTCCTTAGTTTTGATCTCAGTCATGCTGGCAGTCCAGTTGCTGGATGTCCTCTACAGTGGAAGGTTTTAGAGAGCACTGACTTTTAACACAATGAAAATTGAGTCATAGCTTTCCTCATTGTTCTGATATTCATAACGTGCCAGTCATGTTTACTGAAGCTGTGCAATGAATTGAAAAGTGTAATGACTGCAAGTGGCTGGGTAGAATAAGAAATGAATAAAGTAATATCAGAAAATCTGATACCATCTTCTTTTTTCCTCACTCCAAATGAAATTCATTCTTTCAAGTTATAATTTAACTTCTTATCTTCATGCATTTTCAACCTCTAGGAGATTGAAGAACTTGAAAAGAAGCTGGAGTATGAGATGTTGCATAAGGAGTCAGCACAGCAGCATCTAATGAGTAGGCAGAGGTGGATTCTGGATGGTTTGGGACTCACAAATGAACCTGTGGACACGAATGCAGAAAGACATGTGACAGTTCTGTTAAGACAGGCCATGAATAAATGTAGACAATTTATAAACCTGTACCAACAAAGGTAAGTTCTTTGGTTTCAGGTTTTACTGTGTTACTGCCGTTCTTATGGACCATAAGATACTCTGGAGAAGCAGCAGGAGGAAAGTACTGCTGCACTGGGGAGGGACCATGCATCTGTGTTTGAACTCTGCCTTCTTGTGCTGTGGCCCAGAGCGTAACTGAGGAGTTGGGAATATTGAAATAAGAAACATGAAATAATAATAACTTAGTAGCATATAAATGGTGCTTGTGTGTTGCATGGTAGTCACCATTTTTTTGACAGGGATAGCAGAAAAATAATGATACTCCTTAGCATTAAGGAGGAAAATAATTTTATTCCTATTACTTTGTCTCCCAGGAAGATAGGGAGGGAGTTCAGAGCAACATGATCTGCTAGGGTCAGAGGAAATAGCTGAGACAATTTAAATTGAATTTCCATTTCCATTGCCGTACTGTAGACTGAATTCCCTGGCACACAATTATTTTTGATGAGATGTATAAACTGCTCTTCAATTTCAATTTTCCCCGGCCAGTTTTTAAGTAAAGATATCAGCGACAAATAAAATGCCTCTTGGGAGGTATATAGAACTATCTGTCTTGTCATAATGGCTGCCTAGCAAAAATGGGTGATAATTTGCAAAATTGCAGCCTATTGTATTACTTTTATTAGGGTTACAGGAGATAGAAATGACATTTCCATGTGTATTGCCCAATATTAAAAGCCTAGCACATTTCAAACTTCATGTAATGTCCTCAAAATGTGCTTTCCATTAGAAAGTGCTTTTCCATAAACCACTGATACATTAAAAATTTTACTGGAAGAAAAAAGTTTTGTACTTTTTTACATTGCAGGATTTGTATATGATGTCATCATGTTTTGGTCTAGAAAATAAAAATAATCACCAGCAATGAGGAAGTTAACTGTTTAATATCATATTTCAGCTACAAAAAGATCCACAACTTACCTTAAAATGTGGTGATAAAATTTAGAAAGGAGGGAAGAGGATGGGGACAGGTAGACATTGCTTTGGAGTGATTTCAGGTTTGAATTGTGTGCAAGAGCATAGCCTTAGATTCTGCTCTGATGTTGGCTTGGAAGTTCAGGGAAGCAGGGAAGAGAATTTGGCATGTTTTAGAAGTTAGGCTGCTCGCAGCAGATTTGCTGACAGACAGATATGCTTCCCGAATGGGTGACCTTCCAATTTTGTTCCCTATAATACACTCATTGCACCTGGGAAGATTTCAATGTTAATTCTGTCTTTCACTTCAGCTTGAGAGATGAGCAATGGAATTGTGTGGTGCTTGAAGATCTCCTGGAAAATATAGAAACGAATGCATTTTTGGCAATTTATAGTCAGGTAAGCATGAAATTGAACAAAGCTTCCAAGTTTAAATTACAGCTGTATCTGGATATCAGCTTTTCTTCTTTTTTGGGAACCATTAGATGTATTTAGAGTTACTCTCTGCTAGTAGTTGCTACCAGTTTGCAGCCTATACTGTCAGTCACTTCAGCTAATTCTGAGCTACTTTTGGCCTTTTGAATTTTTCTGAGTTATACTTCTGTTTATTTGTTTACAAATCCTTTCAGTGTTTGTCCTGTTGCATTTCATTCTGTGGAGAGCTGAAGTGCCTGATTTTCTGATTAACAGATTTACAGTTGAATCTTCATGTAATGAAAAAAGGGTCTTGTTTAGATTTTGATGAGCATTAAGAATGATTTGCATTGATTATGTTTCAGAATTAAATGATAGCAGGACTGCTAATTATATTTTCTAGTATCATTACTCATACTTGTTTTCAAAACTGATTTAAAGGTCCTGAGAACATTTAGCCAAAGAGAGCAGAACAGGTCTCAGAGATCTGTCATGTTTATTCTCACTTAATGTTGCATTTTGTAAGTTTGGAGAAGAACAGAGTTTAAAGACCAGAAGTACTATAGAAATTAGACTTAGGTGTCTGTATTAAGGTTTATGACCTTGTTTGCATTCCTCTCCAAAGAAAAATCAAATAATTTCTTTCACTAAGAAATTATTAGCCTGAGCAAACATCTCTTTGGTGTCCAACTTTGGTGCCTAGTCATGCTGCAAATACTTTTAAGAACTGTACGAATTTACTAATCTCTCCTCAGTCTTAGGATATTGTCTTGTTAAGAAATAATTTCTTTCACTAAGAAATTATTAGCCTGAGCAAACATCTCTTTGGTGTTCAACTTTGGTGCCTAATCATGCTGAAAATACTTTAAGAACTGTACGAATTTACAAATCTCTCCTCAGTCTTAGGACATTGTCTTGTTAACTCTGGGTGATCTCAGTGGTTTCCCTGTAAAGTCTATGCCAGCACTGAAGAGGCCAGAAAATTTTGGAAAGAGTTTTCTTACCTTTCAGAGAGAATTCTCTGCTTGAAGGACAATTATGGGGAAAGGAGGTTGATTGATTTCTTTATTTTGTATGGCTGTCTAAATTTGGCTTAAGAGTACCTTGCTGGTGCTGCTTTGTTTCTTTCAAAGAGGATTCAGGTAATCCAGGGATCTCCTAGGTGAATTCACACTGAAAAATTGTCATAGAGAAAAGGAGGCAAACATTTGCTGTTACTTTTTGAAACTACTGTGGACAGAGAGCCTGGCTGTCTTCCTGCATGGGGGGACCTTGTGGGGTTCTGTGTGATGTGGGCTTTTTAGTCACCCCTCCATCAACACTTACAGGAGGGTCTGCAGAGTGGTGATAACTCAGCTGTCATGAGTCATTGTGTTTGGCATGTCTTACCTAACTTCACCTACCTGAGTTACATGTATGGCTTGAATACCACAGCAGCTTTTTTTTCTGACATTCTTTGAGACATTTAACTTGCTTTCATTTACCTTTCTCTTTTCTTTCCACTTAGTCCACAATATATTGTATGCATTTCATGTTTGATACACACAAGACATCTGCAGAAACACCCTGGGGACACTGTATTTATGACAACAAAGCCGAAAATAGCAATGGAATTCTGGTGTTCGGAGTAGGGCGGGAAATGGGGCTGACTGAGTGTCTGTGGAACAAATAAATTTCAACTCAAGTCAATTTGTACATTATATGAATGTGCTTTACTACTGACCTTTGGGGAAAAAAATGGGCAGGACGTTTGGAAATAACAAAATGCTACAAAAGAAAAGCAGGTGTTTTCCTTCACCTCTTAATAAGCTGTTCTCTGAGCTTATCACAGAATTTGGTGTTAAGAGAAGCTGAAAAATGAAGTGATCAACCATGACAACTTGTAGAGTTTTTCAAGGCTATTTTTCTCTCTGTAATTTTACAGGAGTGCCATATTGCTTCTTTGCTATCTTGAAATTATTTCCTTATAGTAGTAGAATCCATAAATTAGTTAAGCCTTTTATGTTAGAATGTAATTGTCTTGTGATTTTTCAAACCAAAGGGCATCAAGTACATGCCCTAAGCAAATATACCAAGATCAACTGGTTATGTAGCATTTACATTTCCAAAATCCCAAATGAAGTGGACCACCATGATATGCATGGGCCACTGTGGGTAGAAACAATGAACTTGAAAGTGTGACAACTTGATGCCAAAATTGTCACTACCAGAATAATCTTCAGTGGTATTTTTGTTTCCATAATGACTATTTATTTAATAACAGTAACTAAGGTTGGTCAACATTTATTTTCAATGCTGAATTTATCTGTCTTTTACTCATGTGATCCTCTAGGAGCTCCGTCTGGCAGGTTATTTAGCTAAACTGACGAGGGTGCCAGTGGGGGTGCTGCACAGGGCCCTGAACTTGCTGCTGCCCTCCAGCTCACAAAGTGAGATTCTTTCTGTCCTTGATTCCATCAGTAAATATTCAGATGGTGCTATTGAAAGTGACAGTAATGCAGATGAGTCTGGCAGCTGTAAGAAAAGGTAGGTGTGATGTTTTCTGGTAGACCACTGCAAGATCGTTGTTTTATGTTTTATGTTTATATCTGTTTGCTGGACAATGAGATTGACAGCTATATCAAAAAATCACAGGTGCATAAGTTTTCTTTTGAACTATTTTTCTCGGGTAAAAATACTTTAAAACTGCTTCCTTATTTTGTGAAACATTTGAACTATAATAAATTTATTGATAAAAAGTTAAAATAATTTTATACGTTTGTGAATTAAACAGTTATTTCATAGATTTATAAACCCTGTTCTGATAATTTTCTTTCTGTTTCCTGAATTGGAGCTTGTTAAAATATTTTCCTTCCACCTTTTTTTTAATAATGTTCATGACACACTAGGTTTTAGGTGTCTGTAGCTTGTAAAGATGTAAAGGAGATCCTCCTCCCTAATAGTGAAAGCTACAACCTTGCAGATGTCTGTCCCTTTGTAGCTGATTAGTGAGGTTCCAAGTGGGCACTGAGTTTCCCTTTTCTCACAGAGACTGGTAGACTCTCAGGGCCTTTGTCACTCCCCTTTAGCCCCATTAACCTGAGCTGAAATCTGTGCAGTACCACCAAGGGATGCTCCAGGACCTGCTCTCCCAACTCCCTGCCTTGACATGGGCAGAGACAAGAGCAGATGTTGTGGCACTGAGCCCAGTCCTTGGCAGGTGTGGGTTCTCAAGGAACAGATAAGAGTCCTTGGTACCATGCCCTGAGGTGTGATCTTAACTAATTTAAATGATTTGTGGCAGGGCAGCAAAGGTGCTTGAATACTCTTACTGACTGCATTTGTGTTGTTGCTGTCATGGGTTTGGTAGCTAAAGTCAGAGAGGGAATAAAAATGTGTATATTTGGAGATTTGCTGCTGGGAATTTTTCTTTCCTGCTCCTTCAGGAAGAGCCAGGAGATGTGGCAAACACTGGAGAACAAAATAAGGCAAGATCTGATAAACAGAAGTTTAGAAAAGATCCCTTCTCTAGACAAGAGAAAAGACAGGTAAGGAGAAAACCAGAACAAACATACCTGGGGTTTTTTGTTTATAGTTTATTTAATGTCCCAAAATACTTCTGACAGCTCTTAGAAATCACAAAATTAGTTCATAAGTATGTATTTTCTAACACTGTTCTATCTAGTGCTTATTTATTCTACAACATGTTTACACATAATATAGTAAATATAGTAAATAGAGCAATATAGTAAATACCTAAAAAGATTTTTCTGTATATATCCACAAAATTCTCACATTTTTCAAATACATTGCTCATCTTCCCTATATTTATTTATTATGAGGTTGCCTTTCCTTTTGCAATTTTGTATCTCAGAAAATGATACGTGAATTATTGGGATTAGAATGAAAACTAAAATTCTCTTTGTTGAAATATGATTTTCTTTAGCTTCCAAAGTCACCACTTCTGTGGCAAGGTATGGTGTAGGAATCTGTGCATTTTTTGCCTCAGTTTTCACTTTTCAACTCAATTTTTCTCATTAATATAGTTTGACAAAGAAGAAGCAACTTGCTGTCTTGGAAAAAGCAGCATTCATTCATCTGGGATGTTCACCTGCACACCCTCCTGTGGAACAGCCTGATCCACCAGTTTCTCTGAACTCTGCAACTGCTGAAGCCATAGAGCTGTCAGACACAGGGGAGAAGATATTTCTGTTCCGTGAGCCAAGTGATCCAAAACTTGCTCTGCATAATTTTCCAAGGAAGAAGAAAAAGAACTTTCTTAATTCTAAAAAGGCTGCTCATGCAAACATGGACTCATAAGAGCAATTCCATTTAGAGTATCAATTAGGAAGGAGGAAGTTATTTAAAATTCAGTAAAATGATGAGGAAGAATGAAGTGTACAGTTCAAATGACATGTATGTTGTTTTAATCTGATTTGTCTGATATTGGAAATAAATGTAATTTTAGAATGGCACAGTTAGTGATGTGCATCTTGAATTTTTTAATTCTTGTCAGTGCTTTGTTGCACTAGGTAAATATGGGTGTTCTATGATGCACATTCTGGCAGGCAGGACTCTTGTGTTCCTTCACTACATTTTGGTAATTTTTGCACTGATTTTACCATGGTTGTATTTTCATAATTTATACAGAAAGGTTATTTATTACATATAGTAGGTACTGACTTACTATTTTTGTATTTATATTTTTGTGGTAAGCTGCAGTATAGCAGATGACATGGAGAGATATAGTAGATGAACCACATGTCCTCTGTTCTCTGATTTTATGTTATTCTAGTTAATTTACTGTTTAACACTATGTTCCTAATAGAACTTGCATGTTACTTCTGCAGTCTGTGTTCTGCAATGACAGCTGGTAGTCCAGATCTTTAGCATGTATTTGTGTACTGAGCCTTACATCCTGGAGTAACTGCAACATTTTGCTGTTTCTAAACTTACTTCAGTTGAGCTGTGAGTGTGGCTACAGTTCCAAACTGTTGCATATTTACAACCTGTTGCAGTCTTTTCATTGGTGAAGCAGTGTCATCACATTTGCTCAGTAGAAAAGTGAAAAATGTAAGTGGACATATAATGCCTTCAGAACCTCTTTTGATTGCAGTGCTGCCAATTTTCACAGTTTTAGATATTTTTGAAGTTTCTATTCCTGAATTTCTCTAAATTGATGAGAGTATAATTTTATACTTCAGAAAGAGTTAATTTTTAAACCTGTCTAGTTGACTCGAAGAGTCCTGTAAATATGAATCCAAAAAAGAGGAACAGGAAAGACTAATTAAAATAACCACATGTATTTGTTAATATCTTATATGATTCAAGCCTGTTTTGAGGGGGTTGTAACTGTATTTGAATGCTGTGCTCTGAGGCCACTGTGATCATATATTTTGTATTTTTTCATGTACAGATCTTCTACACCTTTTTATTAATAGGGTGCCATATTATTTAAAAATTAAAATGTTACAATATATGTGTATCTGCAGTTGGCATTTTTTCCCCTTCTTCTCTGACAAGTTTAAATATTCATTCCACAGAAGCCAACTAGTGTTTCCTATCACTACTAGCATTAGAAAATGTATGTAGTAATTAGACTGACAGTCCTAATTATTATTTGATTGCATTCTTCAGTCTTTTCATGGAAGTATTTGCTGTCACAGGAAGAGGAGTCTCTCAGGGTTGTGGGAGTTCAGAGTTGCTGTTTTAACCGTGTCTGGTATTTCATCCCCAAGGCACGAGTGGGTAAAGAGCAGGGTCTGTCCTGCCTTGGAAGTGAGCCAGAGCTGCACAGAAGTAATCTCAGGTGTTTCAGAAAGAGGCAAGAAGGCAATTGGAACACTTGCACAGCTCATGGCTGCAAGGAGCACTTGAAAGCTGAAGTACCTTCTTGAATGTCAGTCCCTTCCAGGATGTCTTTGCAAGCCCAGACTCTTCACTGTTACAATATAAGGGGGAAGTGACATCAACTCATCACAGATATGACATGGAGGCCAATAGCTCTAATAGGTTACAATAATAAAATGCAACATCTGAATATTGATGACAATATCAATTTATTATCCTTAATAGATAATCTCTGTGTCTAGCAATAGAAAGCTAATTTGTAACTCTCTCACACCTCATCAAAAATTTGAAGCACTTCAGTGACTGTAACTTTCTAGCAGGGAAAGTCACTCCCTGCTATGAGTCACTCTCATATAATGCAATACATATTCAAAGAAACATCCAGATCTTAACATCTCTTGTGCCTTGTGAAAGAAGTACTAACTAGGAAATAGCCCACTTCAGTGAAGAGTTAACTTACATTCAGTTTTGAGCCACTCAAGAGGATAGAGGGCCAGCTGTCAACTGTGCAGTTTTGTGTGTGTGCCATAGGTATTGCCAGCCTTATTTCACAGCTGAAGTGTCCCAAAGAAGGTGCGTGCTGGACAAGCCATTCCAATTCATCCTATTTGACTTCACAGTCATCAATACAAGAAGTAATAGAAGGGCAACTTCTTCAGTATTTGAAACTGTCCAAATCAATTGTGTTCCTCTGGAAGTTCATTGCTTTTCCTGTTGCCCTTGACAGTTTCCTGTGTACTCCCATCTCCATTGCACTGTTGTCTTCCCTCAACATGATGCCATTGGACAAGGAGCCAAAACATACAAGAACAAGCAAAAGTAACTGTTCTTGGACAATGATTTAATCCATACAGTAAATAACAACTTACTGGCAATAATAAATTTTATTGAAGAAATTATTCTCCATGCTAGACTAATAAACTGTAGCTTTGTTATGATTTTTTCAACATTTGCTTCAGTAATGTCAGCTTGCAGCTAACAGCCTTCGTGCCCAGGGTTCAGGATTTTCAGGAGGCTTAGTTATGCACAGGCTCTTCAGCATTGTCAACAACCCATCTTTCTGCTCACCTTGGCTTGGGATACCTGGATACTGGATTAGCATGCAATACATATTCCCCACTCTGTCAAGTTGTTATTCAAAAGAATACATTTTGAAGGTTGGTGATTTTTTAATAAAAAGGATCCTACATGATGAAATATATTTTGGGAAAGATGTACTAAAAATGTCCTGTAGTGATTGAGGTGAAAAAGCTTCTGGGAAACAAGTTGGTTGAGATTTCTTATCATAAATTTATATTTAATTTCTTTAACCTTGGTATTGTGTATTAATTTATTATGAGGTAGAATACACATGCTAGGCCTAATGAAGAATAATTCATACCAAGAGTGAATAACTGGATCTTCTGGAAGAGGCTATCTGTGTCAAAGTCAATCTGTTGTAAACAAAAGCAAGAATACCTATATGGACCTAGCAGTTCACTACAGAAAAATGTAAAAATGAAAGTAAAAGGATTGACACTTTGGTGGAAATAATTGTTATGTTTAATAGGTAACTTTTATCTTCACTGATACTGTAACTGTTTCAGGTTTAAATGAATTTTAAACTGATAATGTCTCTTCAATAAGGTCAGTTCTGCAAAGTACTTGTCTACCTTATTTGAACCTGGGAAACTCATGCTGCTTTCTTTCATTATCTGGTATTTACCCAGCTGCTATTTTAACACCTTCATTTCTTCTGGGGAATGTTAAGTTTTTATGCTGTTACCTTTGTACAGCCCAGTACCAATAATTACACTGCCTTTCGTCAACAGCTCCTGCTTCCCGAGAGACTGACAGTGGGGTTTGCAAAGCATCAAATGCCAAGTTCACTCATCTGTTGCCCCGTGCTGTGCTGATGTAGCTGGTGCAGCCTTAGGTGTACCAGATAAAGTTTATTTTCCTTGCTGAGTTGTAAAGCTGTACTGTCACAGGCTGTTGAGAACTGCGTGAGTTCCTGTGAATAGCAATACTGTGTGAGTGATGAACATTGTCCTTCTAGCTGAGTGCTCCAGGTAGGATTTAGCCTTTTCCACATTCTGTTTCTCCACTCAAGATCTCTTGTAAAAATGACTGGCAAAGGCCACCAGCTCAGGTCTTTAGTCCTGTCTTCCTGCTTGTTTTCTTGTTATTCACAGGAAGCAAGGCAAGAGAAGTCAGACTCCACCCTTGTGAAAGAGTATACAGTGGGCTCACTGTCTGCCTTTGTGTTGCAGACAAACCGTGACCTAAATTTAATGTTAATCTCATTAATATGTTCCATGAGAACTGGTAATGTCCATCTCTGTATTTGAGCAGTCTTGTTATCTAAAACCACTAGTTATTTTTCTCACCTCAGCTGTCACAGTGAACAAAAGCAATTTGTTTTCTCCAAGGTTCAGAGATTCCTCTGGAGAGCAGAAGACAGATATTTGCAGGGAACTGAATTTTGAAGAAGTCAACATTGTTGGAACATCTTCTTCAATTATGCCAGAGAAGTTGTCTCACAAAAGGGGCTGTGTACTTTCAACCACTTTTGTTTGAAAAAAGATGACCAAATAAGAAAATAAATGAAAACCTGGAAGTGGCACGTATCATTCCAAGCCATAATAGCACTCAGAATCTGAGGACAGAAGTTGGCAGATTTGGGCATTGCTGATGGAATTTAGTTCTTGATACTGTGTAATTGAGAATGATGGCCGGTTACATTTGTGAATGGTTTACAGTTACTCAACTGCACAAAGATATCCCTATGTAGTGTTCCAAGAGAAGTACAATGTTTCTGTGCAGCAGCTAGTGAAGTCTGTAGCTTTCTAGAAACTCTGTGTGTTCCCAGTTGAAGAAGGTAATCCTTGGGGATGTGTTTGGTTTTGTTTTTTGTTTTTGTTGTTTTTTGGGTGTTTTTTTTGGTTGGTTTTTTTTGTGGTTTTTTGTTTGTTTGTTCGTTTGTTGGTTTTTTGGTGGTTTTTTTTGTTTTTTGGGGTTTTTTTGTTGTTGTGTTGGTTTTTTAGGGGGGTTTTTTGTTTTGTTTTGTTGTTTTTTTTTTAACAAGGTCTAAGAGACAATATATAAATGTAAGTTTACTTTGCAATCTCTGAAAATAGACCAAGCTGCGTCAGTGCAAGACATTGCTTGTACAGCAGGGTTTTATCTTTGGTGTCTGCAAACCCATAGAGTCATTTTGTGTCATTTCTGCTCAGAAAACATCCAGGATGAAGTGATTCCCTACAGATCAGCTCCTACCTTGCTCTCCAGAGTCTCAGACTTTTTGACTGGAGATGTGACAATTTGTCACATGTACTGGGATCCAAAAACCTAAGAAAAGCTCTGGGCTTTTTTGTCAAGTCCTTTCATTCAGTTTTAGTTTTCTGTCATGAGAGGGTTAAACAAGAAGCCCATGTGAATCCCAGTGGTGGATGAATAAAGATCTGGGAATCGAGGCCCTGATGCACCTCATTTCACTTGTAAATAGAACAAGTGAAAATCCTACCAGCAGTGGAATAAGGCAGTTTGCAGCCAGCTGTTGAATATGCAACATGGCCCTTCATGGAAATTCACTCCCAAATAGCAGTGCAGTGGTGGAAAGGGGATTTATGAGCTGTCTTCTCCAAAGCAGGCATAGCAAAGCTGTGGAGTCAGCAGATTTCCTCTGAGTTTCTGATGCAAAGCAGCAAACTGTAGCTAATGTAACTGTAGCTGAAAAAGATCTTGGAATGCATCTTGTATGTTGCTGTTAAGAGTAAAGTTAATTTCTTATACCAAGCCCAAAATGTGGAAGTAATACAATGAGGTTATGAAATTACTTTGTTCTGAGAGTAACTGTATTGCTGCCTTTGTGTCTGTGTTTGAGGTTTTCTTCCTAATTGAAGTGTATGAAGAGAGGACTTCATTTGGAAGTAATATTTGCCAGGGACATGTGATAAGAGAATTATGATATGAAAAACCCCATAAACTCTGGGGAGAAGAAAGCCCTGCAGAAATCACTGGGCATCTTCCTGGCTCCTCCAGCTTTTATGTGTATGAATAGTTCCTTAAATGTGATCCAATTTACATAAATAAGGCTGTCAGGGTTTGGTTAATACAACCCCTGCAGACAGTGATTCAGTGTCATACACCTCTAGAGAGTAATTCAGTGTGGCACAAAATCCTGCTAGCATGTGCTGGCTGTCAGAGCACGCTCTGGGCACAGGGTATGTCTTGCAGTTTATTTGGCTATATTTTGACCATCTCAATGTGTCTAATCAAAGCTAATGTCATGGCTTTCCTCATAACTGAGAGACAGGTACAGGCACTACCCTGGGATGCTTTCTCCTTCTCTTGGACCTTTTTGCTGTGTATGGCTTCTGCAGGGCAGAGGTGCATTTTCATTGTGCATCTCAGAATCTCTTTGCAGAACAGATACTAACTTCCAGACATCATGGTTAGGAGAGAGAACAACAAGTTTTATTAGACTAACAAATGCATTTGGGCAAAGCAGAGGAGCTTTACTGCTATTAAGTTGTTTTTCAAACAAAACCAGAACTTTTCAGCTCTTGGCAGTTGCTGTGGTAATAATTTCAAACAAATATAGTATTAGAACTGGTCAATGTTTATAATGAAGGAATGTCTTTCATTTAAAACAAAACTTGTTTAGCACACAATAAACAAAATTAAATAAAAACATTTGGGCTGGTTTGTTTTCACTTTCCTACCCTTTTACTCAATTCTTTTAAATAACTGAAAATATTTTTTCCTTTTTCCCTGATTTTATTTCAATAGGACTTGTTTTGTTTTGTTTGTTTTTTTTTAATAGAGGCAAAACATATTACAAAATTCTTGGATGAAAGAAGTGTTCATTTTAATCCAGTTCTTTGTGGCTAAATCCACAATCATGTGACCTTGTATTAGTTCTAATAATAGGATACGTATTTAGGGATCCAACATCCAAAATAGGATCTTCAATGATCTTCTCTAAAGACAACTACATTTCAGAAGCCTTTAACTGTTATTTTCCACATTTACCAAAATGTCAATTATCATTGATGTTCCAGTGGTCCTAAAGTAGTCCAGTCTCAGTGGAACTACATAGCTTAGTGTCTCATTGATCCTGAAATGTGTTTGTCATCTAGAAATTAGGTGGGGGTGGTTCAGTGGAGGCTCTCCAGCTGTGTGCTGCTCCCAGAGCAGCATTTTGTGTGGGATCACTGGAGGGGCTGGCTGGCCAGGGGGGTGGCTGGCTGGCTGACACAGAGCACACTTGCTAGAGAAATCAGAGTCACATGTACTTTC